GCATAGGCTGTGGTTCTCTAACCAGTTGCATAAGTTGTTTAAATCGGCAGCTAACATTCTGTTTGCTTCGATATGCACAGAGGGAGTAAATGAAAGGTAAATCTGAGTATCATCAGCATATGAGTGCACACGACAGAACTTGTTGGAGTTAACTAGGTCTGAGACATACAACGTGAATAAAATCGGGCCCAAAGTTGATCCCTGAGGGACACCTTTAGGCAGTTCCTCTTCATCAGAAAAACAGTGCCCAACTTTGACCCTCTGTACGCGTCCAGTTAGATAGCTCTGGAACCAGAGAAAATCCAAAGTAATGTAACTTTGATAGAAGCATTCTATAATTCAAACAGTCAAATGCTTTACTCAAATCAATAAAAACAGCTGTTGTTACACAAGAACCATCGATAGCGCTCAGATAGTCGTCGCAAAGATCAGTTAAAAGTGTAACAGTGCTGTGGGAATCCTGATCGTCTATTCGGGATTAACTTATTTCTTTCAATATAAGCTAACATTTGTTCATGAACAATTCTCTCAAGTATTTTAGATAAAAGCGGTAGAACGCTAATAGGTCTATAGTCTCCTGGAGTTTGTGGATTATCATTTTTAGGTATTGGTCTCACTCTAGCTGCTTTCCATTTTTTTGGTACGCATCCACATTCTAACAAAAAATTAATAATGTGCGTTAGAGTTTTCACACAAAAAGGTAGAACGTGAAAATATATCAATATTAAGCCCATCAAGGTCTGTTGCGTGCGACTTGATTTCATTAAAAATTTCAAGAATTTCTTCTTCAGTAACAAGGTGAAGCTTGAACGGTTCAGTAACAGTAGGGATCGTATTGTATAGATAATGGTTATATGTACTCTCATCAATGGGCATCTCAGGCACAGCGTTTACGAAAAAGTCATTTAATGAATCCGCACCGATTGAATTTACATCATTGCTATGTGTCCCATGAATGCCAAGTTGTTCGATTGACCTTCACCAGTCCCGAGAAGACTTACTTATCTTAAGCTGATGCTCAATATAGGCTTTTTCTCCATCTTATAGAAGCAGTTACCAGGTTTCGTAGCTGTTTATAATATATCCACTTCATCTGAAGGACACATGCTTTTTACGACTTTTTTGTACCTTAAATAAGCTTTGTTCCTTAACCGTATCATAAATTTTATGTTTGACGTAATCCAGGGAAGACGAACTTTACTGATCTTTTTCGTTTTATAAGGAGCACATATATCAAGTACACATTGAATTAGATCACGGAAGTATTGAACCTTTAGGTAAATATCGCCAAGGTGAACCACTCCCAGCCAATATAACACAGAAGCAACTTCAACCAGCAGAATTTTATCCATGTTTTGTAAATCACGTGTAAAAACATATTTAGTAGAAGTGGTGGATTGCAGACACTCTATACAGAAGTAAATAAAAAAGTGATCTGATATAGAAGGAAAGTTTATGGTTCCAGTTTTTGCAATATTAAAATTATTGCTTACAAGGACAAGGTCAATCAGGGTACGACTATTAACACAGACTCTAGTTTCTTGCTCGATAACCTGTTGCATACGCAAGTCTTTCAACATGTTTGATAAAAATACGTATTCAGGTCCGCTATTGCTAAAAAAATTGACTTTAAAATCTCCCATACATATTACATTAGCAGATTCGGCATAAAAATCGGTGAGGGTTTCTTCCAAATTTGCGATAATCAACAATAGGCGGCTTATAAACAACACCGACTGTAAAGTTTTGTTTGTTGATTTTAACTTTTATCCAAAGTTGTTCTAATGTGGCATCTTCCTCAGTACTGAGGAGAGAACTAGGCAGCAGCGGTGGCCGCAGTAGTAGACTCTTCGGTATCCTGATCAGTTGCCGTGCACTGTGCGGGTTCGAGTCCCGTCCCAGGAGAAATTTTTCTCTTGGCTATGGATGTTGTGATTGTCCGTAGGTGGTAGACGGTCTCTGACTGTCGAACGTGGAGGTACCACCCGGCGGATCTCGTAGGCGGAGCCAGAATGTGTGCATGTTGCATGCACACGTGTTCCCTCGCCAGAGTCCGTGTGGCGTTCCCCCTTTCCCCTGTATCCCCCTATAGCCCCAATGGGTGTTTAGGCCTTAGGCCTTCGTGGTAGTTGGAATATATAAAAAAACGTAGTCCTGTCTTCACATACATAGTAACCCCTCCACCTCTTTTGCCAAACCCGTCTGATCTAAAAAAATTGATGGAATGTGAACATTGCTAGATACTATCAACGCTATGTTTCAGCCAGGTCTTTGATAAGCCAATAATGTCAAAATGTTGTGTTAGTATGTACTCTTTGATATCAGCGAACGAGCTAGTTAACGATCTGACATTCAAACACCCAATCCACAAACTATGAAATAATACGAAGAAGGTAACTAATACGATAAGTTAAAAAGAGTAATTAGTTTCACTACGATTAATACCTTCCGCTTTTTGAAGGCAAGAACATTTGTTATCCCATACTGCATGGTTGGTATCAACGACTTTATTGAATTTATCTTTTATACACACGCAGTTTTTATAGTTTAGAATATTGTTTTTGCATTGTTTTTTCTCATGGTTCCCAGCGCAAAGCGGGCATGAAATCGAATTAGTGCAATTCTTTTGTATATTTCCATATTCGCAGCATTTGTAACAGCGCAATATGGAAAGATGCTCGTATACACGACATCTGGTCCAACCAATATTTAGCACTCCTCGTCTTATCAATGTACGATAGGAAAGCGGGTCTAACTCCGCGATAATATCAAAGATATCCTTCTTTAAAAAATCATACTAGTGCATTTAATTCCGTTGATAAAATTAACCATTTCTGACTGAATGTCGAAAAAGCCCTATAGCGGCCACATGTGAAACTAACAAAACTTCAAATATTATAACATTTGTAGCCCAAGAGTATCTCTTCTCAACTAGCTCAAGTTTTTTAAAATCGGCTCAGCCGTTTCGAAGATACAGAGTGTTTTTACGGAAAACTTTTAATACCCTCACCACTTTAAAAGTACTTAGCTACTATGCCAATAACAAAAAAGCTTCATAGACTTTGAAAATCGCTCGAGTGGCGGCGAAGGAAAACGATGCTCTTAATCATTTTCATGAAATTTTTTGTAAAGTTGGAGGCTCAAGGTTGTAGGGGGTAGTAAATGCTGCATCTTTGGTGTCAGTGAATGACCGGTAGTATATTCAAATGCTTCTAACCAAGATCCTACGCACCTATTAGTACATATTTCCCACGTCATGTCTGTACATTTGGCTCTCAAGCTTCGAAGGATAGAGGAATATTTTCAACAGACGTGTCACGTATCGGTCGCACGGCAAGCTACGAACCTATGCCTATTTACTCAAAGTCCTGTCTACGCCTGTCCGCTCACATTTGGCGCTGACACTCAGGTGTTTTAGTATGACTGACTGCTGGTATAGTTTAGTAACGTTGTCAGATGGTCGATTCTTTCGGTAGGTCAGAAAATAAATTTCTAGCGCTGTCAAATGTACATCTTTGGCTGAGATCATCCATTTACTTCCTTTTCTGCTATACATGTTCGTAGTCAACTTTTTCCTCACAGTACCTCACTCGTGCTGAACATAATTATTTATGAGCTGGTAACAGCTTTGCGTGGGAAGTGCAGAATCAACCTAGTTGATGCCGTTTTCATTTCTATATAGATAGTTTCTCAAAATAAACCAAAATACACTGTTGGCTTTGGAGGTAATAGAAGTAGAAGTCAGCATTCAACCTATGTTCTTAAACTGCATCTTGAAGGAAATGAAATGATTTGTGGCAACCGTAATACGATACGCAGTAAAAAATGGTGAATGCGTAGCGATCCCTATATTTGAAAAGTGGTGGGTGCATGCTTTGGGAACTGATTACAAAATGACTGGCTTCTGATCAAGGTTCATTTTACTTCCCACGAGGAAGTATTGTTATCTCGAAAATTTTTGAAAGTGAGATATTATATACGAGTACATCACAAAATAACATGTCACTCACTTCCGTCGGCCTGTCTGTCGGTCTGTTCGCTAATCTTATAAGCGCCTATATTTTGTGTAGTAGCGCTCGGATTTCGATGGAATTTTTACAAAATTTTTATTATGCGAAGTACGCAAAAGCTTTGTAGTTTTTGACAATCTGTCCAGTAGCGGCAGAGAAAAGGCAAAAAAATAAAAAAAACGCTCTAACCTCGTTTTTTACGTTTCAGATGATCCTAAACATTTTTGAAAAAACTTTAGAGGCAAAAAAACTTGTGGTGGGAGTTTTTACGGCGTATCGAACGTTTATCTCATTTTTTTATTTTAGTACATCTACACGTTCCCAACCTGGGTAATTCTACGCACCTATTAAGACATATTTCACACATCATAGACTTCTCCGTACATTAGCCCTTAAAAAATATTCTTAGCAGGCGGCCGCCTACCTACCGTCCACGGCTACTGCTCCCGGCGGCATGCCGCCGGCCTTGGTGAGTATTATGTTGTTCTGGTATGGTATTACACGTATTTCTGCCGCACCACACCACAGTGTTTCCTATGCTCTGACCGCGCTGCCACGTCTGATCAGGTTAAGTATCGGGAAGACATTTCCAGATGAACTACCGGTAGGGCAGGAAAATAATATCTATGGACTAATTGTAGGGTCCTGTTTGACAGACTTTTTTCTCAGAGGGTGTAGTTTTTGCTGAACATAATCATTCATTAACTGACGACGGCGTTGCGTCGAAAGTGCAGACTCAGTCTTATACGAGTATAATAATTACTTCCGAAATATTCTGATTATTTTTTCATTCAATGATTTGAGAATTTAGTTTCGTTTCAGAGATATAAGGCGATCAAAATTCACGAAAATTAGATTTTCTCACAAAACAAATCGCGTCTGTATTACTTCTTAAGACACAAAAGGTATCAAAGTGACTGAATGGAAGTATTATGTGTTTATAGTCAAATACCATTTGGTGGTGAAGAATAAGAATGTTTTTTTTTTCAGGAATAAACTATACGAAATAATGACAGCACATCAACGACGTGTAATTACTACTAAGCCAAACATCACAGTAAAGAAAATATTTCCGCCTGAAGTCTACTCGAAGGTAGGTACCAACCTTGTCATAAGGATAGTTTGTCTGCCTCACCTCTTCGTGTGCCTTGTCCGCTACGAACGTTGCCTATTAACATTGATAGCTCTTAGAGATGGGCCATTGTTGATAAAAAAACAGTTTTAAGTTAACCGGTTATCATATCAATAACTTCAACCGAACAAAATTTTACCGGTTATGCGAATACCCAGAAAATAACCTTTAAGGTGTCATTGGCCATGTTTACTTCGTGACTAGCCAAGCGCCTCGATAACTCATAGCACACGGCGTAAACGTGCACAGAGTGACATTCATGTACAGACTTACGGCTTACAACTTCCTTTATAAATCAATTAAAGTTATAGAATAATAAATGTAAATCCGAAAACGTGAGCTTGACATGTGTCAAACGTCAAGTCTTGTCATAAGCGGTGGCACAAGAAATTTTTTTGTGGCCACAGAACATTTATTAGAACCTAGAGCTATCCCAAAGGAGCAGGGTATTATATAACTTTAAAAGTGACATTATGTCGGTTAATTGACAATATGAAGGTTTTTTATGACATGTTCCAACAAGATGTCAACTTGGAACTAGCGGTCGTTCACTCCATACTCGTGTAACAAGCGCGGAATGAACTAATTGCACACTAGCCTACTTTGGCAAGAAGGTGACATTTTATCGGTTATTTTGACATGAGCACTGGTATATTTATAGGGCCCTTGGGGCTCAAGCTCCCCCTCCTGCGGCCTAATACGTTTAGTAATAAACCGCATGCCATGCCTGGTATGAAATGTAGCCTCCCCCTCATGTGCGGATCCAGCCGACGCTCCCCCCCACCCCTTCTGGGCGAATCAAGATTTATCACAAGTACATTTTTGACACGGCCCCAGTAGTTTTTTATCGTAAACGATATCTCAAGTCCACAATATCGTTATTAGAAATTTCCAGCTGCAAATATCTGCAAACTTACGAGCAAGTGTCAAATTTATAAATGACCTCGATTTCAATCAACAACCCTTGTTGGTTACGAATCTCTTCAGATCCATTCTTATAAAATGAAACAGGAACAGAAAAAAAGCATTTTCCTTTACATGACGATGCCTATATGTTACTAAGATAAGTATTATTTGTTAATTCTGACTTTCATTTGATTCATACGTTTCTATATTTTATAATTACATATATTTCCTCCATATCACTTAAATAATATTATTCATAAACATTTCAGTAAACCAAAATGCATCGAATCAAAACTAAATTCAAAGTTTCAGTAATACCGCACCTCCACACAAAATTTCCCATAGTGCGACGGCAATACAGACTATCTGCATCCGTCATGCAATGCTATCTTATACATAATGGTTTTCTTGAGTGACTGGCAAATCTACGAATCGAAACTATGCAGTGTTGCACAGAACTACGTTGGATAAATGATAATGTCAAGTATCATGTAGGTACAGGTAATTGAAGAAGGCTGTGGTACAAGTATATTGATCACCCTCAGTAGCTGTGGCGTACGATATATGACGCTACTCTCTCTAAAATACGCTGCTTGAGTCATATCTAATTTCATAGAATAAATGAGTATTTCTTATGGTATTTGGCTTAGAAAAACAAAATATATCGATTTCGGCTTTCAAAAGCGCACCACGGATATATAAGTCCAATTTCAAAAAAATATATTTTTTATTTTTAATACAAAACGGTGGCCATAATGTGACGTCATACAAATTGTAAGCAAAGTAATGTCATCCGTCTCACTCGTTGACTATCGTTGTCTTCTTTAAAAACTGATAATCACCCTAAAAAGTTATCGTTTTATTGAAAACAGCAATCATTAACGTTGGTTTCATAAAATCAAAAAGCACAAATTTTCAAAAAATTGATACATTGATGGTTGGTAATTTATTTGCCTTCAACCCAGATTTTTGCTCTACTGAGCTGAGAAACATCAAGACTTCTATGAAGGTACAGTGCATCTGATATAATGATAGACATAAAAAGAAAGAATAAGTAGTACACTTACATAATCTTCCTTTTCTGAACTCCTTCAAAACTAAGCTCATGCGTTGTAACATTTGAATAATTTTATCTAATATTGAATTTCTTCTTACATATCTGCAAGGGAATTATACGGTGATAATGCCTTAGATTACGTTCAACTTGGACAAGACGATAAAATCGGTACAGTAAAATGTAAAATATATCCCACACATAAGTATGCTCCATGCAGTACACAGTGTTGCATATACAGGATGTTTCAGTTTATTGTTGCATAACTTTAAGATTCGATAGAACTTTTAAAATTAATGCATAAAGTCTATATAAACATGGGTAGAAAAATGCGTGGCTTCCGAAATACAGGGTGTTTAAATTTACTTTCTAAAATAGTTTTTTTTAAATATTTCGAACAATATTTGATGTATAACCGTGAAAATTGGTATACAAGGGTTTTGGGTTGTTTGGTACGACAAATAACGTTAAAAAGTCAGTATCTCGATAATTTTTAGAAGTAGGCTGTGCCTGCAATAATTTTTGAAATTGAAAGCAGAATAAGGTTAAACGTCAATTAGTTGACAGTTAGTTTTGTTGTCTGTTGAAACCTGAAACGTTTTTTTGCAATTGTGAATGCACGAAATTTAGTTTCTTTTACCTGTTTTTTTTTTGTAAGTTTTATAAAAATGCCTTTTTTATACTCCAATCAAGAGTTAGCGGATATTCATTTTGTGTATGGCTTTGTAAATGGAAACGCAGCAGAAGCAGCCAGAGAATACACACGAAGATTTCCAAACAGACGACATCCAACTCGCTCAGTATTTGTAAGAGTGCATCGCCGAATAATTGAAAATGGTTTTGGAAATCCCCAAAGGGATCAAAACATAAATGTTCGTCAGCGCAGATTTATCCGTATGATTCTGCGTGAGTTTGATAGAGATCCGACCACAAGGGTTAGGAGAGTTTCTGGTGCCTTGAGAATTTCAGCAAGCCATGTTCACCGTGTTCTTAGAAATGACCATAGACGTCCTTACCATTTGCAACCTGTGCAAGGACTACAGCCAGGGGACGGAGAACGAAGAATTACATTTTGTCAGTGGATTCTTGATAGAACTTATAATAATAGAGAGTTTTTAAGTAACGTTTTATGGACCGATGTGTCATGCTTCACTAGACGTGGAGTGGTAAATTTTCATAATCAACATATTTGGTCGCATGAAAATCCGCATGCGGTTCGGGAAAGAAATTTTCAGCATGAATTTAGTGTGAACGTGTGGATTGGTATCTACCGTAATCGACTATTTGGACCCTACCTTTTGCCTGCAAGGTTAAATGCTGCGACCTTCTTGGAATTTTTAAAGGCTGAACATGCAAATATGTGGGATGATGTTATGTTAGATTTAAGAAGATTGGCCTAGTTCCAGCTTGATGGTTGTCCAGCTCATTATTCGAGAATAGTTAAAAACTGGCTGGACGAAAATTATCCAGAAAGATGGATCGGCCGTGGAGGACCAGTCACCTGGCCTCCACGATCCTCTGACCTAAATCCATTAGATTTCTTTGTGTGGGGATTTCTAAAAGAAAAAGTGTACCAGACTCCCGTAACCACAAGAGATATGCTAATAGACAGAATCAGGAATGCATATGATGAAATAAGGCCTTATTTGAATAATGCTATAACACGTTCGATCATTCGTAGATGTGAATTGTGTATTGAACAATTGGGTTTACATTTCGAGCAACTAGTTTAGATTTTGTATGTTTGTCCTAACTATCCAATAGCATTTTAGTTGTAAATAATTAATTTAATTTGTTAAAAATAATATTGGAAAATTAAACAAATTAATATTCTGTTTTTTCGTATTTATTTGGAGTTAGGAATTATTGCTGTGTTTAAAAACATAATCTAAACGATCATCTTAATTACTTGTAATGCCAAATCGAAAATTTAAAAAAACTATTAGTTTCCCATAAATAATTAAAAACGCATCGAACTTTAAAAATCGAAATATCTCAAAAACGGCTAACTATAACGAAAACTCACAGAAGAGCTTTTTTATGTTGAAAAGTATGAAGAATCAGTTTTTTTATTCAAAAAGCAAAACATTGCACTAAGAAAAAATTTTCAGTCATTTTAATACACTACAGGTACAGTAGAGATCGCCCTCTAGCGGCTACAGTAAAACTATGCCCATGGTTCGTTTTGCCATACCAAAAAACCCTTGTATACCAATTTTCACTGTTTTACATCAAATATTGTTCGAAATATGTAAAAAAAACTATTTTAGAAAGTAAATTTAAACACCCTGTATTTCGGAAGCCATGCATTTTTCGACCCATGTTTATATACACTTTATGGATTAATTTTAAAAGTTCTATCGAATCTTAAAGTTATGCAACAATAAACTGAAACACCTGTAGATATATATATATATATATATATATATATATATATATATATATATATATATATATATATATATTATTAATTAAATTAATTATTTACAACTAAATGCTATTGGATAGTTAGGACAAACATACAAAATCTAAACTAGTTGCTCGAAATGTAAACCCAATTGTTCAATACACAATTCACATCTACGAATGATCGAACGTGGTATAGCATTATTCAAATAAGGCCTTATTTCATCATATGCATTCCTGATTCTGTCTATTAGCATATCTCTTGTGGTTACGGGAGTCTGGTACACTTTTTCTTTTAGAAATCCCCACACAAAGAAATCTAATGGATTTAGGTCAGGGGATCGTGGAGGCCAGGTGACTGGTCCTCCACGGCCGATCCATCTTTCTGAATAATTTTCGTCCAGCCAGTTTCTAACTATTCTCGAATAATGAGCTGGACAACCATCAAGCTGGAACCAGGCCAATCTTCTTAAATCTAACATAACATCATCCCACATATTTGCATGTTCAACCTTTAAAAATTCCAAGAAGGTCGCAGCATTTAACCTTGCAGGCAAAAGGTAGGGTCCAAATAGTCGATTACGGTAGATACCAATCCACACGTTCACACTAAATTCATGCTGAAAATTTCTTTCCCGAACCGCATGCGGATTTTCATGCGACCAAATATGTTGATTATGAAAATTTACCACTCCACGTCTAGTAAAGCATGACTCATCGGTCCATAAAACGTTACTTAAAAACTCCCTATTATTATAAGTTCTATCAAGAATCCACTGACAAAATGTATTTCTTCGTTCTCCGTCCCCTGGCTGTAGTCCTTGCACAGGTTGCAAATGGTAAGGACGACTATGGTCATTTCTAAGAACACGGTGAACATGGATTGCTGAAATTCCCAAGGCACCAGAAACTCTCCTAACCCTTGTGGTCGGATCTCTATCAAACTCACGCAGAATCATACGGATAAATCTGCGCTGACGAACATTTATGTTTTGAGCCCTTTGGGGATTTCCAAAACCATTTTCAATTATTCGGCGATGCACTCTTACAAATACTGAGCGAGTTGGATGTCGTCTGTTTGGAAATCTTCGTGTGTATTCTTTGGCTGCTTCTGCTGCGTTTCCATTTACAAAGCCATACACAAAATGAATATCCGCTAACTCTTGATTGGAGTATAAAAAAGGCATTTTTATAAAACTTACAAAAAAAACAGGTAAAAGAAACTAAATTTCGTGCATTCACAATTGCAAAAAGACGTTTCAGGTTTCAACAGACAACAAAACTAACTGTCAACTAATTGACGTTTAACCTTATTCTGCTTTCAATTTCAAAAATATTTGCAGGCACAGCCTACTTCTAAAAATTATCGAGATACTGACTTTTGAACGTTATTTGTCGTACCAAACAACCCAAAACCCTTGTATACCAATTTTCACGGTTATACATCAAATATTGTTCGAAATATTTAAAAAAAACTATTTTAGAAAGTAAATTTAAACACCCTGTATTTCGGAAGCCACGCATTTTTCTACCCATGTTTATATAGACTTTATGCATTAATTTTAAAAGTTCTATCGAATCTTAAAGTTATGCAACAATAAACTGAAACATCCTGTATATGCAACACTGTGTACTGCATGGAGCATACTTATGTGTGGGATATATTTTACATTTTACTGTACCGATTTTATCGTCTCGTCCAAGTTGAACGTAATCTAAGGCATCATCACCGTATAATTCCCTTGCAGATATGTAAGAAGAAATTCAATATTAGATAAAATTATTCAAATGTTACAACGCATGAGCTTAGTTTTGAAGGAGTTCAGAAAAGGAAGATTATGTAAGTGTACTACTTATTCTTTCTTTTTATGTCTATCATTATATCAGATGCACTGTACCTTCATAGAAGTCTTGATGTTTCTCAGCTCAGTAGAGCAAAAGTCTGGGTTGAAGGCAAATAAATTACCAACCATCAATGTATCAATTTTTTGAAAATTTGTGCTTTTTGATTTTATGAAACCAACGTTAATGATTGCTGTTTTCAATAAAACGATAACTTTTTAGGGTGATTATCAGTTTTTAAAGAAGACAACGATAGTCAACGAGTGAGACGGATGACATTACTTTGTGATATTTTAAGTGATATGGAGGAAATATATGTAATTAAAAAATATAGAAACGTATGAATCAAATGAAAGTCATAATTAACAAATAATACTTATCTTAGTAACATATTGGCATCGTCATGTAAAGGAAAATGCTTTTCTTCTGTTCCTGTTTCATTTTATAAGAATCTATCTGAAGAGATTCGTAACCAAGAAGGGTTGTTGATTGAAATCGAGGTCATTTATAAATTTGACACTTGCTCGTAAGTTTGCAGATATTTGCAGCTAGAAATTTCTAATAACGATATTGTGAACTTGAGATATCGTTTACGATAAAAAACTACTGGGGCCGTGTCAAAACTGTACTTGTGATAAATCTTGATTCGCCCAGTACACCTGTAGATATATATATGTATATATACTCATATATATACCTATATATATATATATAATTCCTGGGCACTCTAATCCACAATTTTACTGGTGTCTTTATCGATGTGTTTTTACATTCTCGGACGATACAATAACGATAATTACTATGCATATCTTTAGGGCAAACGCGTAGAACTCATGTTTCGATGTCTAAAAGTTTGAGAGGCCATGCTGCTGTCAGATGCTGTTTACAAATAGTCTGACGTCATATCACATTAAATGGGCCAAACATGGAGGACAACGTTTTCGCCTGTCTAAGAAAAATAACATGGGCTTAAAGCTAAAACTGACCAAGTCTAAAATGTCAATTCTCGATAAATGCAGTTTTAAACTGATACCAAATTTATATAATAATTGCCAAAGAAAGTTTTTTCACAGCAGTTCAATTCATGCAGTTTTTTGCTTTATAATTTCATCTTTTAATGTAACCTACAAATAAAATAAAAAAATCAGCTATTGCTATTTTGTTTTTGAAAAAAGTGACTTGGTCATTTTTTTCTGATTTTTGAAATATTTAAATATATACATACTTGGTCAAATATTGGAATGACTAATTATTGGTACCAATAAGGACCAGCTGCTTAAAATCCCATTTCCTAATCAGTTACGCGAAACAAAGAATTTTATTTCATAATAAAAAATAATTTATTAATCATAAAGAAAACATTTTTTTTCAAATAACAAGAAAATTATTACATTATTGAATCACTTAATCCGAGTTAGATTCTGTGACGCTGTCACCTTCTGGGACGGTATTTCTCTTTTTCTTGTCAACTGGTAGAGCTTGGTACCAACAGTTATATTCTGAGGGAATATCGTTTTGAGTGCAAAGCTTCAAAAGACTTTTTTTCTTCTCGGAAATGCCTAAATGTCCTTAATCGCCCTCAGCCAAAAATATTGACCCTTTTAAATCGTACTTGGCTATAGTTATATATATAAGATAATCTGGCCCGGACTTTCTTTCTCGTAACGCATAACTTTTATTTTCATCCACGTTACCTTATCACCACTCTCGTCTTTCAATCTGCTTTTCAAGAAAGCACTTGTCAGTGATTTTAAATCTAGAAAATCTGTGAATCTTAGCTCCTTACATTGATATGGCTTACTCTTCTTATTCCTAAGGCGCTTAGAGCGAGCCAATCGGAACACATTAAGTATATAGCTCATAGTAACAATAGCAGACTCTATGGCGCTGTGCATTGAATCTACCTCCATGTAAGAGTGTCCTTTTCCAAAAAGTTGTGTTGTATGCTTAATAAATGCGATTTTGACCGCTGCAGGTATCTGAATGCATACTTATTTCTGTCACGTCTTTGGAAATTGTTTTCACCCATTCAAATAATGCGGTTCCAATTTCAGAACTTCCTGGTTGACCGTTAGTCTCCGTCCACACGTAGCAGTATGCGTTATTTGTTAGTGCTGCTTCATACACGGTCCAGTTAAATGCACATAATTTCATACTGTAATAAAACTGGGATACATCAGAAAAAGGTATAATGCAAAACACTTTGCAAATCGAAAGTTATACTAACAAAATGCTTATCGTTTGAGAATCGTAACATCATGGCAGTATTTGCTTCATCGTGCCGACGTATGTATTCTTGGTAGTCCTCTATAGTGATAAGTTCATTTTTATGTTCACAAGTGGAACATCGATCCTTTTTAGGCTTAAAAAAAGCTAAATTATATTTACCGCAAAACATGCGTCGATACGTCGCTTCAGAAACCTTTGGGTCGTTTTTGCTGTCGCAAGCTTCTACGTATAATTGATACATTTTTGTGATTGATAAGCTGGGATCTAAATATTTCCGATTGTTAGATTTCCTGCAATAATGGGATTCAAGTGTATGGAAACTTTCGATATGGTGCATAACTTTTTCTTCTAGCTTCTGGTGTTTTATCTCCTGGTGCTTTGCAACCCCGTCTATCTGGTAAGTGAAATAAGCCATATTCATTTACTCCAGCAAAGGCATGGTCAACTGGTCCGTGACTTATGCTTAGAGTGTTTAGAAAAAACTTTTTGCAGACCCCGATCTCTTGAGCATATCTTTAAAAAAAATATGATCTGCTAGCTAGTTTTGGAGGACTTGTTTCAGTGCAAGGCTTTCTACATTTAGGTTTAACTGATTTCACACAAGACACACATCTTTTTGTCTATTATAGTCTAATTGCCAGTAGTTAGAACATAATTTTCGCTTATCTTCCGAACTAAATTTGTGTGTATATTTATACTTGCAACGCTCACAATCGATATCTTTAGACATTTTCGCAGGTCTACCTTTTTTTGTAGATTTGATAAGATTCACTCAAAGACCTTCTCTTTTTATTTATGGCCCTTTCCCACTGATCAGGGTATCGTGTCCGCCATCTGGCTTTTTGTTTAGTGGTAGTAAGTGCATGGTTTTCCTCATCGTCCTCTTCGTCACAAGGATTATACTCATCTGAACTGTCTCCTTCAAATTCTGCTACGCTTGTTGGAGAGTGCTGATCCTCATAAAGGTTCGGATTTTGATTTTTACGGCGATGAATACGTTGTGCGCCTGAAGTCGATGGTAAATTATTGTTGATAAAGTGCTGCAATGCCCATTTGTCTCTTCTGTCATTAGGTCATATTGCATAACTGTAAGGAAAACAATAGAAGTAATTCACAGAAACCATTTTTAGAACTACAAAGCTCACTTTTGCCCATTAAAATCTAATCTACTAAAACATTTTGAAACAAATAATTTTTTAACACTGGAAAAACGATAATCACCTATTTATTTATTCATACATACACCGGAAGCTAATAAAAACATGTTAAAAAATAAACATTTTTTAATGAAATACTGTTGAGATGCTGTTGGGAGAGGGGAGCTGAAACATTAGAGATTTTTTCGCGAGATCCCGTAGTGAACCGGAGCGGGAACAGATGGAATTTCCACTTCCTCTCGAAGTTTTGACAGTTTCAAGTTACACCGGGAGTGGTAAGATGGCGCATGTTGCGCAAAATGTTTGCTTTAAGCTCCTTGATAAACTTAGCTGCCTTGTTTGAATCTGAAATAAAAAGACCGATCGTATTTTGTGCAATGTACATATATATCAATAAAATCATGCATTTGATATGACAAGTACGGTTCATGTATCTTCGATGACCTTCTCCCTCTTCATTTAAAATCAGATGGACGTGTTCCTCCATTTATGATTTAATAATTTAACACAATTTTCAGCACTGCGAAGACAAATTTTCAATACAGATGCCTGTTTTTTAAATGACATTGACATAAGACCTGTCACCCGCTAGTACCTCACAGACGTTAGGCGGGTACCCGTACCACGTGATTTTTTGACATTCGGACGACGTCACATCCGTCTTCCCCTATTCCCATTCTTCGCAAAAATTTGAGTATCGGTTCCCGGTAGTGCACTGTGCTACACCGTGGACTCGCGAAAAAATCCTTATTTATATTCACAAATGCATCCTCTGATGGTGGGTTCAGTAACTTGTCTTGAATGAAGCAAAACATTATCGATATTTGGCATTTCTTCAATTTTGCTTCTTAATCCATCATATTCAGGCCCTAGAATTAAAGAATTTTACTTAAGGTTACATTTTTTTAAATTGTTCACTGACCTAACCTATAAAATATAAAAACCTACTTATATCGATTTGAAACTTACCTTCGGCATCAATATGAACCACTTTGGTTGATTGTTGTAATGCCAAATATGTATTGCCATATCGAGATCTCATTATCTCATATTTTAAATCACAAAAAACAGTAACTAACGCACAGCACAAAACATAAACAAGAACTGCATACTACATGAATGACTAAAATCAAATTCAAGCGGATAACCAAATGAAAATGGTATTTACTATTTTGGGTTGGTATTTACCGATCCGTTCAAGCGAGTGTGGTTATCAGTTCGGTTATAAGATCCGTGACGTCATGAATCAGCTGTTATATGTCACAGTTATCACCGTAAAATTGTGGTATTTACCCAACTCAGGAGTAGTTTTATATTTCTGGTTATTATTTGAAATGTGACAAGTTAGAATTTTGCCGGGTATTGGATATTGTTATTGTACTTCAGCTTCATTTTTGAGAAACTTGATACAGACTGACTTCAGTGTTAGCATAAAGTGGAGCACCTTAATAGTTATACTCATTACTGTTGTTGGGAACACTTTCAATCTAGTTCCTATATTTAACAAAGTATCCTGAGTAGCCATATACCATAAGAATATTAAAATATGGCCTTTTAACTCACTGGATGATGTCCACCTGTATACGGTTTTGCTAATATCTTTTTTCATCATTCCTGCTAAATCAATAAATGTTTTCTTTCACATGCGGAAAACTTTAGAGAATTGAAAGTTATCATAGCTACAAAACCATGGTTCCATCATTAAAAAAAAATTAAAAAAAAAACATTTCTCCCACGAATATTAAGAAAGGTTTCTTGTTTAAACTTTCCATACACCGTTGTAGACAAAAAAGCACCGATTATCAAGTGATAATAAAAATAATCAGAGATTATATACGCACTTTTCTAAAATAAACAACTTGCAACAAAACCGCGGTTAAAACCAACGCGTTCAAGCGATTCGTGTAACTGACGTCATCAACCCGTGTGTCATCTTGAACCATATTATAACCGCGGCACAGAACACAGAAATTTCGGTTATTCGCTTGCATTTCATTTATGTATATCAATGTCATGTGTCACTTTTTCAATGCACGCCTGATTAAAGTGATCATGTCTACTTGGACACATTGAAATCCATGTGTTATAACTAAAAGAGACTCAGTAGTGATGGTCAATTTAAGCTGATGCCAATTTTCACCTAACTTGGTCAGTTTTTCCAGACAAAAGAATTTTATTTTTGAGTAATTTGGCCACAAAAACAAAAAAATGGCAAATTTGGACTTTGTCACTTTTACCTTTAAGCCCACGATATATTTTAGGTCTGAAAAGAATATATTAATGTTTTGTCTAACAGAGGAAACATCAACCATTTAAGACCTACATAAAAAAAATCACCTAGCCTATTTGTACAAGACTATAGAAGTGCTGTTTCAGATCGATACTAGCATCCTCAGATATTAATTTCTTCAAAATTGTAGGTCACGAAGAATGCCGAAAGGTACATAAAATCGCATGTCGTGAAAGAACGCTCATGCATCTCCCAATCGGAACCAAGGATGAATAATCTGCAACATAAACAACATCAGCAATGGCTTCGCACCGCAGCAGCCCACATACGATCAGACTCCAAAGTGATGCAGCAGACAGCGCCCTCTGCGGTTAGTGACGTAATTTTGAGTACTTGACTCATTTGTCTACCAATACCTACCGAAGTGACAGGGTTGTATCAAAATAATAATAATAATAATACTTACCGGTGGAAACATCTACCTTCACTAAACTTGTACCGCTCTTTGTAAATGATGTAAGACGTACAATGTCTGGAAATCATCTAGCACCACAATGGAGAAGTTTCGTGATGTTCAGAATTGCATAAGTAATAACATATCAGCAAAATATAGATGAAATATAATCAACTAATGAAAAAATTATTGAAATCGGTCAATAAATGACAGAGATATTAATTCTTAAATTTGGCGCATTATAGCGCGAAATCATTTCTAACTATTGAGTACTGCGTAAGTTCGCACTATTATGGAAGCCGGATTTGTAAAAGGGTTAAGGGACAATTTGCCCAAAATTGACATTTATGCAGTGATGGAATTTATTTCTTCAAATCCATCATATATAAGCCCGGAAATAAGTGCTGTGAAACTTTGGAAGTAAGGATTTATGCCTACTCCTATACTATTACAACTAGCTGTAAAATGTGCGATACCCTACTGAGGTTTTAAACAAATTAGTTTTGATGCCTAATATGAGTATAGACTTGCGAGTATGACACGATATTTTCCAGGGCAGGTAGAGATTCGTATCATGAAGATGCTTTTGGTTATGTTCAGTTGAAATGTGAAGGTACTAAACGCATTGTAAAATGCAGATTTACACCTGAACATAAAGTGAAAAATACGCCTTACCACTGCACATTGGGCTGTGACGAAAGTGAGGAAAAAATTGAAACTGTTGTGTGTCATAATTGTGCTACTCAGCTTGGTGGATGTAAACACACAATAATGTTTTTGATCTGGCTTTTGAAAAGAAGCGAGGAACCTGCAAGTACTCCAGTAGAATGTTACAGGATCAAACCGGCGCTATCTAAAGTTGGCACTACTATTAAGTTCATTAAAGTTAAAGATTTCAATAACGAAAGTGGAAGTTCTCCAAATTTAGACGTAGTAGAGGATTCTAACTTCTTCGATAGACTCATTAATGAATGTGAACGAAGAAAACTTAATAAGACTCAAGTAATGGCTTACTGTACACCTTTTTGGTAGTCAAACTTATGAGGGTTTAGTCCGACTTTCAGCTTCATACTTCCACCGACTAGTTTGTATTTTATCAAATTTTCAGTATCATTCTTAATCTGTAATAACAAAAAGGCATACGAAGTCGACATTTGAAGTAACCTAATTTCATAAGGTGTTACTTCTCTAAAAATCTCATTAAAATATCCACACGCCAGTAGCCTGCTGGATCTCTTTCTGACCACGCATCCTGCCCCTTACAGCACTGCCGTCCTGTCCCCCTTGGGTAACTCAGATCACGGTGTTGTGGAGGTTAGGTTTCGGTCATAAGCCGCTGTGGCCGCAGAAACTCGCACAGGCCGCAAAACTTGGCATTACGGACATGCCGACTGGGAGGGGCTCAGAGACTTCTTCTCTAGCTTTCCTTGGAGATATGTCTGTTTCACTGACGCGGATGCGTCGACTGTCTGTTCTTCAATAACCGAAATTATCCACGTCGGAATGGAGGAATACATCCCTCACACAGTAAAAGTTCCTAAACCAGGGTCCAACGGCTGGTTCAACAAATCATGTGGACAGCAGAAGATCAAGGCCCACAGAACCTACTTACAAAACCCCACTGTAGAGAACAGACAAGCCGACGTCGAGTCCAGAAACAAATATAACGAAGCGGTTCGCAATGCCAAAACCCAGCATGATATAAAAGTTAGGCACAGGGTAATGTCGCAGCGCAATGGCAGTCGGTCTTTCTGGACGCTGGCCAAGCAGATTGAAAAGAACTTCTCACACAGTAGCCTTCCACCACTTACGTGTCAGGATGGAACTATTGTATTCGACTCAAAGGCCAAGGCGGAAGTGCTAGCCAAGATCTTTGCTGCCAACTCCACCATGGACGTCCCCACCAACGCCCAAGTGCCGTCAATTCAAAGGGTTCCCCACACTATGCGGGAGGTAACATTCAGGCATAAGACCGTAAGACGAGTGCTCTTGTCGCTCGACATCAACAAAGCTTCTGGTCCGGACTTGATTCCTGCCATTGTGCTGAAGAGATGTGCAGCTGAGCTTGCTCCAGTTCTTTCGCGTCTCTTCCAGATATCTTATGAATCCGGCACCTTCCCAGAAAACTGGAAATTTGCTCATGTACAGCCCATCCCAAAAAAAGGATCTAAAACCGACCCTTACAACTACAGGCCTATAGCTCTGCTTTCTGTTATCAGTAAAGTGATGGAGAGGTGCATAAATCGCGAGCTTCTGGACTACCTCGAACGTCACAGCTTGATTAGCGACAGGCAGTACGGTTTCCGGCACCAACGATCCACAGGGGACCTCCTAGCTTACGTCACGCAACTGTGGAGTAAACTCATCCAGTCTCATGGTGAGGCTCATGTCGTTGCTCTTGACATCACGAAAGCGTTCGATCAGCTGTGGCACGCTGCCCTCTTGAGCAAACTTCCATCCTACGGCCTCCCAGAAAAGCTTTGCAGATGGGTGGCTGACTTTATCTCTGGCCGCAAGATATCCGTCGTAATTGACGGATTCTCCTCTTCATCCCACAACGTCAACGCGGGTGTTCCCCAGGGATCGGTCTTGGCTCCAACACTGTTTCTCTTACATATCAACGACCTCCTTTCCTGCACGATCAACCCAATCCACAGCTTCGCTGATGACAGCACTCTACATGCAGGAATTCAGAGTGACAAGCCGATCTCTGCCGCTGAGCTGGAAAAAAGAAGACTAGCGACGACTTCTTCTGTGACAAGAGACCTGGAGACTATCACTGCTTGGGGACGCAACAATCTTGTACAGTTCAATGCTTCCAAAACACAGTACTGTACTTTGACGAACAAAAAGCGTCCTAGCGCTCATAAAGTTTCGATGGACGGTCGAGTTCTACCAAAGAGCCATTCATTTCGGCTGGTCGGAGTCCAGATCACCGAGGACCTGATCTGGCACGAACACATCTCTTCAATAGCTGCAGCTGCTGGGAAAAAGCTAGGCTATTTGTTTAGGGCTAAGAAGTACTTTTCTCCGCATGACCTTCTCACTCTATACAAGGCCCAGATAAGGCCTAGCCTCGAGTATTGCTCACACATTTGGGGTGCTGCCGCCCCGACTACATTGTCCATGCTCGATGCTGTCCAGAGGAGGGCGGTCCGACTGATCGATGACTCTTCTCTAACAGACAGTCTCGGGACTCTTTCGCACCGGCGGGCCGTCGGCGATCTAGCTCTTTTCTATCGCTACACCAACGGGATTTGCTCCTCAGAGCTCTCTTCCATGATGCCGCCGCGCGATGTGCCTGCCAGACAGACCCGCCTGACTTCGGCGTCCCATCCTAACCGTGTCAAACTTCGTACATCCAGAACTGGCCGATACGACCGCTCCTTTGTCCCGAGGGTGTCTAGATTGTGGAACAAACTACGTAAGGAAGCTTTTCCCAGTTCTACTAACCTTAGGCAGTTCAAAAATCGTATTAACAAAATTTCTTTGGGATCATCATAGCAGCCGCGGTGTTCCGGCATTTAGGCTTCTGCCTGCGCGGCTGTTTCGATATATATAAAAAAAAATAATATACAGGGTGTTTCACAACTTATCCGACAAATTTTAGCCACATATGCACTAGCTGTTATGAAAGAAGTTGAAATCTCAAAAAAATGTAATAAAAGTCCTACAGAAATCGAGATAATAAAATAATACAGTTTAACAATTCACTTACTTATAAAAGCTGTTCAAAATTGTTTCCATTGCAAGGTTGGGCGCAAATATCCACTATCACGTGCACGTAAAACAATTGAACTAAATTTTTCGTGATGTGATATGTGCCTATTCGGATATCGGTGTGTATACAAAGGAGAAGCCGCTCGTGAATTTTGCCCTGCTTCTTTATTAATAAATAACTAAAAACATAAACTCGCAAAATACTTTTTTATTTAACTTCACAAAACTCGATCTTTCTTCATGCAGATCACCCACGATACAGATTAAACCTTATTTACACGTTCTTATCAGTATGAAAAAAACAAAAAATTCCTGGTATCTTATTTTCGTCAGTTGTTTAGCACTACATTTCCTACAATAAGTTATTAATGCGTGTTCTAATATCACGACGATGAACGCAAAATACAGATATTTATTTTTCAATTTATTATTGAAACTCAGGCTTATAACTTAATTTCTATAGAAATTTTAATATATTCTTTTTTCTTTCGTAACAGTGCATACATAGTTAAAATTTGTTGGATAAGTTGAGAAACACCCTGTATAATAATATTGGACATGATGCAGTACAGAGTCAACCTACTTGACGCCGTTTGAGGGGGGTAAGTCACACTATAGTAGCTCACAGCTATTCTCGCCGAGTTGAAATAAGTGATCGGCAATATGAGTTGATAAATATTTTCCCCTCAAATGCAGCGTGTACAGTGAAATGAGCTTGGAAATCATATATCTAGTAATATGTAATCATAAATAAATAATAAAGTGATATAGTCATATCAAAATGGTCTTCACAGACATATTTATGTTGTAGTTTTTGGTCCAATCAAATAATGCTGTTTAAGTTAGCACCATTCCTAATATCTTCATGTGGGGGTACGTAGAAAAAATGTTTATTAGCGGTTGTAATTGTTGTGATCGTACATTTTGGAACGATACAGTATTTATAACAACTTCTTTTTGTTATTTCGCTCATAACTGATCGTATATGCAGTCAACTAATTAAACAAGTTGGCGCGGACGACATTTAGCCTACCAGGTGTTCCCGTTGAAGTGTACCTATGTGTGTGTGTTTAGAAAATCGTAGGAGTCGGCCAGGGCCATCGCAACTGGATAGTGAAGTGTGACGTCACGCGTCGCGTTCAGACGAAATAAAAATATTCTCATGGGGCGCAACTTTGATAGGCTGTAACTTTTTTGTTTTTAGAGATAAATAATTTTTTCGCCATCTTGTTTCATTTTTTCTTAAAATTTCATTTGAGCTAATAACAAGAAAATGGAAAACTTGTCCATTATCTGCAAACACTCGCACTTTTAAATAAACACTAAAGTGACAGAACTGTCAAGAAATTGATTTTTGTCAAGTGCACTTTGATTCTCACTACATGCTATGAGAATTATTGTCATTTTGGACGGCCGGACATCGTTTGGGAGCGGGAATGCAATGATGGCTTCGCGCAATCTCAGGATCATCCAGACTATTAGTGAAGTAACACATTGTATAGGAATGTGAAAATGAGAGAAAAAACAAAGGAAGTTCCACCTGGAACACATAAACAAAATATATTGTTAGAATTGTCAAATTGTACTTGGTCACCGTTCTAACCGAAACGACGTCATCAGTATTTCAAACACATGTGGTTTCATATTTGATCCCCTCTCCCTCGCGTGAGATTAGGTGAAATTCAGCTGGAACCCCCCCCCGTTAACACCTCACATAGGTAATCAAAAAATGCTTACCTATCTTGAAATGGAGTCACATTCATTCCAGAAGGCATGCTTTACTTAGTCCATTTTGATTGTATTTCCAAAACTTTCTAGATTACCCTATGCAAGACAAATAACAAAAGCTTCGCTAGGAAGTACGAAGTTTGAATCTGCATTACGAAATGCCACAATCCACAAATCATTATCTGTTTGGTCACGTCTTAGCATGTTTAACTATCCATGCATGGTATATTAAAACATGTTCACTTTCAGGTATCCAATTCTTCAACGAGGCATAGAGAATCCTCTCTGAGGGCTGGGGTTGATTACAACCAGCAAATGAAATCAACCAGTGAAGTCCCAAAAAGAAAAGTCCTTCCAAGCCGAACTAATTTATGTAACTCTTTCAACAGTTACAATAAAAATCATGGCATCATCACACAAAGCGCGCTGATGGAACTAAGAGCAGCTGGATTGAGATGAAGCTGATCTTTTAAGATGGATTTGTTTTTAACACAATGTAATATTTACACTTTTTACTATGCTATATCTCTATACTTGGTATTTTATACATTTTGCACACCATATATTTTCCAAATAAATGGAATGAAATCCGAATTTAGTGTTGTTTCTATGTCTATCGTCTATATTTTCAGCAAAGCAAATAAAAATCATTGCATCATCCCACAAAGCGCGCTGATGGAACCAAGAGCAGCTGGACTGAGATGAAGCTGATCTTTTAAAATGGATTTGTTTATAACACTATACAATATTTAGACTTATTTTACTATGCTATATCTCTATACTTAGTATTTTAGGCCCGTATCGTCAGTCGTCCCTACAATTGTAGGGCGCGTTTATGGCCTCCTTGATTGTCATACTCCTTTCTCTCCTTCAAAAATTTCTAGAATACACTTGTCCCGTGTCAGCGTCAGCGCTCTCCTATTGTGAAGATATGTTTTCTTTTTAAATTGTAGGAAATTTCAGGCTGATAAAACATGATATAACTCAAAAGCAAGCACAATTTGATGCAAATAGATGTTTGTGACATAACCTCAAAATAGAGCGCTGACACGGAGAAGTAGAAAACTATGACAATCAAGGAGGCCATAAGGGCGCCCTACAATTGTAGGGACGACTGAAGATACGGGCCTTATGCCGGCCACAGACTATGAGGTACACCTGACAGGTACGCCTGAACAGTTACGCCTGTCAGGTGTACCTGATACCGTAGGAGCACACACACTCTTCATGTATACCTGTCAAGTTTGTCAGTTCACATCATGGATTCTCCTAAAGATGATCTGCTCTTTCTGTCCTTATTTTTTGTAATTTTTGAGACACGTAAAAACAAACGGAAGAAACGCAAACAATGGTGTAAGGAATGGTTGCAGAGAAGAAATAAATTTACCCATATAAATCTCCTTAATGAGTTAAGACATGAACCATCTGATTATAACAATTTTCTGCGCATTAACGCATCAGTGTACAACGAGTTGCTGTCACTTGTATCTCCCTTGATTAAGAAGAAATATACACAAATGAGAACAGCTATATGCTAACACGAAAGACTGACAGCTACTTTGAGATTCTTAGCAACTGGACAACCGTATGAGTGTCTAAAATATTCAACTAGGATTTCACCACAATCTCTTGGACAAATTATTGCTGATACATGTGTGGCCCTGTACAAAGTTCTGCAGAAATACATTAAGGTATGTCCTCTATTTTGTTCTTTTGTATTAAATTTTTAAACTATCAAATAGTATGTTTAACAATAAGACACTATTTTAATAATAATAAGAAAGGAAAAAGTGGAAAGTAAACTTTTAATATATTTAAACAAACTTTTTATTTTCATATTTACTCATTCAAAAGTTTCAGTGAAATTTGACAAAAAACTTGATGCTGTTTCTGTATTGTGTATTGTTGTGAGAAGTTGGGTTTTGTTCTTGGTGTGGTAGATGGTGTGTAATGTTGTGGAATTGGTGTGGGAGATGGTGTGTAATGTTGTGGACTTGTGAAAGTGGAATTTGGGTAGTTAATAGCGCACATTTCTGCTTCATATAATATGTCGTTAATTTTTTTTTCGAACATGATGTGCAGGCGTTTATCTTTTATGCCCCTCATTTTTATAGCTACTGTTCGCCCCAAGAGCTCGCAACAGTCGATTTGTGGTTGCGGTCGTTTGAAATGATCGCGAACAGTAGACAATATCTCAGCTGATATGTCATCATTAGATTTCCTCTTTATACTGGGCCCAGGTCGTGAAATCCCAGCCAACGCCGCAGGTTGATTCGATTCCCGCCGCTCTTCTTGAGAGACAGTGGGTGTCAACTGGTTTTCCTCTGGAGATGGGTCATCAATGTTCACCTAAAATCAAAATACAGTTTAATTTTGCCGATTAAAACATTATTTTTATTTTTCAGTTTCCCAATTCTATAGAAAAATGGAAAGAAATATCAAAGGATTTTGAGAATCGATGGAACTACCCACACTGCATAGGCGCCATGGATGGCAAGCATATTGATATAATTCCCCCAAGAAATTCGGGCACTTATTATTTCAACTACAAAGGAAAGCATAGTATGGTTCTTCTTGCTATTGTAGATGCAAACTACCGATTTCTCCTTGTGGATTTCGGAACTAATGGCCGCGTATCCGACGGTGGTGTACTCCAAAATACACGTTTCTATGAAAAATTAGTGGAGAAAAATCTACATATTCCTCCACGTGACGACGTAACTGACAATTTTAAAAATGTCCCCTATGTTTTTGTTGCGGACGATGCATTTCCGCTGACAACTGAAATTTTGAAGCCATTCAGACAGGCATTTCTTAATTCTGCCAAAAAATAGGTTTTTAACTATCGTATATTTCGCGCAAGGCATATAGTTGAAAACGTATTTGGTATTCTTGCATCGAGATTTCGTATTTTTCATACGGCAATAAATTTAGAACCACAAAATATTGAAAAGGTTGTGATGGCAGCTTGTGCTCTGCATAACTTTTTGATGGATAAACAGCCTACAGTTTATGCCCCTGCAAATTGTTTGTATCAAGAAAGTGATCAAGATGGAAATATTTTGTCTGTTGGCTGCGATAGTACACAATCTAATATGAACCCACTACAATCTTGTAATCGAGGAAATATTTGTGAAAATGCCAAAGTTAGAAAACAATTCATGGATTACTTCATGGACGAAGGGAAAGTGCCATGGCAAAATAAACACATATTGAGGAACAACCAGAACTAATGAAATAAAGCGTTGTAGTAAAGTGTGGAAGGCTTTCTAGACTTTTATTTACCTACCTAAGTAAAAATAAACTCAACTAAACAATTATTTATATACAGATTTAAATAAACATTGTCAAAAATAATATATATGTTTTCCTTACCTCATCATTGTCCCTTTCAGGAAATAAATTTGAGACCGATGATCTAGGATTATCTTGGTCCTTTATGAAATCAAAAAATACGAAATACCAAAGAGAAGGTTTGTATACATTATCTGCTGAGGCGCCAGATTTCATTGAGGAGTCAATTTTCTTCTGCTCCTTTCGAACATTGGATCTCAAACTGTTGGTTTTTTTTTTAACCAAGGTCTCGTTTGCATCAGGCTCTATTTACTTCAATTTGTTCACTAATTTTCTGTATGCAGCATATCTCTGGTCTCTATTGCGATAGTCATTATCTTTCACTTTCCACAAGCAAGGCTCACTTTTATAAATTTCAATAAAATCACCAAGAACTTCATTATTCCGTTGCGACATTTTTCAGTATCTACCTAAAACTGATTGTTTTGAAAATTTAACCTGTCCACATCAAAGAATTGCTAAAAACTGAGACCTGTTCAGGTTACACCGCCACACACACGTCAAGTCTACTCGCCTGTCAAACAGAACTGATCGAATTTTCATCAGTTGTCAGGTCGCCTGAAAGGCTAGATATTCCCGCCACACACTATAAGGTACACCTGACAGGAGTAACTGTTCAGGCGTACCTGTCTGGTGTACCTGATAGTCTGTGGCCGGCATTAGGCCCATATCGTCAGTCGTCCCTACAATTGTAGGGCGCGTTTATGGCCTCCTTGATTGTCATACTCCTTTCTTTCCTTCAAAAATTTCTAGATTACACTTGTCGCGTGTCAGCGTCAGCGCTCTCCTATTATGAAGATATGTTTTCTTTTTAAATTGTAGGAAATTTCAGGCTGATATAACTCAAAAGCAAGCACAATTTGATGCAAATAGATGTTTCTTTCATAACCTCAAAATAGAGTTCTGACACGGAGAAGTAGAAAACTATGACAATCAAGGAGGCCATAAAGCCGCCCTACAATATTGTAGGGCTCGTTTATGGCCTTCTTGATTTCCGCCATCTGACAGTTCTGGCTTGAGGTTGTTTTGACGTTCAAGTCACATGACAGCAGAACCATAATTTATAATTTTCTTGCAAAGAATTATCGATCACTCAAAAATACCTCACTACAAACTACCTGGCTACATTGAACAAATTCCACAACCTGTGGTATCTTCAAGAAATTGTTGAGTTAGGAAAATTAATGCACATGGATATATTACACTATAATATATTTGTGTGTATGAAAGTCCAGAAGCTTACAAGCTATTCTCTTGATGGAGGTTGGTAAGTTACAAAACAAATCATTGCATATCCATATTATATACTTATCGCATTATTTTCAGGTGTAATTCATTATCACAGACTTTATGAGAAGTTGGTTCCTCAGTAAAATGCTATGTTTGCTTTGGAAGGATAAGAAGGTGAATGATCTTTCTAAGAAGGAATTTATGCATCCAGGCATAATTGAAGGAATCTTACAGAAACAAAACGTGAATTTGATTTATGTGTCCGATATGTGCTACACTGCAATTTGTTAATTAAAGCCTGGCATAAACCTGTATGATCATACTCATAATGATAAGAATTAACACTTACGAACTTGAAGACAAGCTGTGCTCAGCAAGTATGTATAATGTGTAAAGGTTCTGAAATTGACAATCATGATTTCAGGATATTAAAAAGAGCATGGGCATGTAGGAGCACCAATTATGAGACATTACAAGGTGTAAATGGGAAAATGGAGTTGCAGCATGAAGTTAAATTCTTCATTACTTTGTACCATCATGGCAGAAAATTCCACAACTAATTACAAGAAAACTGTGGGAATCAATTCCCTGTATAAAAGTCCAGAAGCTTACAACCAAGCTGTTCTCTTGATGAAGGTTGGTAAGTTACAAAACAAAACATTGGATATTCATATTATATTCTTATTGCATTATTTTCAGGTGTAATTCATTCAAACAGACTTTACGAGAAGTTGGTTCCTCCATGGATAACAAACATATCCCGAATGCAATTGCATTGTTGATGTCAAGATGCCTGTTCACAAATCATTACTGGACTCTATGTGAAGTGTCAAGCTACAAATATGTACAATGTGTGTATGTGAAGATTGTAATTACCATTTATCATTGTTATTTCAGGATGCTTGAAATACCATATCCATGTAGGATTACCAAATATGAAGTATTACAAGGAGTAAACAGTTGTAGCAAGAATTTAAATCAGAAAAACTTCATGACATAAAATTCCACAAATGGAAAAATACAAGAAAATTCTGACTCATCCAGGGAATCACTTTCCTGTTAAACAAATTTCAAACACTTCAAAGGTCTAGAAGCAGAAAAGACCCATTATTTTGAAAAGTGTACGTCAGGCTAGGTTAAGCCCCAATAAGTGAAATAATAACGTAATTGTGTTTCAGATAATTTGTCTTGTATTGTACCATATGCGACTTAACATAACTTATAAAGTTAAGTAAATTTGCTGATCATTACAGGTAGGCGTTACCTGGCTCTGAGATACAAAATTTCATTTGAATTTAAACTTTTAGGTATAAATTGTGGTTTTAAATTATTATTTATAATTCAGACTCCAGCTACTGAGGATACCAAAAAAATACATCAGTGGCAATAATAAGATCGATGCACTGAGCCTCAAAGAACAGTATGTTGTACTTTTTAAATGTTTTGCACCATATATTAGTATTGTAGCATATTGTATAAGGAAAAAAAAGTAAGGAAACTTAAATTTTTCAATCATTTTATTAAGAAATTCAAATCTCAATACAGAAAGTTTTTAATTGATTTGGAACCCCAACTTAAAAGGGAAAATCTATCAAAAGTATAGCATGTGAAAGGAAAGCATTTTTGGGTTGAAAAATAAATATCAAGAATTAAACTGGTTTGATATTTGAAACACTCATATGAAAAGCAGACTTTGTTAGTTATGATAGAAACAGTATAAAAAATCTTTGGCTCAAAAGTGTGCATTTACCTCTTGTAATAGTAGGAGCTGCAATTCATTGTGTTTCCTAATTGTACATGAGTGACGAGGCATTTCTTTAAGTTCCACCAGTGATGCTATTAAGGAATTTCACCTGCTTATTTGGACAGGCAGTAATGGTATGCCACTGATGTCTCTTTCATTAAAATTTATAATCACATCTAAGCAAATTTAATCACTTGAATATTTTTCAATCTGATGTACGGTTTTCATAAAAATAAAAACAGTCTCTGAATATTGTTAATATGACAATATCACCATGCAGCGAAGTAGTTTCGATTTTTTGGGTGATGATTTTAAGAGCAATTTTTATTTTAAGAGAAATCAGTTGCCTACTATCATTGTCTGCCAAAATAGGCAAGTGAAATTCGTACGAACGCCACTGGTGGGAATTGAAAGAATGTTACATTACAAATACCTCTTGATGTGCATGTATGCCAAACTTTGATAAAGTATTTAAAGTGGTATTCCAGATCTTTACAAAAATTTTTATTAATTTTTGAAATGTTTACCACTGTTTCTCAAAGGTCAAGAGATTTATTATATACGTCATATGAAATATTCGTCTTAAAATGGACTCAAAGTTGCCCCTTTAAATATAGACATTCCATTGGAAAACACCCTGTATATTTTATGTAAGTAAATTAAAAATGAATAAAGGTTATTGTGATACACTGTTGTTGTTTTTCATTTTTGATATATTGGTTTTTTATAACTCATAACTCCTGTATTTAGTTGTACCTTTTGGATATAAAGTCATCATTGGATTGGTGATACGTTTTGACATACTACGTATGAGTTCATTAACAATTTCATGTATTATACTTTTCAGATGGCAAGTATTTGTGGAATGTAAATAAAAGCATCATTGGTAAAATCAATATTTATTTAGAAATATAATAGGTTCTTTCAGAAATATATGTAAATACAGATTTCATCAATTTGTCATTCTTCTTTTCTCTTAAAACAAATGTTTCATCATGATGTTAACAATATTGTATGCTACTTTCAAAATTATAAGCTCTACAAACAAAACAGTGTGGACAAACAATTTAAATATATATCGACTCTTCTTTTTCATCTAATAACGTGCCTTACACTAGAATTATTCTCTCCTGCAACAGTATCTTGTAATCTCGGCTTCTCAGGATGGGATGTATCTTTGAATGGAATGTTATTTTTGTCATTGTCATCATTTGCTGCTGTGCTTCCATTGTGTGAAGTATTTAATTACTCAGGACAATTGTTGGCCAAAGGTGGTCAATAACGAAGAAAAAGGTAATGATTTTCTACATGGCCTTAGCTTTGTGAAAATCGTCGAATAAAAATGTCGATTACAATATTCAAGAATGCACTTTATCGAGTTCTGCAAGACATTTCAGCTATCCAACATGCAAGATTAACCATTCGAGAACCAATTGCCTAAGCATAACAAAGTTCATCTTGAGCTCCATAACTTTAAAACTCATGATTATACATACAGGTTTATGCATTCCTTAAGCTAACAAATTTTACTGTAACAATATCGAACACAAAAGGCAAACTCATGTGTTTCAAAATGGTGTGGTTACTACAGCATTGGCTTTTTCAGCGGTGCTAGGATGCTTCCATGTGCCTGAATGTGTAAATTCCTTCTTATGAAGATCATTCAGCTCTCTATCGTTCTTAGTTTACTTCTGTTGGCAATATCAGGATTAACTTTTTGCAATATATCAATCCCTCACATTATTTTTACCAATGTTTACTTCTTGATCACAATTTAGGTTGGCCTTGGTTAAGCTGTCAATTCTAAATATTCAACTCTTCTGTGTTTGAACTGACTCTACGCTTTGTTTTTGCCCTGAGGCTCACTGCATCATTTTTCTTATTCCAATCACATTGTTGTATTGTTTATCATGGTCAGCAGCTGAAGCTTTTATTTTTGACGAATATTTTTCTGTTGTAGTCAGCATGATCAACAGGAACTAAAAACCACAATTTATACACAAATATATACACAGAACATTCAAATATTTGAAATTGACAGTTTGAAGTTTTGATATGATACATTTTCATGACAGCTTCCCATTTAAAACAAAACTTTTTCTGCTTATATCAATATATATATATATATATATATGCCCACAAGTCTAATATTGTAAAACAAGGCGAGCACCTGAAAAATCAGTCCTATTCAGTGTTTGACATTCCTTAAGCAGGGAATAGATTCCCACAGTTTTCTTGTAATTAGCTGTGGAATTTTCTGCCATGATGGTACAAAGTAATGAAGAATTTAACTTCATGCTGCAACTCCATTTTCCCATTTACACCTTGTAATGTCTCATAATTGGTGCTCCTACATGCCCATGCTCTTTTTAATATCCTGAAATCATGATTGTCAATTTCAGAACCTTTACACATTATACATATTTGCTGAGCACAGCTTGTCTTCAAGTTCGTAAGTGTTAATTCTTATCATTATGACTATGATCATACAGGTTTATGCCAGGCTTTAATTAACAAATTGCAGTGTAGCACATATCGGACACATAAATCAAATTCACGTTTTGTTTCTGTAAGATTCCTTCAATTATTCCTGGATGCATAAATTCCTTCTTAGAAAGATCATTCACCTCCTTATCCTTCCAAAGTAAACATAGGATTTTATATTATATTTATATATTTATAAGTATATAATATGGATATGCAATGATTTGTTTTGTAACTTACCAACCTCCATCAAGCTTGGTTGTAAGCTTCTGGACTTTCATACACACAAATATATTATAGTATAATATATCCATGTGCATTAATTTTCCTAACTCAACCATTTCTTGAAGATACCACAGGTTGTGGAATTTGTTCAATGTAGCCAGGTATTTTTGAGTGATCGATAATTATTTGCAAGAAAATTATAAATTATGGTTCTGCTTTCATGTGACTTGAACGTCAAAACATTAAAACAACCTCAATCCAGAACAGTGAGATGTCGGAAATCAAAAGGAGGACATACATGTGCGTTAACGAAGAAGACGTAATATTATCGAAATCAAGAAGGCCATAAACGAGCCCTACAATTGTAGGGCGCCTTTATGGCCTCCTTGATTGTCATAGTTTTCTACTTCTCCGTGTCAGAACTCTAATTTGAGGTTATGTCACAAACATCTATTTGCATCAAATTGTGCTTGATTTTGAGTTATATCATGTTTTATCAGCCTGAAATTTCCTACAATTTAAAAAGAAAACATATCTTCACAATAGGAGAGCGGGACACGGGACAAGTGTAATCTAGAAATTTTTGAAGAAGAGAAAGAGTATGACAATCAAGGAGGCCATAAACGCGCCCTACAATTGTAGGGACGACTGACGATACGGGCCTTAGACATTTTACATACCATGTATTTTCGAAACAAATGGAATGCAAGTAGAATTTAGTGTTGCTTCTGTCTATAGTCTACATATACAGGGTGTTCCTTAATGATATGCGAATATTTAAGGGTGTGAATCTGCATAAAAAATTAATGTTAATTTGCTTTATAAGCTATGGTCCAAAAATGTTTCCTTACAAAAACTCGGGTTGTTGAAGTCTTAGGTAAAAATGGAAATTACCTAATATAATCAAAATCGCGAAAGATGACTATTACGTCATACCATAAATTGTACTGAAGTAATCAATGATATGATAAAACCACGATGTCAGGAACACAATGACAATAAATTTATATTATGATTTTGCGAAGTTTGGTTATTTCACTGATTATTTTTATTTTCGTTTTATTTTATGGTTTTGGGTGATACCTTAATAATAATTTTAGTTGGGAGTTTTTGTTTTGAAAAAAAAACAGTTATGAGTAGAACCTTAGGACAGAAACACCAAAGACCAAAGTATTATTCGAAAACAACCTAACCTGCTTTAACATAACCTAACTATTCATCTTTCAAATATGATCGATCATACAACATGAAAACATCGTCTATCTTTGTCGGATACATGCACATTAGCAATACAGTCTGTTTAGACAATAAAATTATGTTTGTCTCTGTCTAACATATCTGAACCTCATTAAAAATATTCACAAATCGCTGTCGTTTGTCTACTACAGACTAAAATGATGACGTAATCGTCATCTTTCGTGATTTCAACTATATTTTCAGAACTGCTTCAGATATTTCACTGATATTGAGTAAATAGTGAAATTTATTAAAGTTGCATATTTTTCAATGCAAAAATAATTTTTAGCTTTAACAGTGGCGTGTGTACGGGTATTGACTTCGATATTTTTTAAGAAAAAAGTGATACGCCAATTATTTATTGCCAAATAAAAATTATTTTTGAATTCCCCGTTTAATTTAAAACAAATGGTCTCTCTTGAGTTGCTTTCCTTTGATGTGCCATTTTTGAGTAAACTTGCAAAATTATTAATTTAATTGGAACTGACAACTTAAGCATAACATTAAAACCAACCAAATTATTACAAAAATTGTTGAAAATGGCCCCCTTCACTTAGTATGCATGCTTGCGCCCTCCTTCCCATGGAATTGCGCGTTGAAATATCCCTGGAGTGTTTTTTATTCTATCACAAGCTGCAACTATTCTTTTTCTTAATTCCTCAAGTGTTAATGGGACTTGTGTACACTAGTGTCTTAAGATAGCCAAACAAAAAGAAATCTAAACTGTTGAGGTCTGGGGACATTGGTGGCCTTCTTGGGGCCCACCGCGGCCAATCCAACGATTTGGATAAGCAGTTTGTAAATAATTACGAACCGCTACACTGAAATACTCTGTTGCACCATGATGCATGTACCACATATTATTTCGTATTACTAACGGAACATCATCAAGCAGAAAAGGCAACTGTTGAAGAAAATTGAGGTAAGTCAATCGTCCCGGCACGAAGAATGGGCCAATAAAGTTGTTGCCAATAATTCCCGCCCATACATTAACCGAAAATTGGTATTGGAAATGGGTTTCGGTTACGGCTTACGGATTTTCTTCTGTCCACAAATGATTATTGTGGAAATTCTAAATGGTATTTCGAAAAAAATTAGCTTCGTCCGTGAACAGAATCATTGATTCAAATTGCGGATTTTGTATAATTTTTTGAAGATACCACTGAAAAAAGGTCACACACCTTGGAAAATCAATAGGAAGTAATGCCTGTACTCCTAAAATATGGTAAGAATATAACAAAAAATCCATTAAAATTCTCCAAACAATTTGATGGCAAATATTTAAGTGTCTAGCGAACTTCCTCGTACTCGTTTCAGGATGTTCTTCGACTTCGTACAGCACTGCTTCCTCAATTTCAGGTGTTCTCACACTTGGAGGACTACCTTCAGATGTTCCTTTTCGGACAGTTTCAACAAGACGAATATGAATATTAGAAAAGGTTCGACTATCTGGCAAAGCACGATCGGGATATCTCTGGTGATAAATCCGGCTGGCTTGCTCACCATTACCGTGGGCAAGGCCATATACGAAATGCATTTCCGCCATTTCTGCATGTGAATAATTTACCATTATTAACAAGATTGTAAAAACTAAATAATGAAAAGATGTCGCAGCGAACAGATTTGAATAACAGAGACTTGTCAGATGTCAAAAGCCAGTAACATATTCCAAAGCAACTAGATTGCATTCTTCAATTATTACATTAATTTTCACGGACAATAGAACGGTTTTTATTTTTTTACTCAAAAATGGCGCATCGAAGGAAAACAATTCAAGGGAGATCATTTGTTATAAATTGAACGGGGAATTCAAAAACATTTTTTATTTGGCAAAAAACAATTGGCTTACCATTTTTTTCTTAAAAATATCGAAGTCAATACCCGTACGCACGGCACTGTTAAAGCTAAAAATTATTTTTGCATTGAAAAATATCCAGCTTTATTAAGTTTCGCTACGTACTAAATATCAGTGAAATATCTGAAGCGGTACAGGGAATATTAATTAATTTCCATTTTTTTCCTAAAGCATCAACTTCCCGAGTTTTTGTAAGAAAACATTTTTGGACCAAGGTTTATGAAGCAAATTAACATTAATTTTTCATGTAGATTCACACCCTCGAATACTCGCATATAATTAAGGAATACCCTATATTTTTAGCAAAGCTCAGATACGTGTCGCAGGAAAATGATGCAGCTGCGAAGTAAAATTTATATACCGGCAACACCGCATCTATCGTGACAGAACCAAGGTAGCACTCCTTACCCCAGGCTAGTCTCCCAGGCAAGTTAAGGAAGGAGGGGGAGAAAATGATAGAATGAAGACAAATGAGCGAGTAAACGTCAAGCAGAGGATAAAGGAAAACGATGTCAAATGCAAACAGCGTTGCCAGACGTACGATAATTATCGTTTCTGTACGATAATTTCAAGTGCTGTTCGATGTACAATACCATGTGTAGGATAATAGCTGAATGCACGATAATTTTGCGAATGAGCTTTTTTACTCTCAGATGTTGAATCAATCTAGCAACTACGTTCAATTAGCACCAGCAAGCAGCTGTCAGTGTTGCCGCTTGGTAGACAATATAATATACAACAATATAATAATGCGTTGCCTAGCATTACGCGGACTATCTCGGCAAACATCAACGGGAAAAATTGCCGTCAATCAATTATCACGTTCTATGTACTGACATGACGAAATGAATGCGACGTCTCGCGTTTTTATGACTTTTGAAACTTAAAAATCAATTGATCGTTTTCAGTTATGTTGGATATTTAACCGGTTTCAATTCAATAACGATAATATGTCGGGTTCCGAATCAAGTTGCTCTGGAAGAGAGAAGCACAACAAAAGATGCGATACTCTCGAATACAGAAAACAAAAGAAAAGGAACGGAATCTTTGAAGAAAGCCAAACATAGACAGCAAGGAAAGAGTGGGAAACAAAAGAGCCCCCCTCCCCCCCTCGAGACGGAAATTTTCCTTCATCATGAATCCTGAGAGAACCTAAGTAGCGGTGTAGGATAATGAACGATAATTTTGACGTGCTTGTACGATAATTCTCTGCGACGAATCTGGCAACGCTGAATGCAAACGTACTGGGGTCGCTAAGATGGCGACAAACGATAGTAAAGCTCCGCTTAGAACTGTTAAAAGAGTGCAATTTGGAATACTTAGTCCAGATGAAATCGTAAGTAATGTGCAATTAAAATGTGTGTCTTCGATTTGTGTTAATATTTACAATCTGTGAATTATCTTTTTGTTGTTTAGTCTGCCGTCCAGCAAACAGTGTAACTGAGCATAGGTACACCACCATGTTGTGAAAACAAATTATAACATAGGATTATTTTTATATATTTTTGGTAAATGTTCCAGTTATACTCACGTGTCGGAACCAGTGCTAAACGTTAAGTTGTTAGAAAATTGCATTGAATGATTAGTACTGGTCTGATAGATTAAGCTACAACAGTATTTTCTTCAATTAAAACTTTTAATCAATTATATACTTGTTTTGATGCCCTACAGATTAAATATTCCGTATTGCATAATATAATGCAGTGTAGTAGTAACAGTGTATTGGAAAAACAAATTTCCATATTAAAAGTACTCCATTCAAGTTTTTTTGTGCAGAATTACATATTGCACTGTTGTGAACATGTTAAACCTGCAATAACCCCTAAATATGTGGTTATGTTAAGTGTACCATCACCAGCATTTGCTTTCTTGGTTGTCCTAGGCTCTGTTGTCTGGTATATCTAGCTATGACAAAAATTCAACAGTATTGCATGTTTTGTAGGGTGAATGTGCCAGTAACCTGGATTTAGATTTACCAACTAATTTGTAACAAAAATTTCACATGCACAGTTGTCATATTGACAACAGTATCAGTGCATCAAAAATAGCATGCATCAAATTTCCCAATTTTAGTCACATAAACATTAAAGTCAATTGGAATCGTCAGCTGACAATATATAAATGATGTCTGTGTTACATACCTATGCAGAAGACATTGAAAATTTATGAAATAAATCAATTTTAATATGTTATTTTAGTATTTTGAGGTAAAATTCCACATATGGGGGCAGGTTCAAGGAGACTGATTGTAAAATTTTAAATATAGCAAAATTTACATTATCCAGCCTAATAATGGTTGCTTATTCTCCATATTAAGAGCTAGGTCTAATGCCGATCAAGTAAAAGCAAGAAAGTAGCATTCTTTTAAGAATAAGGAGTGAGCATAGTTTTTTGCTAAAAGTCACATTCTGTCTGATATCCTCCTCAAAAATAACAAGTTTCATAGCACTGCATAGCCTGAGACATTCTTCATAGAATTCTATAAACTTCAAAAACATGACTCACATCAAAATATTTTCTTTAAATGTACATTTGAACAGCTATTTTGCTGTTTCAGTGTATTTCTGGGAATTTTCTGGATATACTGTACAGAAAGTAGGTTAAATTAGTTTTGTAAGATTTTTTTTTCAGAAGAGCATAGTTGTTCTATCCATCTCCTATAAAATTTAAAAAATTAGAGAATGTAAGTTTATACCAAGGAAAAAACAAATTCCAGATATATAATGGAGGCAGGTCAAAGGAGATAGTCAAAGCTGTAAAAAATGTTTGGAAATTGCCTGAAATATGCAAACAGTATGGTAGTTCAAAGTTGACAGTGCAGGACTGGATTAAAGGAAAACATTAGTTTCTTATTCATTTTTATGTAGTTCATATACAGGGTGACTTCGAAGTTGAGTCATTTATTTTAACAGTGAGTAGATCTGATCAAAAGAAATGTTTTTTTCCTTTACCATTTTTCTGGTAAAATTAAAGTAACAAAGTTATAGCCCTTTGGAAGTTTGAGTACCGCCCTGCCTATTATATGCTCGTGTTTGGCGACAACGGATATAATCCGCCTGACCGGTTCATCGCATCGGAAACAAAAAAGCGAAATAATTTGAAACGTTTATCACGATGTTTTTCGTCAGTCGATAACGCGTAAGTGAATAGTAGTGTGTTGCGTGGTTCAAACGAAATCAAAAATGGCACATGTTTACGAAAATGCTGAACTTGTGGACATGATTCTTATTTACGGGGGGGCAGTCTTTACAAAATGCTCCCGGATGCATCACGGATTTATGCGAATCGGTTTCCCAATCGAGTGCAACCAACCCCTCTTGCCTTTGTTAATGTAGTACAAAGGGCTCGTGAATCAGGTGACTTAAGACCTCACAGGTGAGGGCATGCTGCTCCAAGACCGCACGATCAAATACAGGTCCGCACTGAAATACTTGTCGGGAGGATACTTTATTAAACAAGGTAACATTTTTTTTTTATTTTTACACACATATTTTGGTTTATCTTCCTTCTACAATCATTATCTGAAAATTAATGACTCAACTTCAAAGTCACCCTGTATATTTTTGATAAAAATATGGGTATTAAGAAGATTCATTATGAGTGTGTTTAATTCAGTTTCCTCAGTCTTAATGACATAACTGATTTGAAAATTCTATTCTTGTATCACATATTTTTAAAAACAGTTCTGTCTAAAACTTGTCAATCGAATGCTGCCTGACAATTGGCAACTAGGCAGCTGACTAGTAGCACCTTCTGGCAATGTAGCCATTTTGATTAATTTTTTTTTTTATAAAATAACAGGAATGTCTAAATGTATTTGTTGTCAGTGAAAAGTTAACAACATACATATATGACCACCTCCAAAAACATAGTTTAGTTTAGCTTGAACTTTCACACTTGGTATACCATTTTTGTCTAAACTGTTGGCTGCTGGCACATTCACCCTATGTAGAAGATATTCAAAATGTATTAAATCAATCAATCTTATTATGCTGTTTAGTATTTTGAGGTCAAATTCCCTATATATGGTGAAGGCAGGTCGAAGGACTCAGATTGCAAATTTTTAAATATAATGCTGTCTAAAAGCCAACTAGTCCCACCTTTTGTCTGAGTTCTGGCAAGATAGCGCCTGTTTGACTAATATTTATATATAAAATTACAGGAATATCTATAAGCAATGTATTTATTGTTGGCAAAAAGTACTTTGTACTTCATTTTTGTCTAAACTATCTGTGCCCCTATTCTTGACTTTAATAGAAAATCACACTCCCTCTCTTTTTCTACTCCCCTGGTTTTCTATCGATTCGAAAATACTGTATTCTTGAAAGGACTTGATAGAAAGGAGAAGGAAATCAAGACACAGGGTTGCCAGGTTTGAGTAAACATGTCCAACCAATCAAAATGGAGATAATTTTGACATTCAAAAACTAACCAAAGATTTTGGTCAATATTTCCTTCTTATAATTTTATCTTTGGAGCTGAAAACATTAAAAGGCACATTACAAATGAACAAACTGAACAAAAGGACAAAATGATTGAATTTCTCCGAGAGCAGCCCCAAATGCACCAGGGAAAACTCAATCATAGCTTAAAGGATACTGTTTTAGAATGACTAAAACTTAATATCTAGGACTCTTGCCTTTGTTTTGATCAAAAGTTCAGAAGCTCGTGGGGGTGGACATATGAATGGAGTCAATATCTCCAGCAATTCATACACCATATCTTTGGTCAATCTAAACATCTGTACAAATTTTCGATCCGAAATTATGAAAGCATCTCGGTGCCCCAGAATATCTCTCCGAGTCCTCAGGTGCCTCCTCTACATCCTCGTTAATAATACCATTCCAGTACATCAATTGATTGAAATTAACCATTTGTTTGCAATATATTTAGCAGGAATGGCAATAACAATGTCAAACACGTATTTTGCTGTATCAATGTGTTTCTGGTAATTTTCCGGATATACTGTACCCAAAAATTAGCTTTCTAATATTTACTAAGAAATGCATAGATGCTCTATCATCTGCAAAATTTAAAAAAGTAGAGAATACAAGTTTTGCATTTGGACCTTTCATTTTTACTCCTCAAAGCTTGCAGCAAAGAAACACTTCTTACGTCAAAACTTTATATTTTTGCATGGTGGAGAAAATCAAATAGTAACATTTTGGTGCAACTCACAAGGTTGCATCAAAATTAGTTTCCAACCATCAATGTATTGCATCTTCTTCAACCAAAATCAGAATTCATCTTTCATTTGAGTAAATAGCATTACAAAGTTTCTTGTCAGAAATGTATTTTTCAAAGAGCAAAAATCAATCAAGTTTTCTGTTTTGCCAAACCCTTATGTAGTCTGTCATTACACAAAGTAGAAGATATAAATTTTGCATCTAAAAACGTTTGTCATTATTAATGCTTGAACCCAGGAATGTAACCAGCAACTAAAGTCATTAACAAGTTGCAATATGAAATGTAAGTTACTGTTCTTGAAAAGAACTTCGTGAACGGTGGAAGGGGAAGTACAAAATGTAGAAACTATAGAATTTTAGCATTTCAGATGGCTATACAAAATTTTTCTTACAACACCTTTAATGTAGGTACTAAAAATTATTTACATTCAATAATATTATACAGGACATAGTGAAATTTTAGGAAGTATGGACTGAGACCTTTCCATATCTGAAAAAGTTGCAAGTCCGGTTTTACGGATATACAGGATGATTTATCTAAATATTCCAAATCTTTAATATCCAATATCTCAGGTACTATTGAACTGATTTTGACGAAATTTTGCATGACAAGTTCCCCCTGATTAACATAAAACAAGATAGACAGTTAAGAAATTCAGGCTGGAATCAAATCTTACATTTTTTTTCATCAAAACCAACACCTTTTGAGGTAAACATTGAAATATTTTACTATTTACAAAAAAGTCAATGATTGGAACTAAAAAATTAGCAAAATAGATTGATTGCACTTCCTTTAGTTATTTAGATAAACATTTATGTTTATTCAAATATTTTTAGCAGTTCATGTGGCAAAACTCACAATTTCATGGTTTATCAACTTTGTTTCAACATTAAGTTTTAGGAACTCAAAATTTCATGTTCTGTTTCAATTCTCTTAATTACTTGTATTTTATTAAAGGCAATTATTTTGCAGGGAAAAGAGCAACACAATATGAATAAAAGGGAAATCTTAATTTTCCCTTTCACTTTTTACTGTAATTTGTTTAATGATTCAATTCTACCTACTGATATTATACAATATTATGTATGTGTAAATGTAATGTATGGGTCCCTATAAAAGGAGGACTCATGTTGTTGTATAACATCAGTTGGCAGAATTAAATCATTAAAGTTTTACTGAAAAGGCTAAATAGGGTGTATAACATTCATTTTCCCTTCTACCTATAGACCATTGAATGTTAAGTTTCAAAAATACCATTAGTTCAATTCTTATCATCATTTTGTAAAATTTTAATGAAACCAAGTTGATTTCCTCTTAACATGTTGAGTTTTGTTTTACATAGACTGCTAAAACAAGATATTTAAATTAATAAAGATTCTTTAGAAAGAAATCAAAAGAAGCTCGATCTATTTTGCTAATTGGCTTTTTTGTACATATTCAGAAATGTCAGTGTTTAGCTTAAAAGGTGTTGATTTTATTTAACAGAAAAATGAAAAAATCGTGTCCCGCCTTGGATGTTTTAACTGTCTATCTAGTTTTACATTACTCCTAGGTAACTTTGTTTTCATACAAAATTTCAAGAAATTTTTTTTCAATAGTGCCTGATATATGGGATATTAAAGATTTATCATGTTTAGGTACAACCGTAAAAATTGAATTTATATTATTTTCCGATTTGGAAAGGTGTTGGTCCATACAACCTATTTCACTGTCCCTTTAAGGAGATGTATGTATTCCAAATTTTCACTCATGTTTGTAATTGGTAATGTTTTTCACAAAATTTTATAAAACATTCAATATATAATGTGGTTTTCGGATTGTAAAATGATGGGAAAAAGTATGCTTTGAGAATGTTCTTACAACTTTATAAATTCTAAACCTAGGATTTGCATAATAATTGTCATAAAAAAAATGACAAACATAGGTCTGATTTACAGTGCTTTCCTTGAATTCAGACCACAGATATACACCACCCCATTCCCCACCACTTCAACTATTCGTCTTTAAAAGTTTGTAGTACAATCTTTATTGTAGCTTTCATGTAATTTTTATTTTGATATATCATAACATTCATGAATTCTTTCTAGCGTCGCATGTCCGTTACAGAAGGCGGCATCCGCTTTCCAGAGACTATGGAAGCGGGCCGGCCAAAGCTGTGTGGACTTATGGATCCTAGACAAGGTGTCATCGACAGAAACTCCAGGTGCCAGACATGTGCAGGTAACATGACCGAATGTCCTGGACATTTTGGTCATATTGATCTCGCCAAACCGGTATTCCATATTGGCTTCATCACAAAAACCATCAAGATTCTTAGATGTGTCTGCTTTTTCTGCAGTAAACTGCTAGTCAGCCCTGTAAGTACATAATCTGATTTTGTATCCACTATGTTCCATATGATCAAGTAGTGCAATTATTATTTGTAGTTTATGTGGCACATTTCATTTCATTCAAGTATCTTCACATTTTTTTATTGTGAAACATTGTGCAGATAATTGTACTTAGATCATATCATTTGATCAATTTAAACTGTCTGTGTTGACAAAAACAGTAGGTTTCATCAGCTTTAAAATTCCATGAATCTTATCTCAATTTTCCAATCATTATTGAAATTGAAATTCTTTATTCATGTCACAATACACAAAATATGTTTAAATACGTCAGTATTATTATTAGCAGAATAATAACGTAAATCAAGTTTTTAAAAAGTACTTGCGCTTATTTTTTGTTTCTATATTTACTGATAGGCTGAAACTATCAAAATAATGAAGAAATGTTAAGTAGTTTTTCATTGTTTTTGAAGATATTTTGATAAAATAGCGACAAGCAGGTTGACTCTACACTTCCCACGCAAGACTGTGTTATTTCATAAATTCTACTCAAGTCAAAGAAAGAAGTTAGCTACGATCATATATAGCAAAGAGATAAAATGGATTAGGTCAGTCAAACAGACCCATACAATTAATCCACAGTCTTCGGCATCTTCGCCCATTCAACAACGTTGCCATCTAGCTCGCCGGCCCTACCGACATTTCCGACCATCTGGCAACGTTGCAATTAGTGCCTTCAGGAAGTTGTCAGGGGGAGCTGTGGCCCTCCCTGAGAATCTGCTTATACCATAAAACTCGCATATGTAACATGATTTTGTATATAAATTTGGAGATTTTTTATGCCAATTTCGCCAATAGCGTGGGAACTGAAAACAAAAATCGTCATGCTTACTCCTGGTTTATGTATGTGTTTACCGATACTATTGAACAATAGCACAATACTAAATATTCAAGATAATTATTATAATTTTTTAATTTCAGAATAATCCAAAAATCAAGGAGGTTGTAATGAAGTCCAAAGGGCAGCCAAGAAAACGTCTAGCATTTGTCTATGATCTCTGCAAAGGTACTAAATTTGTCTTAACAACAGTTACACAAATAATTGATTTTATCAAGAAGATTTAAAACAGTTGAAAAGATATGGGCTTCAAAAAAAGACACTGTATGTATAGCCTATCCAGCCAAAATGGGTTTTTTGAGTCTTTTGGTATTGTAATACAAAACATCTTGTTTTTTTTTTTTCTTCATTAAAATAAGTTTGAGATTATAATATAACCACTGTCAGAATCAATTTCACTTTTCATTATATCAAAACATTGTTGTCATTTCACATGTTTATGTATGACTGGTAATACTTTTTTATGGTTTCATTTTATGAAAATGTCTCTTGATTCTTCCAATATTTAGGTAAAAACATCTGTGAGGGTGGTGATGAAATGGACGTTGGCAAGGAGGGTGAGGAAAATCCCCAGAAAAAGCAAGGACATGGTGGTTGTGGTAGATATCAGCCTAATATAAGAAGGACTGGATTAGAATTGACAGCAGAATGGAAACACGTCAATGAAGATACACAGGAAAAGAAAATATCACTCTCTGCTGAAAGAGTTTGGGAAATCTTGAAGCATATCACAGGTATGCCAATGATCAATAGACTTTTTACTAGTTGAAAATCATTCAAGTTTTTGTATGCAGAAATATATTTTATCATCACAAGTCCATATAATGACTAGGATGAGTCAACATTTGTTAACATATTTATGCTAAGGTAGGTGTATTGATAGATAGCAACAAGTTTTATAATGTTATATCTTCCAAAGCAGTGTCCTGGATTATAGTGCCTACAAGTTTTTGAAGTAGTTTAAAAAGTTTATCCAGTAAATGATTAATTATTTGTAGTAGATATGTGTTATAATTATTAGTAATTTATTTTTTCACCGCCAACTTGAGAACTAATTTTTCTCTCTAAAGGCCGTCTGTCACGATACAAAATTTTGTGACAAAATTCGTTCCCAATTTGTTTACAAATTACAATCCTGTCTGAACCACAAAGAAATTTTTGTACTAAATTTCGTACGAAATCATGCGCAGTTGGTAGAAAAAAAACTTATAACTGCCATTTATCATGTCAAAGTCATTCTATCCGCACTTTCCCTTACGGTTGCTACTTTAGGGCCGTATCGTCAGTCGTTCACATAATTGTAGGACGCCTTTATAGCCTCCTTGATTTTCATAGCCTTTTCTCTCCTTCAGAAAGGCTGACGAATTCCTATATTTCTGCTGTTCCGTGTCAGCGTCAGCACTCTCCTATTTTGAGGCTATGCTTTCTTTTTGAATTGTAGGAAATTTCAGGCTGATATAACATGATATAAATCAAAAGCATGAACGATTTGATGCTAGATATTTGTTACATAACCTCAAAATAGAGCGCTGACGCGGAGCAGTAGAAAACTATGAAAAGCAAGGAGGCCATAAAGACGTCCTACAATTGTAGGAACGACTGACGATATCGCCCTCACTCTTTTATTTTTGAGCGAATAGAAAATTGTAGAATATGGACCGATTCCGTAATTCGCATAAATATTATATGCGACTGCGGCGGCAGCGATCTGCGTTGTAGCTGCCCACCTCATGAGAAAACGAAGTAAACGAAACTGTAAAATAATTTGGTGCCAAAAATAGATCAGGGAGAGAGACCAGAGCAGGTGTGTGCTCCATATGCTGAATAAAGAACTTCTAGTGCAGGATCCACTGGCTTATAAGAATAATTGGTTCTCAAGTCATTCTGATTTTATCCAACGCAGCTTATTTGGCTTCTCTTTTACATCGTATAAACAATCATATTTCTCATACTCGTTTTTGATCATGATTTCTTTTAGGTTTTCAATCTATAAGTAGAACAGTATACGCAGGAAAGTTTCGCGAAACTGATGAACACAACTGATAACATTAACCAATGAAAGTGTTTGAAGTTATATCAGCCATTGTACTGCCCCAAATGCGCAGTAGTTGCCTGCGCACTTTTAGTATATTATTTAGAACAGTTTCTACAAAATCCTTAATTTCATACGGAATTTAGCAGAAAATTTTGTACGAAATTTACTACAAAATTTCGTATCGTGACAGACGTTAAATAATAATAGAGAATGATATATTGATACTTGACACTATACAGGGTGTCCTAGAACGTGGTACTTTCCTTTTCAGAAACAACTCTATGCTTGAAATAACGAAGATAATGTATGGTGAAACAGTAACAAAAAAGGAAAAAAAATAAATGAAAAGGTACTCACCATTCATTTGCAGAGAAATTTCAACTACAGCTCTGCCACTTATAAGTACTGTTCAAAGTTGTCGCCATTGGTGAAATGTTTCGCAGAAAGTCTAGGTGTTGTAAACCGTCCAGTCATTTGACGAGAATAAAAGGCCCATTTATCATGACAGCCCAAATAATCAAAGAAAATGTTTGTGGAAATTGGACCGACGGACTACGTGAGGATTTTCCAGTGACTACACATGAGTATTTCGGAAGTTATTCACCCCGTTACGCGTGAAGAATTGATACGTCCGTGACTTACATGCAGTGCAACAACCACTCACTAAAATGCACTCTTGCAGCTTGTACATCACGCAGCATTTGTGATACTGTCTTGGAGACTTGCACTTACCTAGCCACACCATCTGCATACACTCGCGAAGCCTCCGAGGCATTTTGAAGACACCATAAATTAAAATCATGTTTACAAGTTCGACATTGTTGTACGAGTGTACCATTTTCGTTTTTCGTTCGAACCGATTGGTAAATAAACTTTTTGTTTTCCTATGCTGGCGGGGGAGTACTGACGTGCGTTGTGCCTTCTCACCTTTTATCTGGTCAAGATACTGGAGCGGATTGGGTTTTGGTTTAGGTTTTCTTGATTTCGCGTAGGAAAACTCGCTTTTTTACAAGATCTATACGCCGTGTAAAGTATTTGCGAACACCCTGTATTTGACGGTTACTTAACATTTTTGTTTAATGGCGACGTCTAACGTGATGATCTTCCATCTGGGTCCATAGGCTAGATTTAGGCTCAATCTAAATTCTCAACAGTCCTGTTTGTGGCGTAAAATCGAATATTTTGTGTTTTCGAAGAAGCCGACATCAAGTCGGAAACGGTGGATAAGCCAAGTCATAATAATTACCAGAAAGATATAAAAAAAATCTAAGTCATTTACTTTTCAAATTATAGGCTTTAAACAAATCTGAAAAGTCAGAGAATCATACTGTGTGATATTTTAGTTCAAAACATATTAAGGCCACTTTTATTAATTCGTGAATGTATTTATTAAATTCGATTGGCTTTGACTAAACGAAATTGCCCCACACCCCCTATCCTTCTGCTCGAGTATTCCCCATCAAGATATTCTTCTCTAACTCAGGGTTTCTCAAGCGGTGGTTCGCACTTTAAAATACGACACTGACTATTTGCAAATGGGTTTTTATTTCACCGGGGAAGAGTCGGAACCTAAACCGCTTTGTGTAATTTGTAATGAAGTCCTGGCCAAGAGTAGTTTAAAACCATCGCTTCTTCGTCGGCGCCTTGAGACAAGACATCCAGATTACACGGATAAACCTATTGAATATTTTATGGTCATAGGAATTGTAGTGTTTCTTCTTTCCTGTCAGCTTTTAACGCATACAGTAAATGGTTCTTGAAGCATCATTTCGAGTTAGTTACAGAATCGCAAGATCTGGAAAAGCTCATACAGTGGCAGAAAATTTGATCGGACCTTGTGCTAAATATATCGCAATGTATATGCTTGGAGAAAAAGCGGCAAAAAAAATTATCAAACAGCAGTGTCACGGAGAATTAACGATTTAGCGAACAGTGTTGAAAGTGAACTTTTGAAAAGAATGAAATTGAATTATTTTACTATTCAGCTTGACGAGTCGACCGATGTAACAAACTGCAATATTGCTCGTGTATGTTAGATATATTTTTAAGAATTCCATTCAAGAAGATGTGTTATTTGCAAAACCACTGGAAACTTATACGACTGGTGCAGCAATTTTTAATCTGATCAATATGACTATTTTGAAAAACATGAAATCAACTGGTCATTTTCCTTAGGTGTATGCACAGATGGTGCAAAATCAATGACTGGAACTTATTCTGGTTTTTTGACACAAATAAAGAAGTTCAACGAGAATATGAAATGGACTCACTGCTGTATTCATAGGCAAGCATTGGCATGTAAGCGTATTCCTGCAGAGTTAGCCAGTACTTTAAGCAAATCTGTATAAGTTGTGAATTTTATAAAGTCCCTTGCTACAAATTCTCGTCTATTCCGTGAACTTTGTGAGGACTTGGGAAGTCTCCACGTCTCTTTATTACTTCATACAAACGTTAGGCGGCTTTCTCGTGGCAAAGTTTTGACCCACTTGTTTGAATTGAAGTCTGAAGTTCAGGCATTTCTTCTTGACCATCCATTGCATTTGTCCACTTCTGTATCCGACATTCTGTGGCTCCAAAAACTTGCATACTCAGCCGATATTTCTTCTAAATTAAATTAACTAAATATGTCTTTACAAGGTCCAGGAATCACCATTTTCAATGTTCGGGATAGAATAGAATCCATGCTAAAGAAGTTCAACTTTTGGAATCAATGTCTGCAGATGCATGAGTACGATTGTTTTGGTTCTCTCAGCAGTTTTTTATCAGAGAATAAAATTCAACTTAACGATAACATTAAAAGAGATATTACTGAACATCTCAAATAGCTGCTTCAATTAACGTTCAAAGATTATTTTCGTAATAAACCTGGATCAAACAACTGGATACTTAATCCTTTTGAAAAAGATATAATTTCTAACACTTCTTTATCTTTATTGGTAAAAGAAAAGCTCATTGACTTATCCTCTGACTTCTGGCCCAATGTAAAAAATGAATACCATATCTTAGCAGAAAAAGCCATGCAAATTTTGTTACCGTTCTGCACAACGTATCTGTGAGAGAAAGGATTTTCAACATACACTTACCTCAAAGATAAGTACAGAAATAGATTAAATGCAGAACCCGATCTAAGACTTCAGACTCTGAACCAAATTTTGAATTTCTTTGTTACAACAAACAGGCACAAATATAGCATTGAGGATTTTTGCAAGTATCGAATTACTTGTATTCATATATTAATCCTTTTTTTTGTAAGGCTTAGTTTTAATAACGTTTCTCTAAATGTTTCATGTTACAGCTGTTTTAGTTTACTTTGCTCATTATAACCATTATTCATATGATTAATAAATTTTGATAACAGCCAAATAATATATATAATAAAATACTGTTTTATTCACTAACTACTAACGACTGCTCAGTGGGTTCGCCGATATATTCCAATTTTTATATGGGGTTCGCAGAAAGAAAATAGTTGGGAACCGCTGCTCTAGCTGGACGAGCACAGTGCGCCGGTCAGCCGTCTTGCTGGTACCACATGTCTCTCTCTGTAAATGCGTAGTGGCACGTCTTCCAACAAATTTGGTAAATGATTTGTAAAAAGACTAAGCTCAAAGGATACTATGATTAGAATACCGGTCCACATGTTTACTTTAAAACGGTACAGTGATCTATTATGTGATTTTATACATGCTACTCTTGTAAGCTGTGTAGGTTCCTGTAACCATCTTTTTTAAATGTCGACTCATCAGTCCGCAAAATTTTCTCTAAAAATCGCGGATCTTCACGGTGTCTCTTTAACATTGTTTGACAAAACTCAACCCTGGGAAGATAATGCCGGGGCTGTACAGATTGTACTCGCTGTACGTTCATTCGCAAGATTCGGTGGGCTGGACTTTTGGGCACTCCCACACGGATATTACGTATCTTGGAAAGTGAAATTTTGCCGGGTTTTTTTTTGACATTCCGTAGGTTTTTTGTGATATAATGTAGGTTTTTCTACAAGATTTTAACTTAGCACAACCTGTTGTACACTTGTTGTAAACTCGTTTTGTAGCTGTACGTGTTGCTTAAACGTCAGCGAACAGCGATCATAGCGACCAAACGTGGAATGAACTATTTGCACACTAAAAACTACCTAGTCTGCAAGACAACATTTCGGCGTTTTTTTTACGTTTTTTAGGTTTTTTACATAATACCCCTGCCAGCTTGTTTATATTAGTAGAAGTACGGCCTCCTTGTAAGGAAAGGAAATTCTTTCTTCACAAGGTGCTTGATCTGAGAATCGTCCCTCTGAGAGTAAATGGTGCGCGTTTACAAAAACTCGGTGATCGGGATGAGGAGCAGCATTTGGATACCTCTCACGATAAAGCCTAGCTGCAGCACTAGCATTGCGTCTATACTCGTAAATGAGGCGTATTCCTGTACGATGTACTCAAACATGGTGGCACTACACAATCATGAATTAATAAAAGTGTCGTAACTATCTGTCTTGCTGTCACCGTGTAGATTGGCACTGTCCGTCATACAAAAATTGAAATTTGTAGTAATGGGAACTAAACGATCATCACAGGGTGTAGGTTTTTCCGATTCTTTTTTCAAAGCCTATAATTTGAAAAGTACCCGACTTAGTTCCTTTTATGTCTTTCTGCTAACTATTATAAATTTGGCCTATTCTCCGTTTCCAACTAAACGGCGACTTCTGGGGCACCCTGTATAGTATTAGTAGTGAACAAATCCTATACATACTTCTCAAGCTAGGCTTCTCTTTTGTTCATCCTACTAGATGAGGAATGTTTCATCCTGGGTATGGACCCCAAATTCGCCCGTCCAGATTGGATGATTGTTACAGTACTGCCAGTGCCTCCTTTGGCAGTACGACCAGCGGTAGTGATGTACGGTTCTGCTCGTAACCAGGATGATCTGACACACAAGTTGGCTGATATTATCAAGGCCAACAATGAGCTTCAGAAGAACGAGGCTGCAGGAGCTGCAGCACATATCATTACTGAGAACATCAAGATGTTGCAGTTCCATGTGGCGACTTTGGTGGACAATGACATGCCTGGAATGCCAAGGTTTGTATATAAAAAAAATCCACAGTCAAATATTTCAAAAAACTCCAACACCAACAGTTTTAAAATTTCAATCAGTACTTATCCTTACAATTAAATTGATAATTGTCTTGGATAAAGCTATATGATACAATTTTTTCACTACAAAATATTATAATGACGGGGTTTTATATTTCTTTGTTTTTATGGTATTTTGAATATTGTGAATGAAAATATTCTCACATTTTTGTTATGCAATTTATCCATCTTATAAAAGATCTAATGAGTCATTGGCAACAGTTGCAGCTCCCTACTACTCTTACAGATAAACCGTGAAACCCAGAACTAGCTGGATTTTCCGTAATTATTTTCTACTGTGGTTGATAATACCCTGTATACTTCATTATATTATTGAAGACCTTTCCAAAAGAGGGAGTTTAATAGCATACTATACTCGATATTTTATCTCAAAATAACTTTGACAGCTTATAAGCCAAGTTAGAAGATAGATAGATGGCGACAAATTTTTCATCGGGAAGAATATCGCATAGTTTATAGTTATATCAATACTTTTTATGTGTTGTGTATCATCGGGTGTACTTTTTTGGATCATATAAAAAAATAAAATTGCTGATGGTTTCACACAAACAAACCGTGGGGCACAAAATTTAAAAATACCATCATGTGGTGCCTAATGGAACAGTTTTATTAGTTTTTTGATATTACTTAAAATAAAGTAAAGCAAAAATAAAGTTGATTTGGCCAAATTTTAGTTTTTCCCAAATATCTCTGTAAGCCATGAAATGTTTACAAGTTTCTCAAGGGCATGTAAATACGCCCCAAAGAACGCAACTTTTTCGTAATTTAGCCTAAGCTCTATCTCTTACAGGTATTGAAATTCCCATAAATAGGATTCTTATCTTATTATATTTGCATTTTCGAATAGACAAAAGATCTAATAAGCTTTTGCAAATTATTTGCCCGTGCATTTGGCAGTGCGGTCACCTCCTTATATGTCTGTGTAATTCTACCTTTTTATGTTTTACTTTTCTTAAGCTCTATTTGGATTTACTGTTCAATAGTTAAGAGAAGTACCACCCGAACTTTTGGATCATAGATCACTCGTGGCTGATGACACTTGGCAACTGAGCTACCATTTTAGGTTTCTAAATGTATAAAGCTCTTTCGCTCTGCCATCATTTTCCTTGAGAATTGCAATAAGCTATATCTTATTTACAAATATCCGTAAACGTTATAGCTTTAGTATACTATGCAATGTTTTGTAATTTTTCAGGGCCATGCAAAAATCTGGAAAACCGCTAAAAGCGATCAAAGCTCGGCTCAAAGGAAAGGAAGGCAGAATTCGAGGTAACCTTATGGGAAAGCGTGTAGATTTCTCAGCACGTACTGTCATTACACCAGATCCAAATCTGCGAATTGATCAAGTAGGAGTACCAAGGAGTATTGCTCAGAACATGACATTCCCTGAGATTGTTACTCCTTTCAACTTTGACAAGTAGGTAGAGCTTTATTGGTGAATAATTTTTTTAATTCCTACTCAAATACTTCCAAATATATTGTTTTTAGTCTTTACTATTTGCATAGTCAATATGTTTGAATTTTCACAGGATGCTCGAGCTAGTACAAAGGGGCAACTCCCAGTACCCTGGTGCAAAATATATTATTAGAGACAATGGTGAAAGAATAGATTTAAGGTTCCATCCTAAGCCATCAGATCTTCATTTGCAATGTGGATATAAGTAAGTATGATTGCATAAGTTTGTGTATCTTGTTTTAATCCTTCTTTTTCAATACTCATCATGACTGTACCCAGTCCATTTATCAACTAAAACTATTACATCAGCTTTTATTTGTGATCACCACCATATGTCTGTATTGATAGTATATCTTGAAATCATATTTTTTCAGAGTTGAAAGACACATAAGAGATGGTGACTTGGTAATTTTCAATCGTCAGCCAACCCTCCACAAGATGAGTATGATGGGTCACAGGGTAAAGGTGTTACCCTGGTCCACTTTTCGAATGAACCTGTCCTGTACTTCTCCATATAACGCCGATTTTGACGGGGATGAAATGAATCTGCATGTACCACAGAGTATGGAAACCAGAGCTGAAGTAGAAAACCTACATATAACCCCTAGGTAAGCATTAAGTTCAAAATAAATAATTGATGACTCTATGTATGACCATGTATCTTACAACCACTTGGCAATGAGTTCAGTTACACCCTATTTCACGAGTACCCATTTTACGTTTTCGCGTCTACTAAGGTGAACAGCTGATCAGCTGACATCTTTATATTAGTTTGTAATGTTGGCAGTAATGAATCAGGTGTAAATTTGGTAAAGCTTAAGGCCATATTCAGAGCTCTGGTTCACATATCTAGATACTAGTGACTGGGAATTTTGACTGTAAAAAATATAGGAAATGTACATAGAAACATGTTTATTAGTATAGCAATCGATCTGGCAACATCTGGGACTTATTGATTACTAGGTAAGTCAATAGAATAGATAGTGTTGTCCTTTCCAGTAGCTGTAATTTTTGTTGTGAAAATAATATAGAAACGGTCGGTTAATTGTCTGTCATCAGTGCAATGTAATTCAAATATGGCTGTTACATTGCCCTTGAAAATCAGGTTTCAAGTTCTAAAAACTAGAGATGATTAACAAAGTCAAAAACCTGACTTAAATGTAGTGATGATCATTAGCAACTGCTTTGCTTATATCGTTTTTTTTTAATGCAATGATACCTTTTCTAAATAAAAGAGTTGTTAGCAAGTACAGGACGAATATGTATCGATATGGGGAATTTTGAAATATTACTAGATAAATGTTATTCTACCGTAATGGATACTCGTGGAAAAGACAGTAAGTACTCATTTGTTAAAATTAGCATTAACCTAGTTTTATTCATTATACAGGGTGACTTCGAAGTTGAGTCATTTATTTTAACAGTGAGTAGATCTGATCAAAAGAAATGTTTTTTTCCTTTACCATTTTTCTGGTAAAATTAAAGTAACAAAGTTATAGCCCTTTGGAAGTTTGAGTACCGCCCTGTCTCAATAATAATATTATATGTTCGTGTTTGGCGACAACGGATATAATCCGTCTGACCGGTTCATCGCATCGGAAACAAAAAAGCGAAAGAATTTGAAACATTTATCACGTTTTTCATCAGTCGATAACGCGTTAGTGAATAGTAGTGTTTGTTGCGTGGCTCAAACGAAATCAAAAATGGCACATGTTTACGAAAATGCTGAACTTGTGGACATGATTCTTATTTACGGGGGGGCAGTCTTTACAAAATGCTCCGGGATGCATCACGGATTTATGCGAATCGGTTTCCCAATCGAGTGCAACCAACCCCTCGTGCCTTTGTTAATGTAGTACAAAGGGCTCGGGAATCAGGTGACTTAAGACCTCACAGGTCAGGGCATGCTGCTCCAAGACCGCACGATCAAATACAGGTCCGCACTGAAATACTTGTCGGGACGATACTTTATTAAACAAGGTAACATTTTTTTTTATTTATTTTTTTATTTTTACACACATATTTTGGTTTATCTTCCTTCTACAATCATTATCTGAAAATTAATGACTCAACTTCAAAAGTATTTAGATCTTTCGTTTTTCTTTTTGTGAGACAGATCACCTGTAATACAAGGTGTTTCAGTTTATTGTTGCATAACTTTAAGATTCGATAGAACTTTTAAAATTAATGCATAAAGTCTATATAAACATGGGTCGAAAAATGCGTGGCTTCCGAAATACAGGGTGTTTAGATTTACTTTCTAAAATAGTTTTTTTAAATATTTCTAACAATATTTGATGTATAATAGTGAAAATTGGTATACAAGGGTTTTTTGGTACGACAAAACGAACCATGGGCATAGTTTTACTGTAGCCGCTAGAGGGCGCTCTCTACCGTACCTGTAGTGTATTAAAATGACCGAAACATTTTTCTTAGTGCAATTTTTTGCTTTTTGAATAAAAAACCTGATTCTTCGCACTTTTCAACATAAAACAGCTCTCTTGTGAATGTTCGTTATAGCTAGCCGTTTTTGAGATATTTCGATTTTTAAGGTTCGATGCATTTTTAATTATTTATGATAAAATAACGTGAAAAGTCAGTATCTCGATAATTTTTAGAAGTAGGCTGTGCCCGCAAATATTTTTGAAATTGAAGGCAGAATAAGGTTAAACGTCAATTAGTTGACAGTTAGTTTTGTTGTATGTTGAAACCTGAAACGTTTTATAAAAATTACATTTTTATTCTCCAATCAAGAGTTAGCGGATATTCATTTTGTGTATGGCTTTGTAAATGGAAACGCAGCAGAAGCAGCCAGAGAATATGCACGAAGATTTCCAAACAGACGACATTCAACTCGCTCAGTATTTGTAAGGGTGCATCGCCGAATAATTGAAAATGGTTTTGGAAACCCCCAAAGGGATCAAAACATAAATGTTCGTCAGCGCAGATTTATCCGTATGATTCTGCGTGAGTTTGATAGAGATCCGACCACAAGGGTTAGGAGAGTTTCTGGTGCCTTGGGAATTTCAGCAAGCCATGTTCACCGTGTTCTTAGAAATGACCATAGTCGTCCTTACCATTTGCAACCTGTGCAAGGACTACAGCCAGGGGACGGAGAACGAAGAATTACATTTTGTCAGTGGATTCTTGATAGAACTTATAATAATAGGGAGTTTTTAAGTAACGTTTTATGGACCGATGAGTCATGCTTCACTAGACCAGGAGTGGTAAATTTTCATAATCAACATATTTGGTCGCATGAAAATCCGCATGCAGTTCGGGAAAGAAATTTTCAGCATGAATTTAGTGTGAACGTGTGGATTGGTATCTACCGTAATCGACTATTTGGACCCTACCTTTTGCCTGCAAGGTTAAATGCTGCGACCTTCTTGGAATTTTTAAAGGCTGAACATGCAAATATGTGGGATGATGTTATGTTAGATTTAAGAAGATTGGCATGGTTCCAGCTTGATGGTTGTCCAGCTCATTATTCGTTAGAAACTGGCTGGACGAAAATTATCCAGCAAGATGGATCGGCCGTGGAGGACCAGTCGCCTGGGCTCCACGATGCCCTGACCTAAATCCATTAGATTTCTTTGTGTGGGGATTTCTAAAAGAAAAAATGTGTACCAGACTCCCGTAACGACAAGAGATATGCTAATAGACAGAATCAGGAATGCATGTGATGAAATAAGGCATTATTTGAATAATGCTATACCACGTTCGATCATTCGTAGATGTGAATTGTGTATTGAACAATTGGGTTTACATTTCGAGCAACTACTTTAGATTTTGTATGTCCTAACTATCCAATAGCATTTTAGTTGTAAATAATTAATTTAATTTGTTAAAAATAATATTGGAAAATTAAACAAATTAATATTCTGCTTTTTTGTGTTTATTTGGAGTTAGGAATTATTGCTGTGTTTAAAAACACAATCTAAACGATCATCTTAATTACTTGTAATGCCCAAATCGAAAATGTAAAAAAAAATATTATTTTCCCATAAATAATTAAAAATGCATCGAACCTTAAAAATCGAAATATCTCAAAAACGGCTAACTATAACGAAAACTCACAGGAGAGCTTTTTTATGTTGAAAAGTCGAAGAATCAGTTTTTTTATTCAAAAAGCAAAAAATTGCACCAAGAAAAAATTTTCGGTCATTTTAATACACTACAGGTACAGTAGAGAGCGCCCTCTAGCGGCTGCAGTAAAACTATGCCCATGGTTCGTTTTGTCGTACCAAAAAACCCTTGTATACCAATTTTCACTGTTATACATCAAATATTGTTCGAAATATTTAAAAAAAAACTATTTTAGAAAGTAAATTTAAACACCCTGTATTTCGGAAGCCACGCATTTTTCGACCCATGTTTATATACACTTTATGCATTAATTTTAAAAGTTCTATCGAATCTTAAACTTATGCAACAATAAACTGAAACACCCTGTACATTCGATTTTGCTAGATACATAGAAATAAAGAATCTGAAATGTATCTGTAAAACTTTCATTTATTCCTAGACAAATTATCACACCTCAGGCCAACAAACCTGTTATGGGCATTGTACAGGACACATTGACAGCCGTACGGAAAATGACAAAAAGAGATGTATTCATAGAAAAAGAACAGATGATGAATTTGCTGATGTTCTTGCCTATTTGGGATGGAAAAATGCCTAGACCAGCTATTCTGAAACCAAAACCACTGTGGACCGGTAATATTGAGTATATTTACTAAGTACATAGTTAGAAACAGTACATAATTTTGATACCTTTTGTTTGTTCTTCTCTCCTTTTTTTTCGAACATGTTTGCTTATAGCAAGCCTCTAACGTCTAACGCATTGATTTTCAAAATAGGAAGCGTGACGACATGTGAAGGGACGCGCGCGGTACGAATGAAAGAAAATCAATTTCAAGAAAAGTTAGTCAGATTGGTCGAGTAAGTAAAAATAGACAAAACTGATCAAAACATATTTCTCACAAGGGTTGTAAACCAATTATGATGCTGCGATTCAGACGCATACTGTGACTGCATACATTGATAAGTTGTATCTGTGAAACCGCAAAATTAAAACTTTCAAACTGGTATCAAGACTGACATATCAAATCATTTGCAATACAAACATTATTCATAAAAACAATACATAACAAACCTTTATTATATCCCACCATATCGGTGTTTATGATAATAATATTCATTCACATTATTATAAATTGTGAATAAATTGATATACCACAAAAGGAAAATATCCTTGCGTGTGGATATCATTCTAACACCTTAAACAAATAAATATCTTTTCCGCATTACTAATGTGTGATACAAAATGAATGTATTACATTTATATTATATCGATTTTTTCTAGACCTTATCAATCAATTTATTATAACTATTATAATTGTTAGAATATCCACAAATACAAGGATATTCTCCTATTGTGGCATATCAATGTATTCACAATCTATAATTGATGTGAATAAATATTGTTATTATTATCTTACCGATGAATTCAATCGCTACTTTCCTAATTCGTATGATGACATTTTTTTATTATTTGGCATTTCGCGTTTGAAATAGATGCACTTCCAGATACTACGGGTGTAAACTCTAGAAATAAAAAATGATTCTTTTGTCGCTTTTTGGGTAAAATATCTCGAAATTTTCGCCAACAAAGCAGAGGAAGCATTAAAACTATTTTTATTTTTTCCAAGCACTTGTGTGAAAGGGCATTTTCACCATTTGTAGTGAGAAAAACAGATTATATCGGATAAAGGTTTCCTTACAAGAGTCTCTTTGGCTAATATTAAAAATAAACCTAATAAATCTTTTCTGCAGTACAAATACTCTATCTATAATACTTACCTGTCCCCACACAGTTAATGTTGTTGCAGAGAGAAGTATGAGCGGAATTCATCCAGAATATTAGCTCTTACCGCCTTTTCTTTTAATATGATGATGAATTGACCTTTGACTCCACAAAATATAGAAGCAAGCTCAGTATTGCTAATCTATTCTGCCTATCTTCATTTCATAATAGGGGAAACTGTGCTCTAACGCAATTTTCAGTACTCCAAGTAAAATTGTTCATTTGCGAATGACAGATGGGATTGTAACATAGTTTGCTTAAGCTACCTTTGTCGATATGACTATCAGTGTTCTTCAGATAATAACTGTTTAGCTACTCAAAGGATACAGTGAACATCTGTTCTTGGTCATCAAGCCACAGCGTGTCAATATGACGATGCCCTTAACGTCGTATCTATTTTTTTCTTATAATAATTGTAATGCAATTATTGCATTGCGTTACGGTAACTGAATTGTAATATGATAATTTTCAGGCAAGCAGCTGTTCTCTCTAATCATTCCCGGTAATGTGAACATGATTCGGACCCATTCAACACATCCAGATGATGAAGATGACGGTCCTTACAAATGGATTTCTCCTGGTGACACTAAGGTCATGGTAGAACATGGGGAACTCATCATGGGTATTTTATGTAAAAAGACTCTGGGAACTTCAGCCGGATCTCTGCTACATATTTGTATGTTAGAGTTGGGACATGAGGTGTGTGGGCGATTTTACGGAAATATTCAGACTGTGATCAATAACTGGCTGTTATTGGAAGGTAAGAGATGTAATTGAAATTGTGTCGTAAGCTTGTACAGAATAGGGCATAAGAAGTGTGCTATATGACCAAAAAATTGACTGACATGCGTGAGTTGAAAATGTACGGAGCGGCTCATTTTATACTGTTTCCACTGGGATGCACTTTTGTACTACACAACTTAAAATAGTTAAGAGAGCAAAAAAAACCCAAATTTTCCGCTGATTTTTGACAGGCAGTATTTCTGTAGAAAATGCTGGTATCTAGACTCTAAAAAAGCATTTTGAAACTCCCAAGATTTTGGTTCTCAGGTTTTTAGCCGAAAAATTTTAGGAGCAACGGGTCTCATGCAAATTTTAACAGATAACGCAAAAAAAATGAAAACTTTTGCCTTCTTTTTATTCACGGGCTTGAAACATTTTTTCCCTTTAGTCCATCATATGGATCAGATGGCCCGTTTATTCAGCTTCAATATCCTGTTTTCAAAATCTCAATATGATCATTTGACTTTGAATGAAAACCAATCCATTTCCCACTAACCACTGACATCTCGGTAACCAGTGATCGCACAAAGAATGTAAGGGTTTTCAGAATTCTTAAATAAACTTCCTAGTTTTCTTGGTGTTGATTTTAAAAAAGTATATTCACTTGTTTTGGAAAATCGCCCGCTTTTTGAGAACTACTAGTGAGAAGGCTATTTTTTTTTTTGTTTTTTATACCTCATTGTACCCCAAATATTGTGCGCGATGGCAGATCAATCCATTGTGTGGTTTTTCGGGCAGTAATATTTTAGAGGATCTCGAAGGCAGGAATTAGGAATTTGTTGGTCCGGAGAAACAATACAATGGATCGGTCTGCCGTGGTGCAGGGTTATTAAGGGCACATTGAGGTATAAAAAACCTAAAAACGTTAGCTTTCTCATTAGCAGTCCCAAAAGTGCGGTCGATTTACCAAAATAAGACTAAAAGTGACATTTTAGAATCAACACTAAGGGAACAAACCTCAGAAATTGCAATCAAATCTTATAGAGAATTATCGGAAATAGCCTTATGGTCGTTTTCCATTTAAAGTCTCCTGACCAAATGATCGCATCCAAATTTTAAAAAAGGATATTGAAGCTGAATAAATGGACTATCTGATCCACCAAACAGAAAAAAATGTCCAGCCCGCAGACTAAAAAAAGGCAAAAATTAAAAAATAAAATTTTCTTGCACTATCTGTTAGGATTGCATGACAACCGTTAGTCCTATAATTTTTCGGCTAAAAGACTTGAAATCCAGAACTCTGAAGCTAAGAAATGTTTTTTTAAGTCTAGATACGATCATTTTTCATCAAAATGCAGCCGGTCAACGATCACCGGAAAATTTTTTCTTGCTCCCTTAATTTTTTTTGGACAGTGTATATTCGCACTGTGTTCTGCTGAGCGCTGTAATGCATATTTCTAAATTATTGCAAAGTGTTTTGCACTAAGTGTATAACTTGTGCATTAAGAAAATTTATGGTGTTTTAAGTAATAGTGTGAAAAGGATTACCAGTTTCGACAATTTTTCTAAGCAAGAAGAGTAATAAGTATGTTAGATACATCAATCAGATATGATGTCAACTACCAACTAATCAGCCTGCACTAGTTTTGTTACCACATGATTGCACTTCTCTTGATGTTGCTCTACATGGATACTGTCATTACGGGAATCACTTGAGTGTTAAAATTCACCAGTGTGTCATAGTGGAAACGCAATTTCCTAATAATATTTCTTCAAAACAGTCAAACATCTTCAGTCTACTCGTGAGGATAACTTGTGTTTACATCGTGCTTTTTTAGGTCATAGTATTGGTATTGGAGACACCATTGCCGATCCGCAGACATATATGGAGATCCAAAAAGCCATCAAGAAAGCCAAAGAGGATGTAATAGAGGTTATCCAAAAAGCACACAACATGGAACTGGAGCCGACTCCTGGTAATACGCTGCGTCAAACTTTCGAGAATCAAGTAAACAGGTATATCATCAGTCTTACAAGATATCTGTGGGGCAGTATACCTATTCATTTTCATTTTATGGACTAAATGTTGAATTATAGATTAGTAGTAGTAGTGGTATCAGTAGTATTATAAATATTTATTTAGCACGTTTGGCTACATAAACAGAATACTTACAAACAACTTATAATCAGTAAATGCAAGCCTTATGATGCACATGCTGGGCAAGCTATAATTGTAGATTTAACAAGTGATTTTTCACCTTTTGCCTAATATTTGTCAAAGTATTCTCGTCTTTTATATCTATACTTTTAGGACATTAAACGGAATTCATCTCAATTTTTGTTATTATGTAAATGATAAATTTGATGATGTTAATTTAGTTAGACAGAAAGAAATTTCACATTGAGCCATTTTAACTTGCTAAGGATCTGTCAAATTGGAGTACATTTATCTTTATTCAGTATCATGCACTTGTTTTGTAAAATTTGCAGTTTGTCAAAAATGGAATTATTAGCTAAATATAGAACAGTGCAAGAAATTAGGAGGAATGTTTGTTTGTTCAAGATTTATTTAGCATGATTACTACAATTACATTCTGCTAAAAAACTAAACAATTACATAACATACAGATACATATTTATAAAAAAAAACAAAATTTGCATCTCTAAGAGATTGTCCATGAAATATTCCATTAATTTTCTTTTAAATATCTTTAAATTACAAGTAGACTATATATCATTATTTAGTTTATTAAATTCAAGTAATCCTTTCTCCTTTCTTTCCTCTTGTGTAATAATTGTGGTAATGATTATTCAATACTATGTAGTGTTCTAAATGCTCTGGCAAAAGATAATTTTTAATTTTAAATATAAAAATAAGGACCAAATATGACATGATATTTTTTATATTCAACCACTACAATTCTTGTAACATAGATTTTATTTTAGTGTACTTATTTCTATTCAATATTATTCTCATAGCTTTATTTTGTAAGACTTGTAATTTTGAGAATACAGCTTCATTGGCAGTGAACAAGATAGTTGAACGTTATAGTAAATGCGGTAGAATAATTGTATTATAAACTATTTTCTTGGAATAGGTACCAAGACTATGAGAAACCCTATAAAAGTAATTTGTTTTTTTTGGAAATTTTTTAAATAATGTATTCATAGTGATCCTCAAACTTTAGTTTACTATCAATATACATATATACCTAAATATTTAATTGATTCAACATTTTCAATTATTTCTCCATTTATCCTAACTCTGATAGTATTTTCATTTAGGTATTTCCCTATTAGCATACATTTTCTCTTAGAAGTATTCAATTTTAGTTGATTGACATTTAACCAATTTACGATTTTTGCCAAGTCAGAATTTAGCATTTTTAAAGCAGTGTCTATATTTTCATCTGATATGTATATTACTGTATCATCTACAAATATCTGAAGTTTACAATAATCCAAAATGTGAACTCAAACTTCCAGAAACGTTTGATAAATACCCCCACTTTACTACTAATCTTCTTTGTAATTTTCTCATATTGAATACCAAAATTTAATAAGTCAACAAAAACCCCAACGTATTTATTTTTTTTTTTTAATTCAAGATCAGTATTTAGTTGAACATTTGTACATTGTTTTTTTTTTCAATTAACATTGCTTTCTTTTACTTGTATTTAATTTGAGTTTGTTAGATGATGGTAACCATTTTGAAACAAGTTTCAAGTCTTCATTTATATAAGAGATACTAGTCTGAATATTTTGAGAACCTATATAAATCAAAGTGTCATCGGCACAAATTTGAATGTTGTGCTTTTTTACTATGGCAGCTAAATCGTTTATGTATAAAATCAAAAGAAGTCCCAGGATACTGCCCTATGGAACACCTACCGTATTTTCAATTTTTGATGAAATAGCATTAATTTTTGTAACCTTCATCTTTTGCGAATAACAATGTCCTCTATTTTCAGAATTCTGAATGACGCACGTGATAAAACCGGAGGTTCAGCTAAGAAATCTTTGACAGAGTACAACAATCTAAAGGCTATGGTAGTATCAGGTTCCAAAGGTTCCAACATTAACATTTCTCAGGTTATTGCCTGTGTGGGTCAGCAGAACGTAGAAGGTTTGTACTAACAGCAAAAAATATAAGATAGCAGTCTGTTTGTTTATGTGTTGTAGATTTATTTAGCATTAATGCTACGATCTAACATAGTATATCACACAAAATGTTGTCATCAAGTATTAATATGTTTATACAAAATTGCACTACTACGAATTCTTCATTTTCTTGGAATAATTTTACAATTTCCATTTGAATGTTTTCAAACTGGCACACATCTTGATATCATTACTCAATTTATTAAATTCTCACAAGCCTTTTTGGAATACTGATTTGGTCATTACTACTGCAGTTTTGTAAATGAGTCTATACGTTTGCCAGTGGAGTAACTATGGTACTTGCTCTTCAATAAAATTTTCAAAATGATTTGGTCACTTCAAAAACAATTCAGTTTCTTCAAATATCTTCAGCGATATATACTTTTCTAGGCAAACGTATCCCATTTGGCTTCAGAAAGAGGACTCTACCACACTTCATCAAAGACGATTATGGTCCTGAGTCCAGAGGTTTCGTAGAGAACTCATATCTGGCCGGTTTAACACCTTCAGAGTTTTATTTCCACGCTATGGGAGGTCGTGAAGGTCTTATCGATACTGCTGTAAAGACTGCCGAAACTGGATACATCCAGCGTCGTCTTATAAAGGTGAGATTTAGATTTTTAAACGCCTTCGGATTTATTTTTATCTTCAGAAACCTTCCACTATTGAATATTGTTGGAAAAACATTAAGTCTATAGAATAATTTTTTTTTATCAAGGCGATCCCATAGGACCTTTGCCGTTATCTAAGTCATTAGTACGGTTGTCAGTCTCTCAATCACGCAAAAACCAATCCTGAAGTCTTATCACTGATATATACTAAAACCACTAGAGTGACTAATACAAATATAAACATATTCTACTGAATAAATTCATAATTACTGATTTATTTGGTATATTGATTGATTCGCAGTTTATAGTTGGTGTGAATAAATATTATTTAGAATATTACTAATATTTTCATTGTTATTATTATTAACGTATGAAATACCTTAATTATTATAGGCTATGGAGTCTGTAATGGTACACTACGATGGTACCGTTCGAAACTCAGTAGGTCAACTTATTCAGTTGCGTTATGGTGAAGATGGTTTGTGTGGAGAAATGGTAGAATTCCAAACGCTACCGACTGTGAAGCTCAGCAACAAGGCTTTTGAGAAGAAGTTTAGGTTCGATCCAAGCAATGAAAGGTACCTGAGAAGGGTGTTCAATGAAGAAGTAATCAAACAGCTTATGGGTTCTGGTGAAGTATGTGTAATAGACTTAATCTTAGATACATATGAGAGATTGCAACATAACCTTCATTCTTCATAAATATTAACCAAAAAGATTTGCTGTGAAAGTAAATCAAAGATGCAAAATAAACTTCTTCATATATCATGATCAAACTTGTGCAACTTAATTTTAGAACTGATATAACAGCAAACAAATGTTTTCTCTTTTAGGTCATATCAGAGTTGGAAAGAGAATGGGAACAGTTGCAGAAAGATCGAGAAGCTTTAAGACAGATCTTCCCTAGTGGAGAATCCAAGGTTGTATTGCCTTGCAACTTACAGAGAATGATCTGGAATGTACAGAAGATTTTCCACATAAACAAAAGGGCACCAACTGATCTCTCACCACTTAGAGTTATTCAAGGTGTAAGGGATTTACTGAAGAAATGTATTATTGTAGCAGGAGAAGATAGGCTTTCGAAACAGGCCAATGAAAACGCTACTTTGTTGTTCCAGGTAGATATTAACTTTTTACACATTTGACTAGTCACATGGCAATGTTATGTTAATGATGGATGGATGGATGGATGGACGGACGGATGGATGGATGGTTAAATATGCTTTATCGTCTGAAGAATATAATCTTTCTCAATGTCGAAGCTAACTTAACACTACACTATAACATAATTACATATGTGGGTCTTCAGTAGGTGAATTTTAAAACTCACACATGGTATGGTAGAATATGGTTTACATATTAAAAAGTTTTTAAGTTCACGGCGCAATATCTTCAAATTGTTAGTTCTTTTGATGGCAACAGGGAGACACATGTAAATATTCAGTCCATTATAAATTATTGAGTCTTTACAACCGTATACGCGCAGAAGTGGGGAGAGGTCTTGATCGACGCATTCGATGTGCGGGTTAGTCACAATGGAACGTTGGACCTGAGCACAACGGGCTTTTGCTATCGAGGCTTACTTTAAGAGTGGTACAACATTCGCCGACCAAAAGCTGCCCCAAGTAAGAACCTATTGAAAAAGTGGATTGAAGTTCCGTGAAACAGGCTCTACTCTTAGTCAACCCATTTCTAGCCCCATACCTACTGTATCAATCGAAAAAAATGTGCGACGAGTAAGTGATCCGGTCATTGCAAATCCTCTGCGTTCTGTACGGAAGCATTCCGATGCTTTGGGAATCCCTAGGTCAACAACACTGCATGGCATAATGAAGAAAAAAATGGGTTTTCATCCTTATAAAATCTAATCGGTCCATGCTTTAAAGGAAAGTGATTACGTATTACGGAAATCTTATGCTGAACGGATGTTGAATCTTTTTCGTTCGCAGCGCAGAATCAAGAACGCTGTTTTCAGTGACGAGGCCCATTTTCACTTGGACGGTTATGTGAACAAGCAAAATTGCAGATATTAGGCACCAACGAACCCAAAAGAGAAACAACAGCTACAGAGTCCAAATGTGACTATTTGGACCGAATTTCTTTGAAGATGAAAACGGTCATGCATTGACAATCAATTCCGAGCGATACAAGGACATGATTGATACTTTTTTTGCTGCTATAGTAAGAACAGAACGTCAGTTTAACAGAAACACATTATTTCAGCAGGATGAGGACACTGTCCATACCTTCAGAGAATTGACCTCGCGCCATGTGATTATTTTTTGTGGGGTTATCCAAAATCAAAAGTGAATTCCAATAATCCACGAACACTGGAGAAGCTTAAAGACAACATTCGATGAGAAATAAACATCACTCCGGAACTCTGCAAGAGAGTATTTCAGAATTTGCGCGCGCGATTAGAAGAGTGTCCAAAGGAATGGCAAACATTTGGACGGAATGATATTCAAGAAATAAAACCCACCGAATTTACGAATATGTTGATAGTAATAAATATTTTTTTTCCATTAAGTTTTTATATTTTTTTTCTTAAATCAAAATGAGAACTTTCCCACTGGACACCCTGTAAAGTAAATAATGATACGACCAGTGGCGGCCGGTCCATAGGGGCGAAAAGGCTACAGCCCCCCAAGACAAAATGCGAATTAACAAAAAATTTAAAATATGATTTTGTGATTAAATAATTTCCAGATATATACGAAAATTCAATCAAAACCTGAATTTTAATAGTAGCCAGTTACGCAACACGCAATATATACATAGTCATGCCATAAGTTCTGTCCCTCGTTTTCAAACAAGTGTAGACCTGTTAATACTTGTCCGATTGTTTACATTGTGGTGTCAGTTGATTAAGCGCTTTTCGGGTAATTACATATACCTCAGTTTGTATTGATCTCTCGAAGCATAACGATGGAGTGGGGCAAGGCAGAGAACCGTATTGCAGTGATAGCTTTACATAAGTGTAATCACAGTGCTAGTCAGATTTTTGAACTCTTACGCGGCCTTCAAATATCGCGTAAATTTGTGTCTAGGACCATTCAGCGGTACAATGAGACGTCCTCTGTTGATGACAGGCCAAGAAGCGGAAGACCTCGTCAAGTAAGGACTCCAGCAGCCATCAAAGCCGTAAAAGCCAGGATTCAAAGGAATCCACTCCGGAAGCAGAAGATCCTATCCAGGGAAATGAAGATTCCTGTCCGGACGATGTCGCGCATCATTAAACAAGACCTAGGGCTAGGGGCTTACCGGAGACGTACGGGCCAGCGACTTACGGCCACCTTGCGACACATCAGGGCGACAAGATCCAAGAAGCTCTTGGAGAGGTACGCAGCTGGGGGATTCCGAAAGATTTTGTTCACGGATGAGAAAATCTTCACCATAGAAGAAAAATTCAACCGACAAAATGACAAAGTGTATGCAAGGAGTTCACAGGAAGCTTCGGAGATCATTCCGAGAGTTGAGAGAGGCCACCACCCTGCGTCAGTCATGGTTTGGTGGGGGGTGTCCTACGAAGGGGTCACTCAGCTCCATTTCTGTAAACAGGGCGTGAAAACAAAAGCGGCAAACTATCAGAGCGACATACTGGATCCTATCGTCAAGCCTTTAAGTGGTACATTGTTTGCCAACCAACACTGGGTCTACCAGCAGGATTCCGCCCCCGCTCACAAGGCTAAGAGTACGCAGCGCTGGCTGGAAAGCAATGTGCCAGAGTTCATTGCTGCGGAAGATTGGCCCTCAGGGAGTCCGGACCTCAATCCTTTAGACTACAAGTTGTGGGACCTGCTAGAGCAGTTGGCCTGCTCCAAAGCCCACCGTAATATCGAGTCCCTGAAAGCGGATTTGATCCGATCAGCGGCAGCTATTCCTTTGGAAGCTGTGCGTGCAGTGATAGATGAGTGGCCCGCGAGATTGAAGCAGTGTGTGAAGGCCAAGGGGGGACATTTTGAATAAAACTGTTTGATTATGAATTCTAAAAATGTTGTCGAATAAATAATATCTTTCATATAAATATATCTTATCTTGTTTCATTTTTATCATGAGATTATCATGGGACAGAACTTATGGCACGACTACGTATATATATATATATATATATATATATATATATATATATATATATATATTATCCGATCCCAATACCCCGAAGTCGCGAGCTAGATTCCCTATCGATTCGAGGCTAGAATAATTTTTGCCGCGATCGCCGACCTGATTGAGTGGCTCGCTACGTCATACCTCCCACGCGCTTACGAGTTTTATACGGGATTTTAACACGCGAGTTGGCGAAATAATTTTTAGCCAGTCCCGATTTACGTGTGTACGAAATCGCTTCGTCGCGTCCCCGTGCCGTCGTTCGGGCGTTCAAAAAGTTTAAAATGGCAAATGAAGTACAAAATTTGTTAAAAGGTGAATTTTCTCGGCTTCCGCTTGCTGAAAAAATAATAATAAAATCCCTTGGAAGGCCGATTCCAAATATCAACCTTACTCAGGCTGATAAATCGACGAAAGCTGGTTGTTTTAAGAGACATTTTAAGAAAGATATCTATAACAAAAACAAATGGATATGCGGTTGTGGCACATTAAACGCCCTGTTTTGTTTTCCGTGCTTACTGTTTTATTCAGATGCAGCGGAAAAGACATGGCCAAGAACTGGATTTAAAGATTTAAAGCATATAAACCAGAAAATTAGTAAGCATGAAAATTCGGCTCGTCACATGATTTGTTCGACAGAATTAGCTTTATTGGGAACAGCTAGTATCGCTGCTCAGTTAGATTCCGCTTACAGGCAAAATATTATTAAGCACAACGAGCAAGTGGACAAAAATAGATATCTTTTAAAAAGAATAATAAACTGTATAAAGTTTTGCGGTAAATTGGAATTAGCGTTAAGAGGGCACGACGAAAGTGAAGACTCTGAAAATCGTGGCATTTTTCGAGAGTTGATTAATTTTACGTCCGAACTGGATACAATATTAAAGGAACATTTAAAAAGTGCGACTCTGTTTAAGGGTACTTCTAAAACAGTACAAAATGAAATACTAGATAGTATGTTAGAAGTCTGCCAACAAGAAATTCGCCAGCAAATTAATGCAGCAGAGTTTTTAGCTATACAGTGCGACGAAACAACAGATATTTCACATCATTGTCAAATGGTAATGATATTTAGATATCTCCATGAAGGTGAAATACAAGAAAGATTTTGGCGTTTTTTGAGCGTTACGGACAAGACAGCTGAAGGTTTGGCAAAGTGTATCGAAGAAGAACTAGGCCCATTATTAAAAGATTCACCCCACAAATTAATTGCGCAAACTTATGATGGTGCAAACGTAATGAGCGGTAGCAGTGGTGGAGTTCAAACAAAAATATCAGAACGCTCATTTTATACACTGTTACGCTCACCAACTGAACTTAATTATGCAGAGAGCAGCCAGCCAAAATCCAAAAGTAAAAGTGTTTTTTTCAAACCTGTCGGCAATTCCAAGTTTCTTCTCCAACTCCACGCACAGATGCGATTTATTGGAAAAAATAGTTGAAACCAAAATGCCAAAGGTTGCGCCAACACGGTGGAATTATAACATTCGCACAGTCAGTGCCGTTTTTGAGAACCGTGAAAGTCTTATTGATTGTTTCCGGGAGTTAGAGAATAAATGTGATAAAACAATTACTAGTAAGGAGGCATACGGTTTAAGAAGAGCACTCGAAGATTCTGATTTCATCTTTTTTTTGACTTTTTTTCACAAAACCCTACCGCACGTAGCTATTTTGTTTAACCAGTTTCAAAGTAGGAATAAAGACAGTGTACAACTTTTAAAAGATATTGACGTATTTGAGAAGGCCATTGTATTGATTAGGGACACTACAGAGGATATACAGCAAACTGTTGAAAATGAGCATGGAGACAATGGAAATAAACGCAGAAAAGTAGGACCCGAAGAAAGAAATTGTATTATTGCAAAAGAAGTTTGCGATATAATAATTGTACAGACAAAAGAGAGACTTTCTTACAGGGGTCATCTAGAAGCTGCATCTTTATTAGATACACAAAACTTCACAAACTATTCGAGATATTTTCCAGCAAAAATACTGAATTCAGTTGTGACTTATTATCCAATGGTAAATAAAGAAAAACTGAAAACCGAATTAGAAGTAATGTACATGAGGGAAGACTTCAAAAATATTACAGGTGGTTTGAATTTGCTGTCCCTATTGACTAATAACAACCTAGAGGAAACTTTTAGCGAAGTAACTAAGTTGTTGCAAATAATTATAACTACTCCCATGTCAACTTCCGAAGCAGAGCGCTGTTTCTCAACCCTTAAGAGGATAAAATCGTTTTTAAGAAACTCGATGGGCAATGAACGACTGAATGCATTGGCAATGATGTCTGTTAATAAGAATCTGGTACATAATATCAGCAATTTCGACGAAAAAGTGATGGAACATTTTATTTCACAGAAAGACAGAAGATTAGACTTTACATATAAACATTAAAAAATATTTTGTAATAAATAGAAGTGTGAAGTGTGACAGTTGAAACACAATGTTTGCTCTAGCTGTAGGTAGGTATACTTAGTCGTTTATAATACAATAATACATTTAGGTATACCGTATTTCTGTTCTCTTTTCCAGTTATTTATAGTTACATGTGTTGTAAGAAAGTGAAAAACTATACTTTTGAGTACTGTTGTTCTTTTGATAATAGATGCTCTGTTGCTTTCATATTAGATGCTGCTTTCTTTTGCGATAAGTTCTCGTACCTAAAATATGTTTGTTCCTATACAGAGGACTGTACATAAAATATATAGGTATAGGATTGCCAACTGATCCATCCACAAAATCAGGACATAAAAAATGCAAAAAAAATTATAGCTCTAAAAATGTATATTTGAATTTGAAGGCTCAAAATGGAAGTTTTTGGGCGTGGCACCGTAAAAATTCTTTGCCTCCGGCGGTGACTGCGGCAGGCCACCCTTCCCTACAATAGCCCCCCATTTCTCACAGCCACCGGCCGCCACTGGATACGACCATTCATTATTTTAAGATTTAGAAATAAAGGCCTGCATGTAGCTCTAGGATTGCTTTTAGTTATGTATCTAATAGTTCGTTTTTGTAGAATAAGCACTTTTTAAACAATTTTGGGAACAAACATACCAAAAGAGAATGCTATATCTCAATCTACTTTCAAATAAGGCAAGTTAATTTACTTAAGGCTGTGCTTTCCCCTGCGTTGTAACTAATTGTTCTTATAATAAAGCAAATCTTTGCTAGTTGAGTAAGCAATTTGTCAACATGATTAGTAAAATGTAATTTATGAACAGTGGTCAGTCCCGAAGTTTTGACGGTGTCTTGTGTATCAATTCATTATTTATATTTATAAAATCAAGGGAGCATTTAAATGTCATAAATGTTGTCTTACTAACATCGAAAGTAAAGTAATTGTTGTCACACCATTTTTTGATTGATTGTATATCACTATCAATTTTTGTCTTAATTTCATGAATATCTGTGTCTTGCCAAAGTATTGTGGTATCGTCAGCAAAAACTACGAATTTAACATTTATGCTTAAGTTTATTGAATCATTGAATAGACTCGTAATAGAATCGGATCTAATAGTGATCCTTAAGGTACCCCTGCGTTTGAATTTAATGAACATAATGTCTCGATAATTTAACAATTTGAGATCGAATATTTAAATATGTTTTAAACCAATAGAGTGAAGTTCCATTACAACCATTTTTTTATAGTTTTTCATGATTTACACAGTCAAAAGCTTTGGAAAAGTCGCAAAAAAGAGGTATTGAAATTTATCGTTTAAATTTGAGTATAACTGTTAAAATAGCGTTCATGGCAAAATCCAAATTAGTTGTCACTTATAATTGTGTTGGTTTTTAGAAAGTCTCTTAATCAAATTTGAACTATTTTTTCTTTTATTTTTTGCTATCACAATATTTAAAGTTATGGGTCTATAATTTTCTGGCAAAACGCTTGGACCTCCTTCACAAATACGAATAACTATTAATGTTTTTAAAATACCTGGGTAAACAGCTATGTTAAGAACAATACGTACGTTAGAAAGAGATATAAGGACCACGTTGCCTAGCAACCCGAGTGTCGAGGCCATGGACGCAGCTGCTGCTTGCCACGTTGGCATCGGCGCACTCTTACATAGTAACATACGAATTGCATGCTTCTATCTCGTACACATTACCTCGTCAGTGATATTTGGATTTCTCGGTATGCAATTTTAATTTATTTAAAACTCCTTTTTATTATCTTTGTATTAGATTAAGCTTGTGATGGCAAAATGAATGGAAACACAATTACATTTTTAATAGCTGAAGTAGATTATTTACATTTTTCAAGGATGATACAATTTACCTTCTTTTTCTGCTTGTGTGATGGGAAAAATATTTGTAAATTGGTACATTGGCCGACTTTTTTTGAGCAGCGAAAAACAAACAAAAAAGTGTAATATTTCAATCGCATTTATCATTTCAATCGCATTTATCATTTCAGTGTTTGGTGCGGTCAACTCTATGTACAAAATCAGTCTCAGAAGAGTTCCGCCTCAGTACCGAAGCTTTCGAATGGTTGATCGGTGAAATCGAAACCCGATTCCAACAGGCTCAAGCCAACCCTGGCGAGATGGTGGGTGCTTTGGCCGCCCAGTCTTTAGGCGAGCCCGCTACTCAGATGACACTGAACACTTTCCATTTTGCCGGTGTATCCTCGAAGAACGTAACCCTTGGTGTGCCCAGGTTGAAAGAAATCATCAACATCTCTAAAAAGCCGAAGGCTCCGTCTCTTACCGTGTTTCTCACGGGTGCTGCCGCTAGGGATGCTGAGAAGGCTAAGAACGTACTGTGTCGATTGGAACACACTACTTTGAGGAAGGTAAGTCATTCCATTCAGTCATTAAACCAAGCTCTCACGAAGAGAAAAGACAATATCATAGCACGCTTTTGATCTATTTTTCGTGACTCTTGCCTCTCTTACAGTAATTCCACGAATTCAGTGATCACCTTATCATGTCACGCTCCGAGAAAACGTAGCTTTAGTTCTGGTAGTCCTTGGTCTTATTCAGGTTTTACAGGAACCGTTCTGTTTCAAACTACAAAACTTTCATCCCAGGCATAGTAGCAATCTTGTGTGATACCAAACTATGAGCGGGACTTCTCAAGTTATAGACGGGCCAAGGTTTAGCGGAAAGACAGACAGATCGACGAGAATGAGTGACACGGTCATATAACATCCAAAAAACACAATATCTCATTTTCGAAATTTTTCACGATTACAGTACTCCCTCGCCCAGTGGCGTAGGAATTAAAAAGGAATCAAGCAAATTGAATCATTCCTTCTCACACATTAAAGTAAACCTGTTCAACATTTTAGTTACACAAACAGTCCAAACATTTAGTAAGCACTAAGTTAACTTTTAAACTGCGTGTGTTCAGAATGAATTTTGTTTTAAAAACAGTTGCACAAGTTGGTAAAGTTTTATGAAGGTATGTATTTTTGATTTTAGTGACCGCTTTCACTATGAATACTTTTATGCTGAGGGCGTGTTTATTACAACCTTGGTTTGTTTAAAAGCCAATTGGTTTTAATTGAGGTTTTATTTCACGATTGAACGCAATCTTAAAGTACTTAATAAACCCGTTTGGTGCAACTTGGGAATGGCAAATGTATGGAAAATGTTTGATAATTATAAATAACAAATGTGTAGTATAGTGGAGATCAGAAGCTTATTAGTAATATACAGGGTGTCCGCAAAGTTGGAGTTTTCCTTTTCAGAAACGACTACCCTTGAAATAACAAAGGTAATGTGTAGTGAAACGAGGGCTACCAAGTAAAAAAAATAAAGAAAAAAGTACTCACTCTGAAGTTGACGAGAAGGGCTAAGTACGTCTCTGCCCGAAATCATACCGCTCCAACAGAAAATGAAATCAGCTGATGCGCTACCGAGCAGACGCCGGCGGTGGTGCAGACCAGTAGACCACGAACAGAGGTAACAAATATGACCATCGTGCAGAAACCACATTGATTGTCTTACACTTAATGGCACATCTTCTAACAAGGAAGGCAAAATGTTGCGTAAAAAGTCTAGATATTGCATCCCGTCCAATCGATTTGGGAGAATAAATGGTCCAATGAGCATACCGTTCACCATAAAAGCCCAAACATTCACCGAAAATGTTTGTTGAAAATTTGCCCGACGGACAGCTTGCGGATTTTCTACTGACCAAACATGAGTGTTGCGAAAGTTATTCACCCCATTACACGTGAACGTAGATTCGTCTGTCACCAATATGCACTTGAAAAAGTACGGATTATTGTCATGTTGATGCAACAACCACTCACAAAACCGCACTCGTGCTGGAAAATCATCAGGTTGAAGGGCTTGTACACGTTGGACGTGAAACGGATACAGCCCCTCTTCACGCAGCGTTTGCCACACTTTAGTTTTTGATACTTGCACTCCTCTAGCCACGTCTCTAGTGCTTATTGTTTTTTGAAACGCAATCGATTATACGAGTTCGTTTACCTCTACACGCGTGACCGTAACCGTCGGTTGAAGGTTGCATACTGACCTGACACACTGACCCCGACCCCCGACCCAGTTCTGTCGTCGGGTTGAGCTAGTGTCCTAGTAGTATATCGCGAGTCGCGGCTACAGGACGGTATTCAGATATTTTTGATGTTGCAGAGCCCTTTATCTCGGTTCCCTTATGACATTGGTGTATATGGTACTAAGAAAAATTGCTTATGTTTTCAAGATCTACACGTCGTGTAAAGGAAAACGCCAACTTTGCGGACCCTGTATAGTAAAATCTTCACAACCTCCACCCCCAATTTGCAACTCCTCAAAAAAAAAGTATGCCCAACAAAGCTGGAGTCTTTGAAACGTCGAATAACCAAGTTTCAGATATTTCAATTCTTTTTTTTTTTTGTTTATGCCCATAGCTCCTCCACCACTGAATCAGTTTTCAAAATCTGCAGAGCTGTTTCGTCCTTGATTGAAGTAACCTTATGTTTAAGTCTCATCAAAATCAGAGCGGTACCTTCACAGTGGGAGGTCAAAGATTAGCGGACAGACAGACTAACAGACCGACGGAACGAAGTGATGTGCATGCTTTGTACATCCAAAAAACATTTCTCATTTTCGAGATCTTCCGCGATTACACAATTCTTCGCCAATTGGCGAGGGAAGAAATACTCTCAAACCGAAAGCGTTTAGAAATTCAAATAAGGTTAAGCAAATGAAAAGACGGCTATGGAAATTGTGTAGACATTTATAACTTCGGATTTTTCTAATTCGTGACTTTTTTTTCGTTAGTATTTATTTATAATTCCCAACATCTTACACCCAATTACAGGAAATATACCAACAACGGAAATGAACTAATAATTTAACAAAAGCGGGACATAAAAAAGAGAAACACAAATAAATGTATACAAGTGTGGCAGTATTTGAAATGTGGAAAATAGCTTTTAACATATTGATTTTATATCACACCATAGTAACAATCGAATAAAAAGTTTTCTCGATCACAAAAAATATCACAAACGGCACAAATCGGATTGAAACACTTAAACTTTATCTGAAGTCACTTGAAACACTGTGAAATACCGGGTGCGTTTTATATATCTATATTTAACACGCTCTGTTGCTGCAAAAATCGCCAAATTTCGCAGCAAATATCCCCCGTATAAGATCAAAGGCAGTTTCACCGGTCCACGTGGAGTAAATCACCCCTATGCGTGGACATAGCCAATGAGACAGCGTGTATTTCAGAGCTCCGAACAAGTGCAGGTGGCTACTGAAAATTGAAACAGTTTAGCCAGTGCCGTGTAGCGGTGACTAAACGTGTTTTCTTTAGTCTGTCCGTGTTTTTTCATAGATTTTATTAGTTTGTGTGTTTTTGACTTTTGAATACTCAGTTTACTTATTGATTTAATTGTTGTGTTGATTGTTCTTGTGTGTCTTAAATATGGCTCTTTGGAGACCTTGGGAAAATGCTCCAAGCCACGAGGAGATGGTTGATGAACCTGTGCAGGCAGAATTCTTTCATAAAGATTTAGAGGAACAGACCCAAAGAGTAATCCTAAATATGTATGATTGTCTGAAAAACGAAAATCCAGATTCCTCGCAAAATCAAATTTTAAACAGAATTTGTATCCTGACAAAAATCAGTCGGTCTACCATTTATCGGGTTATAAAAAGGGGAGATGTAGTCAACCATTCCTTCCACAGAAAGCGCATAGGGCAAAAATTAAAAAGAATAGACGTGGGTTTTCAGGAAGATATTCGTCGTATAATATACGGATTTTATAAAGAAAATTTGGTGCCCACGTTGGAAATGATACGGGATAAATTAAAAGATTATCCTGAATATTTTTATAATTACAAATGCTTAGACTCACTGCACTGTATTGTAAAACTGTGTGGTTTTCAATACAAAAAATTAGATAAAAGAATGGTGATTATGGAGTCGTCTCGAATCGTTGAATTGCGCCAAGAATTTTTGCACAAAGTTAAAATCTATAGAGAGCAGAAAAGAAATCTGATTTACCTGGATGAAACGTGGTATGATACCCATGATGTTGTGCAGTACGGCTGGGTTGACGACAGCAACAAGTGCATTTTAAATGCACCATGCAACCGTGGAAAACGAATCATTACTCTCCATGCTGGCAGTGAAAATGGATTTATACCTAATGCCTTGCTGTTATCTGCCAAAAATATCAAAGAATCATGTGCCGACTATCATGAGGACATGACCTCCGACTTATTTGAAAAGTGGATAGAGCAGCAGTTAATACCAAACATTTCCCCAAATTCAGTGATTATTATGGACAATGCGCCATACCATTCCCGACAGAAAAACAAAATTCCGAATACAGGCACAAAAAAACAAGACATTATTGATTTTACGAAGGATAAGGGAATGGAAATACCACAAAAATCAACCAAAGCCATATTATTGGATCTTATTAAAAGACAAAAATTTGAAAAAGAGTATGTTGTTGACAATCTGCTTCAGCAAAATGGCCATGAAGTATTACGTCTACCTCCCTATTACTGCATTTTTAACCCGATTGAGTTGGTCTGGGCTGCTTTAAAAAAAAAGTAAGAAAACTTAATCAGACCCCTCAATTAAGTGAATCGCTATTGGCCACAATAAGAGATGCAGTATCTCATATTGCTGCCACAGACCTATGGAAGCAGTGTTCTAGGCATATTATTGAAAAAAAAGGAATATTGTGTTTTGCCTCCTGTAAATCCCGTTGTAATTCCTCTACAAGATGACTCTAGCGACAGCTCCGAAGGCGAGGATGATATATAAAAACCTATAATGTAAGTCTTTATATACCTACCTGCTATGTAAATATTTGCCTATGTCAAACGTTGGAATTCTGTAATTTTTCCATTTCTTAACTTTCAGTCAACATAAATTAAACTCCCAATATAAGTATCTTTTATCCCAAATCAAAAAAAAAATAAGAAGATAGTAAAATCCATTTATTGTGATATAAAAACATTTATTATCGTTCTAAATAAATTGCCGCACGCCTATGAAACGTCATGAAATTACAAAGGACGCGCCGACCAAAGGTTTTTATGCTATTTCAAGTGACTTCAGATAAAGTATACACATATAGTTTAACAGTGATTTACACCCGATGTTTATATTACAAATCAGGGTAAATCAAATTCTGACAGCAGCTACCTAACTTAGGGACGCGAAAATTAATTTTAATTGATACTATGAGGCAATTAATTTGATTGTTCAGTATTTTAAGCAATAATCTTAACACCTATAAATCACGCCTTAGTTGTAACTGCTCCACTTGAAAGATTCTTAAGAGTGCCGTAGGGTCAAAACTTCTTTCAGGGTAGTGACCGTAACACTTCAAATAAAAATATTTAAGTACCTTACGCTACACGCACTTAATGCCCGCTGTGAAGTTTTGATAGGTAGGAGGCAGATGCGTGATACAGCTTACTCCTAATAAAAGTAAAATACAGGAGCTTTAATGTTGCGATATCAGCGACCAATTTCTGATGCACCACGATGACACCAGTTGAGTGATTTATACAATAGTGTTACAGTCATATTTTCTTCCCAGGTTACGGCAAACACGGCGATCTACTACGATCCAGATCCCCAAAATACGGTGATTCCCGAAGATCAAGAATTCGTAAATGTCTACTACGAAATGCCAGACTTTGACCCTACCAGAATATCCCCGTGGCTGTTGCGTATAGAATTAGATAGAAAAAGGATGACTGACAAAAAACTGACTATGGAACAGATTGCGGAAAAGATCAACGCTGGATTCGGAGATGATTTGAATTGTATCTTCAATGACGACAATGCTGAAAAATTAGTACTTCGAATCAGAATTATGAATAGCGATGACGGGAAGTTTGGAGAAGGAGGAGACGAAGATGTAGACAAAATGGACGATGATATGTTCTTACGTTGTATTGAAGCAAACATGCTCAGTGACATGACACTACAGGGTATTGAGGCTATATCAAAAGTATACATGCATTTACCCCAAACGGACTCGAAGAAAAGAATAGTAATCACCGAAACAGGAGAATTCAAGGCGATTGCAGAATGGCTGCTTGAAACTGACGGTACCAGTTTGATGAAAGTACTTTCGGAAAGAGATGTCGACCCTGTTAGAACGTTTTCTAACGATATCTGCGAAATTTTCTCGGTAAGAATACATTTTAATAATACTTTTGCAATTTGTCTACTACTGAAAAAAATAAAACCTGAATGCTACGTAGTCGTGCCATAAGTTCTGTCCCATGATAATCTCATGATAAAAATGAAACAAGATAAGATATATTTATATGAAAGATATTATTTATTCGACAACATTTTTAGAATTCATAATCAAACAGTTTTATTCAAAATGTCCCCCCTTGGCCTTCACACACTGCTTCAGTCTCGCGGGCCACTCATCTATCACTGCACGCACAGCTTCCAAAGGAATAGCTGCCGCTGATCGGATCAAATCCGCTTTCAGGGACTCGATATTACGGTGGGCTTTGGAGCAGGCCAACTGCTCTAGCAGGTCCCACAACTTGTAGTCTAAAGGATTGAGGTCCGGACTCCCTGAGGGCCAATCTTCCGCAGCAATGAACTCTGGCACATTGCTTTCCAGCCAGCGCTGCGTACTCTTAGCCTTGTGAGCGGGGGCGGAATCCTGCTGGTAGACCCAGTGTTGGTTGGCAAACAATGTACCACTTAAAGGCTTGACGATAGGATCCAGTATGTCGCTCTGATAGTTTGCCGCTTTTGTTTTCACGCCCTGTTTACAGAAATGGAGCTGAGTGACCCCTTCGTAGGACACCCCCCACCAAACCATGACTGACGCAGGGTGGTGGCCTCTCTCAACTCTCGGAATGATCTCCGAAGCTTCCTGTGAACTCCTTCCATACACTTTGTCATTTTGTCGGTTGAATTTTTCTTCTATGGTGAAGATTTTCTCATCCGTGAACAAAATCTTTCGGAATCCCCCAGCTGCGTACCTCTCCAAGAGCTTCTTGGATCTTGTCGCCCTGATGTGTCGCAAGGTGGCCGTAAGTCGCTGGCCCGTACGTCTCCGGTAAGCCCCTAGCCCTAGGTCTTGTTTAATGATGCGCGACATCGTCCGGACAGGAATCTTCATTTCCCTGGATAGGATCTTCTGCTTCCGGAGTGGATTCCTTTGAATCCTGGCTTTTACGGCTTTGATGGCTGCTGGAGTCCTTACTTGACGAGGTCTTCCGCTTCTTGGCCTGTCATCAACAGAGGACGTCTCATTGTACCGCTGAATGGTCCTAGACACAAATTTACGCGATATTTGAAGGCCGCGTAAGAGTTCAAAAATCTGACTAGCACTGTGATTACACTTATGTAAAGCTATCACTGCAATACGGTTCTCTGCCTTGCCCCACTCCATCGTTATGCTTCGAGAGATCAATACAAACTGAGGTATATGTAATTACCCGAAAAGCGCTTAATCAACTGACACCACAATGTAAACAATCGGACAAGTATTAACAGGTCTACCACTTGTTTGAAAACGAGGGACAGAACTTATGGCATGACTACGTATAATTCGAACTCGTGATATTTCATTTTTGATTATTTGATTTCGATAAATATTTTTTTAAGTAAACTGTCGATTGACAATGGAATTTCAAAATGTGACAGTTGTAATATACATATACATTGTCTGCATTACAATCATAATTTAGGTTATGTAATATTAACTTTGCATTTTCAGCATTATTTGCGTATCCTTTTCAGATTATTTATAATGTTTTATTCTCCACAGGTACTTGGTATAGAAGCTGTGCGTAAATCCGTAGAAAAAGAAATGAATGCTGTGCTTCAATTCTACGGTCTGTACGTAAACTACCGACATCTTGCGTTGCTTTGTGACGTCATGACTGCAAAGGGTCACTTGATGGCAATCACTCGTCACGGTATCAACAGGCAAGATACTGGAGCCCTCATGAGGTGCTCCTTCGAAGAAACGGTCGATGTATTAATGGATGCAGCATCTCACGCTGAAGTAGATCCTATGAGAGGTAAGCAATATTCACCTGTTATTTTACAAAAACTATTAATATATATATAAATTAGCAATGATGATCATAGAATATGGAAAAATTAAAACAAAATAATTTAGCAAATGCATTTTTATGCGACAGATTTTATCTAACGAAAACAGATCTAACAGTTATGATGGAGAGTCACTTCTGTTATAATGTCCTTGTCAGTCATCCATGTGATTTCTTTGTAACGGCGCCGATCATTGTTAAGTAAAATGAAAACATTGCAGTGACCCTCGACATTGTATTTGCATATGTGCATAAATATTTTTGCTTATTACCTATTTAAATCTCACTTTGTGACTGAACCTTTTGATGCTAAACTTACTGGAAGCTACGACACAAAAAATTACTTGTGTCTCAGTCAGTTTCCTCAAATTGTAATACACGATTATTGACAAAATACGTATTGTACGTGGAAGGCATATGTTGAAAACAAGTTTGTTTTCTCAAAATATCATTCACAGATATTGCTACTTATTGCTTTTGACTTTGATATGCATGTTTTTATAAGATAATATAAAAGGTAGTCACTGTAACAATGTAAAGCAATAATTCCTTTATTGAAAGATGGCTTTAGTGGTAATCATTTGAACATCATCGTCCTCCAACAGACTCATTTCTATTATTTTCAGGTGTGTCAGAAAACATTATTATGGGTCAGCTGCCTCGCATGGGTACCGGTTGCTTTGATTTACTTCTTGATGCCGAGAAGTGTAAGTTGGGTATCCCCATCGCTCAAGCTCATGGCACTGACATTATGAGCTCAGGAATGTTCTTCGGATCAGCAGCTACTCCCAGCAGCCTGAGCCCTGGTGGAGCTATGACACCTTGGAACCAGGGAGCTACACCATATGTAGGAAGTGTTTGGTCCCCTCAAAGTAAGTACCAGTTTTTAATGTATTTGCTAGTGTGAAGTTATAGGCCATTCGTCCAGCTGGTGTTTTAGGCGACTCATATCATCAGACGTCTTACAAAACATTCCGGCAGGGGTATTATGTATCTTGAAAAGTGAGATTGTCGTTCTGACATTAGGTATATAGGTTTTTTGTGACATTATCTAGTTTTTATACATATGTCAACCTTAGTTATTGTTCACTTGATGTGCACTGTTCTGTAGCTGTTCGCGTTGCCTTAACATCATGAAGCTTCAGCTATCCATGTTCTGATGTGATGTAATATCTGATCCAGATATGGCATTACTACATTAGTATACTATAGCTGGAAGGAAACGGCAGTGCATAGTGAGGATTTATGTGCTAATGATCTGCGTTGATTATAATTGCCTTAGTTTCTAGTCTCAAATACACTTACTTGAGATATATGCTTCATCCTGGAAATCGTATACGTAAATTTACTGAATTTAAAAAAATGAGAGAGATAAAAAAGAAAATCATTGGTTTGTGAAATATATTACAACTAACTGGTGAGAAAATACGCTACAGACAGGAATACTTATGAAACATGAAAAGGTTATTACATTTTACATGATTTTTTATTTCCAGTCATTTAAATTTTATGTAAATTTATTTTGCGATGTCATGTAGAAAATACAAATCAGCGCCTAGATGTGAGGCACTGCGAAAATGTGTTACGTCTGACGCAGGCGCGGTGGTGAACTATAATCATTGCTTTGTAAATTACGCGTGCGGCGAGCGATTTTCCAGATCTGTATGTACTCTTACAAATTGAAATGTTGCATTTACGTTGCATTTTTAAATTCTGCAAAACAGAAGTCGGGATTTATAGGAAAAATAAGTTGCCACCATGAGGATGTCTAGTTTGGGCAAGTTCATACCATCCCCTTTGTCAAAATCCTTGGTTAATAAACACTCGTAAATAAAGCTGCACTTATTTAAGTTGAATAAGAACAGGCACAATCAAAAGTAATTACATAACCTCAAAGATGTTAATGTTGTCACTCACCTTCATTGTTGCCAGATCAACAGTGCTAAAATCTGTTTGTAGCCATGACGCTTAAACAACGGCAGATTCCAAAAATGAACTGTACGTATTAAAATTTGTATTGATCGACATAGTAACAAGCAAAATGCGGTAGGTTCAGATACTAAACTGTGGACATTTTAGTTGGTGATGATTGAATCTTGAAACCGTAAGTCGTTTGCGGTAGAATGGTAGACAGAACAATAGATCTATCACTTTTAAGGTAGATCTGGTTTTGGTTTTTGATTTTCGTTTGCTGTCACGTATTTTTGATTGAGAAAATTAATTTAAATTCATAATCACTTAATCAAATTTAATACTTTCTAGATTCTGTATTAATAAACATTTCTTATTGCATATAGCATACAGGTATATCTTTATAAACTTCAGTCAACTCGCGAATCACCTTTCGCATCTTGATACATGTTCAAGCATTCTGTCGCATGTAATGCATATTTTTGTATGCAAAAACGTTATTTTTATTTTGACTAGGTGGGTGAGCCAGACTGCTTTGCATAGTGCTTGAAAATTTGTCTTCTCATTTTATTTTTGCTTCCAAACAACATGCAAAATGATTTTACGGTCACTTTCAAATGTGGCGTGGCCGTGACTGGCGTCGTGACCACCAAAATGTCGCGGTTACATCACTGACTTTGATACATGGAACTTTCAGTTCTATACTATATCAAATTGTAGGATAAATATTATAATATTCTGCAATTAGATCATCTAGTATCCTTGATCAACGCATTCTACCTGTAGTTACCGAACCTGAAACTGTATTTCGACGTCCAAAAAATTATATGAGATGACATAATAAGATGCCACGGCGTCATGTATGAAAATTTGTTCCAGATATATTTCTCATCTCTGTAATAATTGGAAATCTACTTTGAAAAGGTCAGTGTCTCATAAATGGCGCTGTAGCCAACAATATGCTTATTTTCTGGTTAATAACAGTAAATCCACGATTCATCACCACTAACAATGCTGTACACATTTTTTGAATTTTTGGAATTGAAATGGTCAAGCGTTTTTTGATACCAATTAACCCTGGCTGCTTTCTGCTCTTCAGTCATCAGGTGGGGTATCCAACGAGAAACTAATTTTCTTACTCGTAATTCTTGATGTAAAATTTTTTGAATTGATGTCTTTGAGATCTTCAAGGACGCCTCAATCTCGCGATATGTCACATGTCTATCTTCAATTATGAGTTTGCGTACAGCATCGACGTTTTCCTGGGTGACTGCCGTTTTTGGTGCACCCACCCTGGGATCGTCGCTAAGACTCACCCGTCCACGTTTGAATTATCCATACCAACGGGAAATTGTCGACTGGTGTGGCGCTTCGTTGCCGAAAACAGACAGTAACTCAGCAAGGCATTCGTGTTGCGATAATTGTCTCTGAAAGTTGTAATTATGGCGCGAAAATGTTCTCGGTTGAGTTCCATTTTTCTAATGACTTGGTGACACTTAAAAATTCACTGTAGTGAGAATACTGCACGTAATGTTGTGAAACTTTGAATTTAAGTATACTAAAGAGTGAGGTTAAGATTCAGTACTGACGTTCGATCCGCGCGGCCTACTATGTTTCTATATGCACATATTGTTACAGCGCCAAAGTAGATTTCTAATTACTGCTGAGATGGCTGTGGCAAATTTCTCAAAGATGACGCCGTAGTATCTCATTTCATCTCTGATATTTTTTTGGACGCTGTATAAAGAAGCCCCCATGCGTGTCATAGATTACTAATATTATCAAATCCTCCAAATCATCTCATATGTTGTATTTCAAGTGACTGTAGTTCATATAGTTTACTTGTCTGTATTGATAAACATTTACTTTTTGCAGACTTGATGGGCAGCGGCATGACCCCTGGTGGGCCAGCATTCTCGCCATCAGCAGCCTCTGACGCTTCTGGAATGTCTCCAGCTTATGGAGCCTGGTCGCCAACACCACAATCGCCAGCTATGTCTCCGTATATCGCGTCGCCACACGGTCAGTCTCCTTCATACAGTCCGTCTAGCCCAGCTTTCCAACAGCCAACCTCTCCTTCTATGACACCTGTGTCTCCTGGGTACTCCCCCAGCTCTCCAGGATATTCCCCCACCAGTCCTAACTACAGTCCTACTAGCCCGAGTTATTCGCCTACATCTCCCAGCTATTCTCCGACTTCACCCAGTTATTCTCCAACATCCCCAAGTTATTCACCAACCTCGCCTAGTTATTCGCCAACATCTCCAAGCTATTCTCCTACATCGCCTAGCTATTCTCCCACATCTCCAAGTTATTCGCCTACGTCACCGAGCTATTCACCCACTTCTCCGAGTTATTCTCCGACGTCACCAAGTTATTCACCAACTTCGCCAAGTTATTCGCCAACATCTCCCAGCTATTCACCAACTTCGCCTAGTTATTCACCTACTTCACCCAGCTATTCTCCTACGTCGCCAAGTTATTCACCTTCTTCTCCGAGGTACACTCCAGCTTCACCAAGCTACTCGCCAACTTCTCCAAGCTACTCTCCTACATCTCCAAGCTATTCGCCTACGTCACCAAGTTATTCACCAGCATCTCCGAGTTATTCGCCATCTTCACCAAAATATTCTCCAACATCTCCAAATTATTCGCCTACGTCTCCATCCTTCTCTGGGGGAAGCCCTCAATATTCACCTACGTCACCCAGTTATTCACCTACGTCACCAAGTTATTCGCCGTCTAGTCCTCAACATACGCCTGCGGCAAGTACGAGGTATTCACCTTCTTCGCCTAATTATTCACCTAGTTCTCCAAATTATTCTCCAACTTCTCCCCAATATTCCCCTCACAGCACAAAGTATTCACCCACTTCACCTACCTACACTCCAACAAGTCCTAGTTATTCACCTGCTTCGCCAGCTTATTCCCCTCAACCCCCTAGATATTCACCATCCTCACCTAATGATCAGTAAATTTAGTTACAATTATTGTAAAAATATCAATTTTTATTGTAATAACTTTATTACTATGTTTATATTTATAGACTTGCAGTTATGAAAATATGAATAAAAGTTATATACTTTTCGTTCTTAGTTTTATTTTACATTGATTTTTCCTAATATGAAAACCCTCGCTTCTATCCAAATAGAGGGCTGCCCGACGGACCTTTGACTAAGCGATCTTAGGTGAAAATTAAGCTTATGAAAAACGTGAATAAAAGTATGAATAAAGTCTGATTCAATTTCAGTAGGTTGTTATCCTATTGCCCTCCCATTTTAAAATTTGATGTCGCCATTATGAATAATATTCTAGCCCCTTTACTGGCTTTACATCGCATAAAGCACAACGCAAATTTTATATCGTGATGAAAATTATTATCGCAAAAGTGAAAAACAAATTTTCCAACAATATGACTGAAAACCATCTTTGTCAGACAACGTAAATCAGTGTAGTAGCAACGTCATGTTGCACTATGATGAAAATAATAATTTTTACGATTTGGCGGACATTTGTCACGAGTTTGGTGGCTTTAATGTTATAACAGACACAGCAAGGGTAACATCACGATGTTCTACTCTAGATCTTATATTTATACTTGGTAGAAATATTAGTGTCCACAAGAATGATCTTGCTGATCTAAACGTTTTTGTAGACGATAATTATTATATATCATTTTCTCGCAATTGTGATTCTAGGCTGGCCCTGTCTAGTATAAGATATCGATGCTGCATTTTCGTATAGCATTTGTCGAGAAAAATGGGTGATATGAGTACTACTGGCTGATATTCCTGATTCTTCTGAAACTATAGCCGACTATTTTAATAAATTTTTCAATAACGCTGCAAGAGATACCATATAACTGCAAAAATTCGAAAAACCAAAGTCATAGTGACAGTCAAGGAAAATTGATTTTACTTAGTACCCTTTTTAGAAAAAAGCATTTCAAAAGCTTATCATGGAAAGACTTTAAAATAAAAAATCGTCTGACCTAATGAGTTGCACAACTCTTTGATACGTCAAATTCTGCCAGAGATTCTTTAACCTACATATTTCTTATCTTGTAGTGGGAATAGTTTGTCGGCAATGAAAATTGTAAAGATTTTACCGTTATAAAAAAAATATGATGCACATTTAATGGCAAATTACAGGCCTCTTACTTTGTAGCTGTTGCATATGTCGAACATGACACCCTTTTGGATTGGCTTGCGTGTTATGGCATAAAAAAACATCCACTAGAATTACGGTTTACGGACCTTCCTCACAAACAGAAAGCAGTATCTAGTTATACGTCATTTAAATTCTGCTGAGTGAGAGTTAATTCAAGTACTGAAGAATGTTTGATGGGTGTCCCACTGGTGACTTAGTTTTAGGCCCTGTTATATTTTTATAAAGGAGTTACCATCTAATGTACCGGATGCATTGATAACTTCATTTGCAGATGATCCTTCAACTGTTGCTTCTGATTCTTCTGAGAAATAATTACAACCCGATATACAGTGAAATCCATGTACCACTGACGTCGTAATATGTACAAGAAGCGGACAATACGTGTGTTAGAAAGAGATAGAAGTACCTAGTTGCCTAAAACCCCGAGTGCCCAGGCCACGGACGCAGCTGCGGCTTGCCACGTTACCACCGGCGCACACTTTCTAACACATATTGCACGCTTCTCCCGTTTCTCTCGTACACATTACGACGTCAGCCAAATTTGAACCTCACCGTAGATATTTCACTGTTTAGGCTGATGCATAACTGGCTTTCAAATAATATTTAAATCTAAATAAGACACAATATGCTAGATTTTACACAAGGCAAAGAAATAGCAACGAACTAAATTTCGTATAGGATATCGTTAATATTAATAATGTAAGATACGTAAAGTCCCTTGTTGTGTATTTGGATTCTTCTATGGATTGGACGCCGCACTGTGAGTGTGTAATAAACGAGACTTAATTCATCATATCTGTTTTTAAATTTAAGAGATATTCTACAATGAATCAGCTTGTATCGTGCATAGGTTGACTCTGTTATATGTTTTGGTCATATCTACAAATTCAAGGGATATGTTCGTCAAACAAGAAATAATCAAATGCATATCTGGTGTTAGTAGTAAAACACCACGTAGAGATCTGTTTATGAAATTCAAATTACTAGCACTAGCTGGTTTACATTATATATATACAGAGTGTAAACGTTATGATAGTCATTATTTAAATGGGTGATAGAGGGGGTTAAAAGAAGCGAAAAATTTCATATAACATGGGGGTCAAAACGGCATTTTTTTAGAGAAAAGCGACTTTAAAGTAAAATAAAGTCTGACAACGCCGCAATGCCAGACGCAAATTACGATGGAACGCAGCGTACATAAAGATGGAGTTTGTTATTTTTGGCTCGTAGGTATTATTTCATTATTTGATAATGTACTCGAAAAATGCAAACAATAAATAAAACGGTCTTACCACTAACTGTCTCAGCGCTCCACCTGGTATCTTTTTAAAACCCACACTGCACCTTTTTTGTATTTAAAGAAGGTGTTTAAAATGTCGTCCTCCACTTTCCACACAAGCTTCATTACGACGAACCCAGTTTCTTCTTACTCTAGGTCCTCGAAGTTGTCCATTCATTATTTCAGCCGCATTACATTTTTTTTCGCGAAGTTGTGCTTCAGTTGTTATTGGACCAACCCCATAAACCATCCCTTCAAGTTCTTCCCAATAGCAGAAATCCATCGGATTGAGGTCAGGCGATCTTGCTGGCCATGTTCGAGGATCAGAAGCATTTCGACCGATCCAGCGATTTGGATGATGTTCATTCAAATACTGAATGACGCCTCTAAAAATGTGTGGTGGTGCCCCGTCATGAAGAAACCACAAATTCTGTCTCCGTTGTAATGGCATGTTGTCTAAGGTCTGTTCCAAAAGATCTGGTAGGTTATTGGCTAGAAAGCTAAGGTATCCTTCTCCTGACAACTTTGGGGGTAACTCGAAAGGGTCAATTACCTGATCGTCAAGAATACCCGCCCAAATATTTATTTTAAAACGTTGGAAATGACCTTCACAACTGGTATGAGGATTTTCTTGGGCCCACGTGTGAGTATTATGGAAATTTAATATCCCGTCTCGCGTAAAAGTACATTTGTCCGTCGCTAGAATGTTTTTAAAAAATGCGGATTTTCAATGTTTGTGCAAAAACCACTGACAGAATGTTAGTCTGCGAGGATAGTCGTTTGGTAACAAGGCCTGTACTCGTTATACATGGTAGGGATAAAGCAAATTTTCCCCTAGGATTCTATGAACTATGGTATGCGATATAGTCCTACGCGGCGGCCTAATTCCCGAGTGCTGATATCTGCATTGATTTCCACAATATTTAAAATTTGTTCCTCCTGCTCTACAGTAACCTGTCTTTCACGAGTGCGAGTATTAGTGGGCTGAACACTTCCTGTATCTCGAAGTCTTTGGTACACTTGCACAAATGTCCTTCTGTCTGGGTGTACCCATTGGCGAAATCTGTCGCGATAAATTTGAGCTACAAGATTTGAATTCTGACGAGCTTCACCGTAAACTAACAACATGTCGGCGAACTCTTGATTCGAGAACATTGTAAATCAACGCGACGACGTACGCGAACGAAAACAAAACAACATTCTAACCACTGTTACCGTTTGCGATCGATTGTCGGTTCGATAAGAGTGATGATGACCGACGCGCTGTTGTCATGTGTGTTTTAAATATTCAATTTAATGAAACTTACTTACTTACTACAAATTTTGGCTTAACTTAGAAAAACTTAATGCCATTTATTTGTTAATCACCCAATTTTAAAACGTTTTAGATTAGATTATAAAAATTAGTAAAATTGTGGTCGATATAAAGCACTTAAAGTTGTAAACTATACAGGGTGTCCGCAAAGTTGGGGTTTTCCTTTACACGACGTGTAGATCTTGAAAACATAAGCAATTTTTCTTAGTACCATATACACCAATGTCTTAAGGGAACCGAGATAAAGGGCTCTGCAACATCAAAAATATCTGAATACCGTCCTGTAGCCGCGACCCGCCGAGATATCCCCGACACCCCGACTGGTACAAGGTCTCAACCCGACGACAGAACTGGGTCGGGGTCAGTGTGTCAGGTTAGTATGCAACCTTCAACCGACGGCTACAGTCACGCGTGTAGAGGTCAACGAACTCGTATAATCAATTGCGTTTCAAAAAACAACAAGCACTAGAGACGTGGCTAGAGAAGTGCAAGTATCAAAAACTAAAGTGTGGCAAACGCTGCGTGAAGAGGGGCTGTATCCGTTTCACGTCCAACGTGTACAAGCCCTTCAACCTGACGATTTTCCAGCAAGAGTGCGGTTTTGTAAGTGGTTGTTGCATCAACATGACAATAATCCGGACTTTTTGAAGTGCATATTGGTGACAGACGAATCTACGTTCACGCGTAATGGGGTGAATAACTTTCGCAACACTCATCTTTGGTCATTTTCAACAAACATTTTCGGTGAATGTTTGGGCTGGCATGGTGAACGGTATGCTCATTGGACCATTTATTCTCCCAAATCGATTGGACGGGATGCAATACCTAGACTTTTTACGCAATTTTGCCTTCCTTGTTAGAAGATGTGCCATTAAGTGTAAGACAATCAATGTGGTTTCTGCGTCAGCTCGGTAGCACTTCAGCTGATTTCATTTTCTGTTGGAGCGGTATGATTTCGGGCAGCGACGTACTTAGCCCTTCTCGTCAACTGGAGAGTGAGTACTTTTTCCCTTATTTTTTTTTACTTGGTCGCCCTCGTTTCACTACACATTACCTCTGTTATTTCAAGGGTAGTTGTTTCTGAAAAGGAAAACCCCAACTTTGCGGACACCCTGTATATAAAGCCATTTAGACAAAAATGTATTGACTTTTGGACCATGGGTCATATGAACTTTTTGACTTGTTTTGACCCGCCCTATTACCCATTTCAATAATGACTACCATAACGTTTACACCCTGTATATATACAGGGTGGCCCATCCACGTGTGGATGGAATATTACTCATAAACAAATACATTTTGGGAAAATCTATTTATGGGATGTTATACATGACATTTGAGGACCCATTTATAAAATATTGGTCATTATACAGGGTGTCAAAGTTTCGACCTACATATCAAAGTTGTGATTTTTCAAATGGAATGCCTCAAATTTTACTGCATATTTGGATAAACCAATTCAAAAGAAGAAAATTGATATAACATACTATGGGGTTTTGGTAATTAGCTACTGAGATATAAGATGTTTTGTCTAGAAAAACCCCCCACTTCGGCAACCCCTCAGTCCGCCATTTTGAAATTTGGAGTCCTGAATTTTGTATCAAGAATACTTGCACACCTCAGCTTTTATCTAAAATAAATGGAGCTTGCATGTTTGGGGAGGAGTTATTGGCAGACAAGTTAGCGGGCCTTTTTTTTTCGACAACAGATTAACAGGTACAGAATACTTGAATTTTTTGATCGAGCATTTGCCTTTGCTTTTGGAGGATGTCAACCTGCAAACTCTGATGCATATGTACTTCCAAAATGACGGCGCACCTGCGCATTATCATAATCGTGTGCGTAACTATTTGGACACCTGCAGTAACAAACGTCGGATCGGTAGTGATGATATCTTGGCCTCCTAGATCACCAGATATCCACCATCTACCCCGGAAAATATGAAGGAAAGGATTAAGGATGTTTTTCTGAACATAAGGGATGTGCAACGGTCATTTATCCAAAGACTACGGCTGTGTATTCAACCTGGTGGAGATATTTTCGAGCAGTTTTTGTAGATTAGATCTTCAGTAGTGATAGTTGTTTGTTTATGTTGTTGTTATAGTTGCTTCCTCTATTACGCTTAAAGCTGATTTATAATGTTCTGATTGTTATTAGTTTTTGCGTCAAATTTGTACACTTATAGTGGCAATATGGAACTAGCCCACTGTTTCTCTTTATTTCCATGGTTGATATGATTTTTTTCCTTAATTTTGGTGTGTTGTTCTATTAAAAGCTTAATAACTCAAAATCTAGTGATTTTATCTGAATCAAACCTTATACCAAAAAAAGCTTATAGAAAATTGAATCCAAACTTGCACAAATATACAGGGTGATGCATTTGAAATTTTTGAGAAAAAGTACAACTCGCGTTTTTGACCACCCTGTATGAGCAAAAATGGAAATTCGAAAAAGTAAGAAATAACATAAAAGCTGAGGTGTGTAAGTTTTTTTTGATACAAAATTCAGCACACCAAATTTCAAAATGGCGGATTGAGGGGTTGCCGAAGTGGACGGTTTTTCTGGACAAAACACCTTACATCTCAGTAGCTAATTACCAAAACCCCATAGTATGTTTCTTTTGAATTGGTTTATCCAAATATGCAATAAAATTTGAAGCATTCCAGTTAAAAAATCACAACGTTGATATGCAGGTCAAAATTGGGACACCCTATATAATTGCCAATATTTTAGAAATGTGCCAAATGTCATGTATAACATGCCATAAACAGGTTTTCCCAAAATGTATTTGTTTATGAGTAATATTCCATCCACACATGGATGGGCCACCCTATATATATATATATATCAAACAAATAGGAAAATAATGGGCAAAATCCGCAAAACGGGAAAGTGGATTCTAGCAGAAAATAGGATAGGTAACCCGAGCAATACGTATTTCTGCTTGTTGGCTTCATCAGGCCCGAAATGAATGCACATATGCAACCACAAAGCAGAAGTACGTATTGCTCGGGTTACCTATCCTATTTTCTGCTCGAATCCACTTTCCGTTTTGCATATTTTGCCCATTATTTTCCTATTTTTTGTTATATACCTTTCTCTGGATGATAATTTTCGCCTTGTATGTATATACATGTATATACGTATATATACAGGGTGACTTTGAAGTTGAGTTATTAATTTTCAGATAATGATTGTAGAAGGAAGATAAACCAAAATATGTGTGTAAAAATAAAAAAAAATAAAAAAAAATTTTTACCTTGTTTTATAAAGTATCCTCCCGACAAGTATTTCAGTGCGGACCTGTATTTGATCGTGAGGTCCCCTGTGAGGTCTTAAGTCACCTGATTCACGAGCCCGTTGTACTACATTAACAAAGGCACGAGGGGTTGGTTGCACTCGATTGGGAAACCGATCCGCATAAACATGTGCCATTTTTTATTTCGTTTGAGCCACGCAACAGACACTATTCACACGCGACTGACACTGACTGTATGTATAACTGAACTGAATGAAATAATTGTAAAAAACTCGTTCCAAATTGAATGAACAATTTCTATTAACACTTTGCACAATTCAAAATCTATGGAGAACAACACTGGTAGTCACTGGCCGACCCGCCCGCTGCTACACTTGTGAATAAGACCTGTCTGATTGGTTGAGTGCTGAGTGTCGTCATTATTGAAATGTCAAAATTTGTTAATGCCTTGTTCATGTTTAATTTGTTTTGTTGTAAAGGGTAAAGATAGAAATATTTTTCCTCATTTATTGAAATAAACAGTCCACATGAATCTATGAAAATAGTTACAAATGAAGAATTATGGAGAAACTGTAAGTAAAATACTCTACCTAGTAGTTCTTATATTTTTTTCCAAATATTGTTATCAGTTGTTATTTTGTAAACAATGTTATTTACTTCATTTTAGGTCCATGCTATTCTACCTTTAGACGAAGGGTATATGGTCAATCACGGATACACAAAGAAATAATTTGGTTGATGGCTTTGTAATTATGCTTTATGTGAAAATTTTCAAAAACACAGAGGCTTCAAGAGAAGAGCAAAGTTACGTTTCGAATTAAAAGAGTATGTCCCAAGAACACAAATTATATTCAAGGTTGGTGTTGGAGATAATGAAAAAAGACTAATCTGTATCCATGTATCTGTCTTTTTATTTATTCTTTGTATCCCCCTCTAGATTTCATGTAAATAATTTAAGATCTCATGTTCTGTGTATATTTTTATTAAATAAAAAATATTTTAAAGCCTTTTTGATGAAAATGCTATTGCTTTTATACTCGTCTTTTACATAATATCTAGAACCTTTGTGAATGTTCTTCATCTTTAATGGTGAAAGTATCTGAATGACATAAGGCATGTTTTTTTTCAATTTGATATTAAGCCATCACTGCTGGGTTATGAATAATTTTAATTATTGATAGTCTACGTCTAGCTGTTCCATATCCATTAGACAGTGAAACACTGGTATTAAAAAAACAGCAAAATTACAGAAATAGGGTTTATTATAATAATAGTATATAATACTTTGTTTATTAGCAAATTTAAAATTACAATTAATTAATAAAGGGTGCCTATCTCACAAGAGTTCAAAGTTTTTGTGTTGCTACCTTTATTATTTTATTTAAATTTTAATATATATATATATATATATAAAATAACCCGTGGATTCTTTAAAGAAAAAAGTCATATACCTACTATAAGTATGGCACAAGCATGAATGTTGATAATAATCAACTGAAAATAAAACATACATACATACATAGGGACAGAAACATTACTTTTTTGAATGTGTCTTACCCAAAGATATATTTTGAGTAATACAGTATTCTAAGCAATGTGGTGCAGCAGTTTTATTGTCAGGATAGAAAACTTCAAAATTGTGTTTACTTTTTTCTTTACTATAGGCATGATTTGACAGTCGAAGCCTTTTTAGAGGTCTGCCACTTTGAGCAATATTTCTTCCCCATAGTCCTGATTTTCGTCTCATTATTGCTGTTGGCTGCACGCCTATTCTATTTCCACCCTGAATATTTTTTCCTGATTTAATTTTAGGAAGTCCTGTCCCGTTATATTTACCAAACGTACACAATGCACTTGTAAGGGATGAATTTGTTTTACAGCTCTCCACATTCTTTAAAAATTTTAAAATAGGTTGATTGAATTCATCATAATTATTTTCAAACCTGTTCATAAGTAAATCAACAAAATGTTCAAGTTGTCCACGGATTTTATCTTTTTCAATAGTTGATATCGGTGGAATATCATTTAAATTAATGTCAATATTGTGCAAATCTGGAGAGCTACAACTGGGTACCTCAATAGCTGATGAATTATTATAAATTTTGACAACTTGATTAGCTTTGGTGTCATTCAAATTTAAGTACCATCCTTCTATTTCACAGTTAACACCATAAACAACCTTAAGCAAAAGTTCTTTGAAGTCACTATTAATTAAAGTAGGATGGAATTGCTGCGAATTTACGGCAAATTGTGTTACAATAGCCAATTGGTGTTTACAAGATCCACCTCTATTGCCCATAAAGCATGTACAACTTTCAATTTCTGTATTAACAATATAATTATTTTCTTTAGATTGAACATTATAAATGTTTTCTTCTACTTGTGTACAAACTATACCATTAATTTTAGCCTTATCAATATATTTGTTTTTTGTTTCGAGCCTTCCCATCTTCCATTTATCATATCAATAATTTTTTTAATGTAAAACGCTTCAAAATTTGTCGTTAAATAATCAAATAGTTGTAGCCTTTTTTCTTAATAATATTTTATCTTTTAATACTCGAAAGGAAGCTTCAGAATAATTATTAGTATTGTTACCCCTAGTTAATAAATTTGATCTGTAACACATTGCCCATATTTCTGCCCTCTATTGCAAGTTAAAAAGATAATTTTTTAACTTATTATTCTTTTCTACACATTTATCTGATAGAAGCATGCTATATAAGTTCTTGAATTCCTCTTCAGAAACACAATTTACAGATTTTCTAAAAAGCTGAAATATACTCACTCTTTCATATTTATCAACTCCATTAGAGCTGTTCCATCAAAATCGCATAAAGGATTGTAGCACATGAAATTTGCACAATATTAACGATGCATCTTTAAAACATCATTTTAAACTGTTTCTTTCAGCATCACAATCAACAGTAACAATTAATTTTGGAAAGTTTTGCCCATAAAACGAATTTGTTGGTAAAATGATCTGAAGGAGCTTAACAGCATTTGTTATTGATTGCTCTGACTCTGAATATGTCATTACAATACCTAATGGTAATGCTCCTACAGCTTAAGGGCACAATAATAAAAATATTCGACTATTGTGCCTATCCATGTTCCCGGAGGAATATAATTATGAATTCTTTTCATAAGTGGGGTACAAATCGCTACAGCTACATTAGTTGAATGTTCAATGGCTGCACATACACTTTCACATTTAATATTATAATCTTTTATTGCATTTTCCATTGACACAATCATTTCGACACCTGTAGGCTCACTATATTCTCTTTTGAATATTTGATAGTACAGATCATATACCCACTTCAGTGTTGGGCATTTACTGCCATCAGCTACAATTTCATTGTACCTTTGATTGTGGTTTTCATATAATTCATCTTTAAAGAGACTGTATGCTGTGCTTGGTGAATGTCCTTTAGTGAATAATAATTTAAATTCTTCCTGCAACTGTGCTGATGAAGTATATATTGAATGATTAAGGGTGTTCCTTAAAAAAATTTCACAGGGGTACTTCTTTAAAAAGACATCATTGCTTCTGAAAAACAAAAAATAATAATTAAGCAATCTTTTAAAGTTACTTTTAATTATTATTACCTTTTCATTTCCTTGTTTTTAATGGTTACAATGATTTTGGCATTACAATTTAGATGCTTTTCATGAGGCTTAGAAATTTCGTTTTGGTTTTGTATTATGAATGCAATGGTATTCCTTCTGAAATTGAATATATTTTGTAAATAATGGTATGATTGTTTTGTTAAACATTAACATATTACTTAAATTGAAAATAGTTGCGTTAATTAAAACTAAATAATATTAGCCACAATCAAAAATATACACCTTAAAAATAATTTTTTGGGTATTCTCTGCATGACATCTCTTTACCCTGAAAGAAATTTTGCTTTTTTCTTGGAAAAGCCCCAACCATCGAAAAGCTTCCTCCTTGCTACATATATTCAAAGGAATTACTGTAGAAAATCCATTACTCAAAGGTTCTGAACTTAGAACAATTCCTTCAAAACCATCATCTGTAGCCAACATATTATGCAACTACAAATAAAGACAAAAAAATAGTATTAATCCTGCCACCACTAAATTTTCAGTAGGTAGGTATTCCTAGTTTATGATTTGCTACAAAGTACTTACAATTTCTCTATGATCAGCGTTTAAAACAGAACTAAAATCCATTTTTAAGTGTTTAAAATGACACGGCCTGAAATTCACACTATTCAGTATTTACTACTTGCGGAGTGTTGCAAACGTCACAAATATTTTATGAGAGTATTGAAAGTTTTGAAATTTTAATAATAATCGCTAGTCGCAGAACGAAAAGCACAAAATTAAACTCGCGCCTTGTATTCTAACCTCAAACATCAAAATCGTAAACGTCAATTTCTAATATTTTCTGCTCATGTGTTTTACCCGGACCAATCGCAAAGCAGCCATTCATAAGTGTGGTTTAGAAATCACGCGACCCGCCCCACCCGCCTTTCGACATGACAACATTGCCTTGTCAACACTTCTTAACCTCGAAATTAGTTTATTTCTAAGTTTTGTGTGAAGTAGGTTTTGTTGAACAGCTTTGTTTTTACATTTTTGTTGTAATTGAGTGCATCATCAGAGCTGATTTTTCAGTTAATTTTATGGTATCATAAGTACAGTTTTTAGAACCGTTACCTAGTATAATAGGCATATTATATTGATTGAAAAAAAATGAGCATACTATATGAAGATGAGGACACATTTGTTATTTCTCACAAGAAATACATAGATTCTGTGTATAAAGACATAGGTTATCAGATTCAACCTGATCTCTTCAATATTCAAGTGCCTTATAAATTACCAAAGAAACAAACAACTGCAAACTCAACATCTAGCAAAGGATTTGGCGTGTTACATGATGAAGTTCGATTTCTTGAGGAGAAATATGCCAAATTGAAAGAAAAGTCTGTTTTAAATATGTTTTGCAATGAATCTAAAGGACAGTCTAATGGAGAAGCAATTAAATTCCTGAAATCACTACATATACACAAAAGTTGGTTACAGAATACAGTTAAAAATGCATTTGGTGCAAATATGGCTCCAGCAATGGTTAAAACAATTGATGGAGAAAATTTCTTGTTTCCTAAAAACACGAAATTCTATTCCAAAGATATAAGTGAAATACATGAGCACTTGAATACCAAATATAATTTAGTTCTGCTAGATCCTCCTTGGTGGAACAAATTTATCCGTAGAAAGAGAAAAGTGACAGGTGATGGTTATCAGATGTTGTACAATAGTGACATTAAGAATATTCCTATAGAAAATATTCTAGCAGAAAATGGCATTGTTGTGGTTTGGTGCACAAACTCTACACAGCATTTTGAGTGTTTAACAAAAGACATTTTTCCCAAATGGCAAGTCACATATAGAGGGAAATGGTTCTGGCTGAAGGTTGCAGCTAATGGTGTTCCAGTTTGCCAGTTCAGTGAACCCCCTAGAAAACAGCCTTTTGAAAAAATCATATTTGGTTTCAAAAAACCACCCGAACAATTCCCTAGCAAAATAATTGTTAGCGTACCAAGCATTATGGATTCTCATAAACCTCCTTTGTTAGAAGTGTTAAAGCCATATTTGCCTGAAAACGCTGAGTGCTTGGAGATATTTGCAAGATACTTACTGCCAGCCTGGACAAGTTATGGAAATGAAGTTTTAAAATTACAGCATGAGTATATTTATGAAAAAAAGTCTATAATATAATATTTTCATAAATTGATGCTTATATAATTTTTTCAGTCCATATCCTAACTATTGTTTTGATTTTCCAGTCAACAATTTGAAACAAATTTACCTTTACTAAATTAGGCCTATACAGGGTATCCTAGAAATCAATGTCAAGCTGGAAACAAGGGATAGGCCAAGTCTTATTAGTTATCAAAAATATATAAAAAAATATCCGTGTACTTTTCAAGTAGGGTTTAAAAAAAATTTGCTTGTTAGATGGATATATAGATAGATGGTTTATTGTCTTCGGATCATAGGTATGATATAAGACTCGTTATATATATCTCTATAAATACATTATCTACAAAATTTAAAAATATATTTAAGCATAAATACATAAATTTGTCGAAAAACTGAAAATGGAAAGAATCACAACTAGTGGAAAAAGGACGCATGCGCGCACGAACGAAACATACACTGAACAAGCAGATACAAAAAATAAATGGGACAAGGTATATAAGAAGTAACTAGAATAGCAATAGAAAAATAAAAGGTACACATATATGAGTATCAGAATGCTAAAAAATATATATACAGCTTTAGTGTCCTATTTAATTTTAGGGGCATCACTCTTATGGTGAAAGAAACTCGGCTACTGAGTAGTAGCATTTTTCTATTAACAGATTCCTCACCTCTTTCTTGAACCTATTTGAGCATCTTATATCTTTTAGTATTGATGGCAACTTATTGAATATCTTGGTGCAGGCGTAGGCTGATGATTTTGACAGTGTATGCTCTAGCGTTGTAGTTCGTGTTTAAGTCCTTGTACTGCAGAAACTGCTCCCTGTGATTGAAGGTGTAGAAAGCGCATTTATAAATATATATTTTCGGAAGCGTTATGCTGAAATATTGCTTTACATGACTCTCGCGTTTTAATGCTAAATATCAGCCTTACGATACGTTTCCGCAAAATAAACACTCTGGACGCGGTGCATCCTTGTCCCCAGACGATGGTGTGTCAGTATTCAAGATTAGGCGATTTGTTTGGCACCACTCTTCCATCTCAGATTTTATGAATCCAATGTTAAGGTACTGATCTTCAGGCCAATATGCAGTTACTACGGCCGATGTGACATCAGCGTAGTTCACCACTGCACCCGAGAGCTTCAGATCGTTTATAAACAGTATGAAAAGAAGTGGTGACAAAACAGATCCCTGATCTATATTTATTTTATAGATAGCTGATTGCGCATCGTTCACTCTTACTCTAAGTTCCATGTCTGTCAGAAAAGACACTAGCCAGTCCAGCAAGAAGTCTCTAAAACCTGTATTGAAATTTTCTCCGTTAGCAAATCTACATTAATGATGTCAAACGCTTTGGACAAGTCAAAAAATACTCCAGCAACTAGATGACCAAAGTCTATTGCCCAGTATATGTGGGTAATAAGCTCAAAGGAGGCTGTCTCAATCGAGCGTGATTTCCTAAACCGATGTTGGTTGTTAGAAATGATGTATTTGTCAGTATAGCAAGCTATGCGCGCGTGCAGCACTTCCTCAAATAGAAGATATATTTATATATGAAGAGAAAATGATCATGCGGAGAAACGTATTCATTTCGGGCCTGATGAAGCCAACTAGCAGAAATACGTATCGCTCGGGTTACCTATCCTATTTTCTGCTCGTATCCACTTTCCTTCTTTTTGCGGATTTTGCCCATTATTTTCCTATTATTTGTTATATACCTTTCTCCGCATGATCATTTTCTCTTTGTCCTTTGGGCTTGAAGTATCACAGCAAGTGGCTATAACCACGTTTCTAACAAAAAGGTATTCGGTCTGGCTAAAAAATCCAACATTATCTCAAGCTTTTTGCTACAAACAATGGTTTTTGTTTTGAGTTAGCGGCTTTTGATTGTGAAAATTGGATATAGCAGGTTTTGATTGTTACTTGGTCTTCGAAGTACAAAAATAACAGATCTTGTTTGATCATCTTTCTAAACTTATTTAACTATATAAACAATAACAATGGTTCTCTAAATTAATAATGTTTTAAACAACAAAAACTATATTTTATAAATTTAACGAAAATATAAAACAAGTTCTTTATACAGAAAATGCTCTATCTTAATTATGTTTATTTTGAACAACATAAACTATATTCCCTAACTTTATCGAAAACATTCTAAATAAAACAAATTCCTTGTGAACACATTCATTATACAGACAAGGCGTCTAGCTCTTCAACCGTTTCGCATTGCAAATCTGGAACATCTTCAATATTAGCGTCAGCTTCTTCTGGCTGGCGAAGTTCAATGTTTGTGAAAAAATCTAAGCCTTCATCGAGTCTCCAGTTTTCGCCGTAGTGACCTTCTAATAATTTAGCCACTGCTATAACTTTAGCTTCTTTGACAGAAACGTTTGTAGGAAGCGGTTGAGGATCCATAGAACTGATTTTTTTATTTTTCTTCGTAACACTTCTAGGATTGCCTAATTCCGATCTGTAGTGTAGTTCTCCCTGAACTTTGGTAATTCTGTTTTTGTCAAGAATTATTTTAAACCTTTTGGAAGGATTAAATTTAAAGTGCTAGGCTCCAGGTGGCTTTAACACGTTTTGGGATTCCTTCTTCCAATCTAAAACAGGGACATCCACACCCATGTTTATTACAGTAGCATACTGTTCTATGTGTTCAATATACCGCTGAGGGGTAGAAATGATCTCTTGTTTTCTGATAGCTTTCTCTATGTTTCCAAATACCCTGTCAGGTGGAATAAAACTATGCCCGACAACAGGAAAAATTATCTCAAGTTGCTTAATATTTGGTGGCGCATAACATTCAAGCCACTTAGAACACATTTAGTTTTTTAGGCGATGGAATACCGCACTAGTAATTTCATTCGAGCTTGTAGGACGGACAGTTTCATTCCAACAATAACAAAATACGTTTTCTGGAGTTAATGTTGTCTTGGAGCTACCACAAACAATAGTAAAAGTTATATTGTTTTGAACAATATGCCTCTTGGTCAGGAAGTTTTGGAAGTGGCAAATTCTTTTGGCACTCAAATGATAACATTATCATTTCTGGGTATTCTTCTTTCAGTAAAGCAAAAAAGGCTTGCACCTTTAGTTTATGTACAGTTTTCTGAGCCATAAGCGCAGCTTTTGTAGGAGGATCATCTATAACCTGCTTAATTTTTTCACTAATCTGAATGCATGTGGAACATACATCAGTTCTAGGCGATCCGAAACCTATGTTGTATTTTGTACAAAATTCACGTCTAAAAAATGGTTCTTTAACCATGACATTGTCAAGTGCTGAATTTAAATACATTTGGTATAATTTTCTGATGTTTAGTTCTGGTGGTAGATATACACGGCAAGCACTTTTCGATCTACAATAATGTGACTCCTGGCATTTGAGGGATTCCAAAAAAGAGCGTATTGCCTCCCGCCTTCCTTCATTTTTCTTGCTCTTATGATCCCCGCCCCGGTTTTCTTGTGCCATTTTCCCAGTTTCAAAATGTCTTTTTAACACTCCATAAACTCTTATCTTTATTAATATCCAATATATTCAAAAAAGCTGGTTTGCAAACTGGAATTAATTTTCCGCTTCTATTTTTTACGAAAAATTTGTAACTTAATGTCCTAGCTGGCTTCGATTTATTCTTTCGACGCTTTGGCACTTCAACGTTGGTATACTTTATAATGTAATTATCCTGATCAATTTTTGCAGCAGTAGAGTAGAATCTTGAGTGAAATTCTGATATGTCAAATTTGGTTAAAGTACTGCATCGGAAGCTTTTCGTTGCGTGATTACAGCTTGGGACACCCGGTGGTCTTTTGGGCTTGTATCTGAAAATAATTGTCGAACGTTGAATAGATCTTTAGATTACAGGAATATTCAAGATCCAATTACTTTATTATCAAAATTAGATTCACTTACAAAATAAACAAAATCAATCTTTAAACGTTTTTTTAGCAAATGTGCCTGCATTTAACAAAATGAAAATAATTATGCAATAACTTTACGATTTTGTCAAGCATAATTAAGTAATTAAAAAATACACATATCAAATCCAAGCGAATAACCAAAATTTCTGTGTTATGTGCCGCGGTTATAATATGGTTCAAGATGACACACGGGTTGATGACGTCAGTTACACGAATCGCTTGAACGCGTTGGTTTTAACCGCGGTTTTGTTGCAAGTTGTTTATTTTAGAAAAGCGCGTATATAATCTCTGATTATTTTTATTATCACTTAATAATCGGTGCTTTTTCGTCTACAACTGTATATGGAAAGTTTAAATAAGAAACCTTTCATAATATTCATAGGAAAAATGTTTTTTCAGATTTTTTTTAATGATGGAACCATGGCTTTGTAGCTATGATAACTTTCAATTTTCTAAATTTTTCCGCATGTCAAAGAAAACATTTATTGATTCAGCAGAAATGATGAAAAAAGAAATTAGCAAAACCGTATACAGGTGGATATCATCTAGTGAGTTTATATGGCCATATTTTAATATTCTTGTGGTATATGGCTACACAGGATACTTTGTTACGCTTAGGAACTACATTTAAAGTGTCCCCAACAACAGTAATGAGTATAACTAATAAGGTGCTCCACTTTATGATAAAACTGAAGTCATCCTGTATCATTTTTCTCAAAAATGAAGCTGAAGTACAATAACAATATCCAATACCCGGCAAAATTCTAACTTGTCACATTTCAAATAATAACCAGAAATATAAAACTACTCTTGAGTTGGGTAAATACCACAATTTTGCGGTGATAACTATGACATATAACAGCTGATTCGTGACGTCACGGATCTTATAACCAAACTGATAACTACACTCGCTTGAACGGATTGGTAAATACCAACCCAAAATGGTAAATACCATTTCCATTTGGTTATCCGCTTGAATTTGATTACAGTAAAACTTACCTCTGAATCTTTAGTTTAGCTGATTTCCAGTTAGATTTATTTATTGAACGCTTTCGGGCTTTGTTCGGTGTGCATATTTGGACGGCTTTATTGTATTCGTCCATGTTTTCTTTAAAACACTTATAAAAACCACAGAAAGCAACAATTATGATCCTACACGTTAAATATCTAAACATGAACTGACATGCATAAACTCGTGCCCGTATCGAATAGTGCATCGTCATTGGTCAAAATGGATTTGGCGGGCTTTGATTGTAATATTGGCATGGCGTTAGCGGGTTTTGAAACTAAACGTAAAGTTTCGGCTTAATTATAGACTTGTTTTAGCGGAATTTGAAGGATAATATTTATACAGGTAGATTCCTTGGAAAATTTCCTATAGGATCGGCAGAAAATACCATATTTGGAAAAAAGTGGGATTAGCGGGGTTTGATTCTATACGCCTCATATATATAGTAGTTTTCGACTTGAGAGGGATCTCCCTTCTTCAATATAGGTAATCACAATGGACAATTGAAGATTTTTAGGGAATTTGCCTTGATGCACTGACATGTTTATAAGCACAGCTGGTGTACCTGCAATTTGATGACACACACTTTTAACTATTCTTGTTGACACACCATCACTTCCACACAGCTTATAATTTTGTTTGTTCATTACATTGGTCACTTCATCTTCGGTAGTTTCACTGTAGAATATTGTCCGACCCAGTGAGGTTGCTGACAGACTTGTTGTTGTGGGCTGTCCTCCAAAGTGTTCATGAGCTTCTTCTCTGCTACTGTCGAAAAGTATCTACTAAATGCGTCGGATGTACCTCCGCTTCTCAGATCTCCAACGGATTCTATATTTAAGATCATTTGATTGGTACAGTTGCTTCGTCCTAGTTCTTTGTTTACAATTTCCCATAAATTCTTCGATTAGTTTTCAGCATTTTCTATTAGATGTTCATTAATCATGATGTCGTTGTTTAGTAGTTTTCTGTGTTTTCTTTTTCTTTGTAGGTAGTGTTGTCTAAGGCCGGCATTACACTATAAAAGTTCTTTGACAAAGATATTTGATAAAAAAAAGTTGGAAGAGTGTAATAGGCCGACTTTTATAAAATAAAACTTTTATAAAAGTTCTTTTATCATATTTAGCCTCTTCATCCTATATTTGATCAAATATTTTGCGTAGTTGTATCAAGATGGGGAGAACAGATGGTGTCTGGCGGCTACGAAGCTGCTAATTTCCGAATATGAAACAACAATAAAAATCTGAACAAACGTTTGGAAACATATAAGGCAATTGCTGACGTTTTGCAAGAAAACAGACACACGTGCACGATTGCACACGTGAAAAAGAAATTGAATGGATTGGATGATGCCTTAAAGGGAGCACTGGGGGATGCGAGTGATATACTGGAGGCTAGTGTAACTCTCTCCAGTGACTAGAAATTGCAACCTGACCATGAGCCGCTCCTCAGTGCTGAGAGGTTTCGTAAATGTGTCACTTTCCGTGATATTAATGGTTCCACTTTCTGAGCTAGGAACGTGAAGGTGTCCTCATTCATTCTCAAAAAGTTAACATAACTTCTCTGATTTTCCACTGGCAGTTCTTGGACCAAGTTATGTAGATCCCCTTCAACTCACGGCTGGCGATCCACGGTTTGGCCCACAGCCTTCTTTTTCGTTGTTAAAGCCACTACAATGGCTGCCGAAGTAAAACTTGCTATGGCAGCAACCTGAACGTCGTCGTCCATAGCAGTATTTGCATTACCTTCTTAAAATAGTTTATAAAATATTTTACGTAGTGTAATAGGCTGTTTGGCAGCCATAACATTTCTTTTATGCATAACTTTTGTACGAGTAATTTATAAAAGATCTTTGTGAAAGAACTGTTATGGTGTAATGCCGGCCTTAGTTCGGAGTTATCTTTGTTACTTTGCAGTGCGTGTGTATATCCTCAAGTTTTTACTGGATCTTATTTCCTCCATCATCCAGGCTTTAGTCTGCGAGTTCTGCTTAAAAATTACGACTCTTTCTGGACACGCGGTATTAAAATGCCATAAGAAGGTATCGACGAAGTTTTTAAATGCCGTGTGCCGTGTGTCTTCATCTTCAGTTATCGACCACTGTTCTTGAGACAGGTTGGATTTAAGGTTCTCAAGGTTTTCATTTTTTATTGTTCTTGCTATTGTCTTTAGTGGATTCGCTGGTTGACGTGATGGAGATAGAGAGCATTTGGGCAGTGTATCGGATATAAGTGGGTCAAATACTGTACAAATGATGAATTGTGGACTGAGATTTGTCGTGATGTAGTCTATTGACGTATTGGATATTGTGTTATTCCGGATGAAAGCGTAGTGTGTAAGTTAGTTGCAGTGATTTACAAGGTGGAACGAATCTAAAATATCTTTAAGCGTCATGGTGTTTATAGGTGGGCGAGAATAGCCGATGAATAATCTTGTCACGTGTGGCTAATACGTGATTGAGAATTTTCGAAAGATTCTCGAGAAAGGTTCGTATGTTACCAGATACTCACATTACAATTAGGTTGGTGTTTGTGGTTTGCAGAGTCACTATTGTGCCACAGCATGCGATGTGTCGTTCTACGGAAAACTTCTTGACATATGGGAGTTGATAGTCACGCCTTGCTTCACAAATAAAGCTCAGCCACCGTGAATATATTGGCTTCTGCAGAAAGTTGCTGCGTTTGTATACCCCTTAATATTAGCAACACTCACTGCATCAGACGTCAGCCATGTTTCCGTGAGGCATAGTACATCAGGTGTTGTCTCATCATCAAAAACATCGATAATGTCATATTTTTTCTGTATGCTAGATACATGAAGTGACAATTTCATTCTATGTAGTGACAGCAAGACAGATAGTGATGCCTTCATGATCGTGTAGTGCCACCATGCCTGTGTACACCATATAGGAATATGCCGACATGCGTTATGGGAAATCTTAATGCAATGATAGTGCCTTATCGTGAGAGGTACCCAAATGCTGCTCATCACCATAATCATCGAGTTTTTGTGAAAGTGCACCATTTACTCTGACAGAGACGATTCCCAAATAAAGCACGTGGTGAAGGAAGAATTTCCTTTCCTTACAAAGACGTCGTACTACAAGCAGTCGAAGAAGACCCTAGTACTTCAGTACGTCAAATAGAAGCAAGCATGGGAGTGCCCAAAAGGACAGCCAACCGAATCTTGCGAAAGAACGAGCTCCACGTAACGGCTTCATACATACCACGTACAGCGGTACAATCTCTACAACGCCGGGATTATCCTCCCCAGAGTTGAGTTTTGTCAAACAATGTTACAGACACCGGGAAGATTCTGGAGAAAATCTTATGAACTGATGAGCCGACATTCAAAAAAGATGGTTATATGAATTTACACAACTTACACGAGTGGCATGTAGAAAATTCACATTTGATAAGACAAGATGGATCACCGTATCGTTTCAAAGTAAACGTGGCTCGGGATTCAGTTAGAGAATAGATAAGGTGGTCTGGTACAATTTCGTGGCTAGCCTGTTGCTTGCTGCTGAAGGGAGGTAGTTGGAACATTTATTGTGAATTCAATAATTTATTAGGCACACATGTTTCTTAAGCATCAGAAAACAATTAAGTAACTTCTGATCTCAGCGATTGGATCAGGAATAATACGACAAAATAACCTGTATACGATTTTTCGAATGAGCGCATCCGCAACAGCGAGAATTTTTAGTAAACAACTTGAGAGGAAGGAAAAAGGGCGACATCGGGATCCGAACCCGCATCTCCTCCAACTGAACGCCGCCAAATGGGGCATGAAGCAGAAAGAACAACTGAACAGTGGCCCTGATATGATTGAATTTGCCTGTAATTGGTTAGGTCGACTCCACGGAATAGAGGAGATGCGGAATGCGTTTACTAGGACAAGATAAGTCTGAGAAGGACATGCAAAATAACATATCATTGTTGGAGAATATATAAGAATGTTTAAATACAATAATTTAGATCACACATCTGTTAAGTAGCAGTAAAATTCTGTTTCAGTTATCTAAAAGAAGAAAATGATTCAACTTGTGAAGCAGTATAAAGGTTGAAACAGCAAAACTAAATACCACAAGGAAATTAACAACAAAAAAACTATTGTGATCATGGCTAAAAATACCCCATCAAAATTGCATTAACTCACTATTATTATTATCCATTCAAGTGGAGTGACTGCGACGCCATAAACTTGAGCTGCTGGCTGAATACATTGTGTAATATGACAACAAAGTAGCAGACTAGTTAGTTTAAAAAGTAATAAAATCACGCAAAACCAGTCCGTCAAGTCATCTGTTTAATCCAATCTTGAGTCTACCTTGCTGCGTATAAAATGCTTATATAGTACAATTCATATCAATATATAAAATTTTAGGATTTTACCCAAAGTAAAAATTACGGATTTAAATATCAGATTGAATAAAAATTGATCAAAATATATTTGAAAATACAATCTTTGGCAAACTATATTTCATTTGTATTATCTAAATCCTATATAAATGTCAACTATAAACTAAGTCAATTGCTATTATAACTATCCGAAATATATAACACCAAAAATAGCTGCAGAATAGTGAGTGCTCTTGTCTAAAATAATTGAAAAAATCAATCTAAACAAATGCATCCCGATATTAAATTCTAAAAGTTCATGCAAAAAAAGAGATTCAAAAAGATACTGCATGGGCAAACATTTCCACGCGTGAATCACAGGAAATCGTAATGTCATAAAGTCTACATTTAACTGTTTTCTTAAGAGCACCCATCATTGATGAGATTTCACTGCAATACATTAAGACACCACTAAAATGATATGTAAAATTATTGACTAAATGCGAAAACTCATTATATTTTGTGACCAAATTGGTGTTTGGTGCAGATTCTAGTGGAGTAGTGACAAAGGGATGGAAAGTTTTAGCTAATCACAATACCTCATACATAGTCGATACTATTAACCTTATTCTAACATTTATCACACATAAATCAGCGATTGTCAAATAACGTCAACGCTATCCTTTACGCATACAATATTAATAATGATTAGCCAATACTCTAGAAAGAGACCAGAAAATATGGTATATGAAAATGTATCAAATGCTTTCACTAGGTAGAATCTGTCCATGATGCGTTTTAAGTTACTTCGAATCTAATAACCCGACTCAGGGACGCACTATTTTTAAAGCAAAATAGTACATTTGTATATTATATAAGTTACTATGTACAGTACACCAAATTAAACTATGTCGATCTACAATTTCCTTTCAACCTATTATTACTGAGTCGCCACCCTGATGCCTATGACAGAAATCGCGACCAGGCAAAGAAGAAAGTTTGCAAGGCGTGCCCAGTCTTGTTTTCGCCATACAGGAGCCTCTCTGACCAGTGTTTGTATGCAAGGGTGTCCTACTCCTACTTCTAGAAGTGGATGTTACTGGATAGTCACCATTCCTTGACACAGGAGGCGTGAAGTCGTAATCTTCATTAGAATGATACGTGCTTTCATTTTTGTAATCTTCAGGTTCTTCAACTTGCTGAGTGTTATGGTTGCAACTGCGCATGATTTCATTTCTACTAGTCTGACTGTATATTCTAGACTCTTGCACATAACTGCGCAAATTAGAATTTGCCCCCACTGAAGATATTTCCTGGGATGCAAATCTTGGTGAACAATTAACTTCCTTTGACGGAGTTATCTTTGGTGTTAGTTTTCCCTTAATCGTGTCCAATGCCTTTTTTGGTGATATCTGCATTCTTGAAATGGATAGACACACTAGTCCTTGAACTGAAAATCAGAAATACGATTTATTCAAAAGAAAAATGATGCTTATGTCATGTAATAATATAAGCATAACTTTGAAAGTTACTGTATTACATTTATATTATATTGAATTTCCTAGCCCTTATCAATCAATTTATTATAACTACTATATTATATGTTATATTATGTGTTAGAATGATATCTATGCACAAGGATATTTTCCTTTTGTGGAAAATCAATTTATTCGCAGTTTAATATAATTAATGTGAATAAATATTATTATTATTAGGCATTTATCATTACCTATCCCTGTCTAAAGAAATGTTGAGACTATAACTAATTTAACTTAATAAACAATCAAGTCATTCTTTAGGGCTATTCTAGTCCTTTTTACTTCCCGCGCACTGTCATATACATCACGAATAAATAAAATAAAAAATACATTTTTAAAATAGTTTTAAAAATTCTTATTTAGCTGCTAATAAAATTGACTAAAAATTTAAAAATATATATATATATTTTTTTTTAATGGAAATATTTAAACTATAATGAAGCTCCTCCATCTCAAGTTTTCAAATAAAACTACACCCTTTTTTTATCCTGCTGTCAAAACTTAAAACGCATTTAATTGAAAACTTGAGATGAAGAAGCTTGATTATCGTTTAACTATTTCCAATTAGAGAAAATTGTTTTTAAATTTTTACTTAATTTTATTAATAGCTAAATAAAAGCTTGTTTTTAATTTTTTTAGATTATATATTTTTTTAATTTTCAGTATTTATGATTTCAAAAAACTAGTTTGGTAATTTCTATATAATTTATTAACAAGACTTCATAAAACTTATTTAATTTGTCCTAAAATTTCGATATACTTAAATCACATAATGATAAATCGATATTTTGCGGCGATGGCCATAAGGAATTTAGAGTGACGTTATTTGCTCGTGTTTCTCTCATTAAGCCCTTTCATTTAATACCCATAACATGGAAATTACAAATCGTCATTAAGCAGCGGCCGTCATACTGGATTTAGAATAACGTCACTTTCCTTATTATGTTTCCTCATCAAACCCTTTCATTTGATAACTATAGTGGCTGTCTATGGAAACTATAAATCGTCGTTTTACGGTGCCGCCATAATGTATTTAGAATGATGTCACTTTGCTAATGCTTCCCTCATCAAGCTCTTTCATTTGATGTTTTTCTCATCAATCCCTTTCATTTGATACCCATATCATAAGGGTGACTGCCAAAAAAGTAATTCGCCATTTTGCGACGGTCGCCATATTGTATTTCTCTCATTAAGCCCTTTCATTTGATACCCATATCATACTATGGAAATGATGAGTCGCCATTTTGTAGCATCCACCATATTGGATTAAAACTGGCGACAGTTAATTCATTTTGTATTGTCACGCGGACCAAACGTGGGTACAAAATTTCAGCTCAATTGGTTGAGAATAATAGGTTCAGAATTCGGTCCCAAGATTTGTCCCACACATGCAAACACGTCAATTTAAATAAAAGCTTGTAAAAACCACCTCCCTAATTTTCACACAAGGGTATGCCACAGAAGAGGAATCTTTTTTTCAAAAACGAGCCAGTGGCGCAGCTGGTAGCAAAAAACAAAATACAGATCGATCAAACATCGTTTTTTGACGTTCCACAAGCTCCTGATCATTTTCAGAGAAATTATGTAGTGGTTAAAAATTCGGGTTAGTAGAGGGTGCGGGATGGTGAATCTCTTTTAGGCATTAGTATATTTTTACACTTTCAACCCCAGTAATTGAGAATAATCGTCTTTATTACCATTATCTACAAAAGGCCAGATTTAGCTTAAAGCTACTCTTACACCTAACCTTAGGTAGATGTAGATCACTGTAAGAATTTAAAATTGGACATATTGCAGACATTATAGATTTCGCCGTGTATCTGCCGTTAAAACGTCCGAATGATAGAGAGATATTTTCAACTCACGGGTCTCTTGGTATGTCTGCGTCGCAGTCTCACCAAATAGTGATTCTCGTAGTCGATGGTGGCTGCTGTTGTGCCAAGGCTGACGCGTGGCCAGCAGCCATATCGCTATAGCAACGTTACGAGATGGTCGGTACTGTCGGTAGGACAAAGAAAAAATGGGTCTGTTTGTCTTTAGCCGTTTCATTTTAATATTACACGTATTTGTAGCTAACTTTTTTCTCATAGGAGCTAACTTTTGCCAAACAAAATCCTTTATGAACTAATGACAATGTTGTGTGGGAAGTGCAGAGTCAACCTACTTGACGCCATTTTTATGAATAGGTAATGGCTCCTCCTCTTTAGTGTCTACTTACCAATGATGGTGACTCCTATGGCAATTAGTAGGGAAAGTGGATCTAGGTGTTGATCTTCTCCATATAATGCCAGCGCCAAATTCAATGGAGGAACGCTAGCTACCACAATCCTGGTACCAACAGAGGTTCCTAGAAAAGCGCAGGTCAACATTCCCAACAACATAAAGGCAGAATGCCACAGGAAAATGTAAAGCTTCTCTACAACCATGTCAGTATCTCCCAGTGCTGTCTTTATCCATGACAATCTAGAAAAAAGTAGAAAGTCTATTCTCTCGAGTATCGCGAGATTCGAGCAATCGGAAGCCTGCATTTGTTTGACGTGGCGTATATGTCATTCGAATATCGTATAGAAAAAGATGGCATTCAGTTCAAATATTTGCAATCTAACAATAAGCTTTAAGGATACTCACTTTTCTTCAAGAGTGTCTCTAGTTCCTCCAACTAAGCTGACTAAAGTGTGTATCGTTTCATTAACTTCCCTCAAGCTGCTTAAGGTCAAGTTATATTGTTTTTTGAATTCTTCATTTTGTTTGACCAATAGCTCTGAAGATTCATCTAAAAATAATGCATGTTAATCTCAGAAACAGTAATTATCTTACTGTATAGCAAAGAGAACCTTCAATTTCTTCACCTCACTTTGAAGCATCTTACCAATTTTTTCAAATATCTCCTTAGCTTTTCTTTGAATCTCCAAAAGATCTTTCAAAAGCTCTGCATGATTAACTTTGCTCTCATCTGTTTGGTGCTCAACCTGTTGGAGTGACCATTCTAACTTTGCCTGTACATTTTCACTCATCTTTACCAGAACACCATGTGTTTCTAGTAACAATCTCTTCTCATCTACTAACCTGACAAAAAATATCCCATATGAATGGCAAAAGAAAAATTAGCAAAACCTACCTTTGGATGTTGTCCTCTATGACCAGCTGTCCATGAAACTGAGCTTTTTGTAGGTCTTGTTGCTGCTTTGAAATAGTTTCTTGGCCTTTAGTCAAAGTATCGAAGGTATATTCAGCAATGTCCTGGAGTTTTTCTTGATCAGTTACAACTTTTCTGAGAGTTCTAAGTTGATCTTGCGCAGCGTCCATGAGTCGATTTACTGTATGTTCAGCTAGTCCACGGAATTGACTAGAAAATATTTATAATGAGTTTGATGGATTTCAAAACCAAGCCAGGAATGTAGTTCTAAAAAAAGAGAAATATGTTAAGTTCATAGGGATGTTGCTAATAACTCCACTGCCAAATACATGAATATTCAAAAATTATCAACATTGTGGTGAGATATTGACCAAAACAGGTGCAGTGCAAGTAAAACTAAAATGTTTAAAAAGGACCTAGCTGATTAAACTGATTAAGAGGTTTGGGGCTTTACAATAATTCATTAAAGCACCTTTAAATTTGCTTCACAATGACAAGAACTTGGAAAGCAGACTCCTATCTGAATATATATGATTTCAATTATTTCAAATAAACTTTTGGAGAACCAACACAATTTTGCCTTTTTTAAGTTGTGTCCCTCCTTGAATGTAAATAATAAGACTCCTATAGAGTGATCCAGTAAGTTGAGGCAAACAATACTAAAAAAATCATCTTTAGTGTAGGGACACACAAGAGTCAAATTGATGTGTGGCATAACGTACATACTACTACTGTAAACATGAAAAAGCGCAAGAAAATAGTGCACAAGAAAGACCAAAATAAATTTATTACACCAAACATTTTAGGTGTGACCATCTTGCATTGATCAGTGGAACAACAAGCTTCATATTGCAATTTTTGACTGTAAAAAGAAAAAATACAAATAAAAACGAACATTCTTTTCTTTAGCTTACTATAGAATTCTTGAACTAAAACTTTTCTTCTTATTTTTTAAGAACAAATGAATTATCAAGCCAAACTAGAAGAACATACTTCAAAACTGAGAGTCCACACCTTTTCTCCTTCAAGTATGTTTTGAAGTTAAGAAGTAAAGCTGAGTATTAACATTCGCGAATATCGGCGGCAGATATTCGCATCCGCATTCGTCAATGGCTAAAAATCAACATTCATTACATCACTAGTTTCAACTTCTAATGACTTGCTTTTATGATTCTTCTACCCTGGGCAACAACTTTCTTGTGTTCAATGAGGCTTTTTACTGATTCTAAAAAACTCCAAATATTTGTTGTTCTTAATAGCTGATGATGTGGATATTTTATAATGAGGTTTTATACCCCAAAATACAGATGATTTAGTAGAGAGGCACTAAACAGCTAGACAAAGTGACTAATGGAATGTGGAATGCACAATCTTCCACATCAAGAGATTAATTCAGCATGACACATCAACATAAATCTAATGTTTATGTGTTCTAAATGACAATATTTTGGTATGTTTATATTCCTTTAGATTCATGCCAAATAATGGTGCCAAAATTGTAGGATGTAATTTAATTAGGGTTCATGAACCAGTTTTTTTATCATTATTCATTAGTTACAAACAAAAATAACCTTATCAAAATGCAAAAATATTCAGTACTTTGTCCTCCATACTGATAAGATTTTTACTTAGAATGAGTAACTGAAGAGATATTTCCAAAATAATTTCTAATTGTCCAAAGATACTGATAACCAAGATATGTATTTTATTAAAAATGAATATACAGTTAGCAGGGCACAAGTATGTGCATCAGCAACATCAACATATGTCATGTAAATTCTATTTCACAAGTATCCATCACAGTAGAATGACAGCTGGTCAGCTAGTAATATTTCATTTTGTTTTTGTATGCTACAGATTCATTTTGTACTTGCTAAAACTCTTTTATTTAGAAAAGTATATTTGCATTCAAAAACCAAATGCGACAAACAATTTTTTACTAGATTTACACCTGATTCATTATAGCCAATGTTGCAGACTAACACAAAAATGTCACTAGATGATCAGCTGTTCATTTCAGTAGACATCAGAGTGTGATGGATACTTGTGAAATAGGATGTAACCCAACCTTTTAGCAATAACTTTATATACATTTTGAGATATTCTGCATTAAATGGTGTATAAATTCAGTGTAATCCAATATACCAAGTTTTGTTTTAAGCAATATACATATTACTTTTTATATACCAATCCTGAAGAAAGAACATTTAGGCTCGAAGAAGCACATTTTTCACCTTAAATTTTAATACTGAACATTCAATCTAGCTGTAAAATATTATTTTAATGAAACATTAGTCTTGCCTTTGTCTTATCGCATAACAAACAGCTCTTGCTCTATTGCTCATAAGATGGTAGCTTGTCCAAGTATCAGAGTCCATATGTTTGGTACAGTCTCTAATACTCATCTCATCCGAACATGCGTATGTTGGTCGCCCCTCAACATATGATTGGCAGTTAAGCAAATGTACTGCCATTTTAGCTAGTTGTTCATCATTCATTTTCTCACAGTCCGACTTAAGCTTGAATACAACCTGGAAGTAATAATTCCCTATACTGATAGGTTTAAGAAATGTTTTGCTAATGACTTTAGTACATCAGTTGCTCTTGATAGAGGTATTGCTGGAATGAATCTAGAAAAGAAGAACACATTACCCTTTGCTGACATGAGTCGAGTTCAGATAATGCTACACCAGTTAGTTTTGCAGCTTCCTTGATGAATGTTTCGTCCACCATAGAGACTTCATAAGGAATTTTCTTATCGAAGGCATCTGACTTGTATAACTCGGTTTTTTCCTCATTGCCGCCAAAAAGACTGGCAAAACCAGGAACATAATCCAAAAATCCGGATTGAACTTTGAAAAGAACGCTTAAATGTACTATTAAAAACAAGGCACGTTTCATGTTTGTATTAACTGATTATTTTAGCTCACAAATGCACGTCAGAATGTGTAACCTGTTGATAAAAGTAATTTTTGGATTTGAATTTTTGGCAAATGTTTAGGTTAAAACCGTTGAGAAAAACAAACCACAAATTATACACTGAAAGAATGCTAACTCGGTGTAACCAGCAACACGAATGTCGCCATGTTGTCGTGGTGAAAGAACAAATATGACACAGAAAGAGCGCTTGCCTACTCGGAACAAGTCGACGAAATGACATATGCCGCCATGTTTCTTACAATGACATACGGCGATGCTCCCATGGTTGCCTACTTCTCACCACATCTGTCACTCATTGTCATCTTTATTTGGTTGTTTTTTCTGATAACAAAAATTAATTTTGCATTAGGAAAAACAATTCAAACACCTCACGTGTATTTGTGATTGGGTTCGTTCAAGAGTAATAAATAAAACAATATAATTAGGAAAATAACTTTATGCTGGTAGATAACGTAATGTGGTGCATTTGAAATATAGTGCAATGAACCTCCCATGGGGGTTTCTGATTACGATCATAAGGAAAATAACTTTATTCTGGTAGATAACGTAATGTGGTGCATTTGAAATATAGTGCAATGAACCTCCCATGGGGGTTTATGATTACGATCATAAGGAAACTACAAAAAACCCATGATACCACACTCGACAAAAATTCAATAAGAAAAATATTGTGAAATCTGTATGTAAAGGGTACAAGATTTCGTTAATCAAACATATCATTATACTTCTGAATAAACATTAATTTGCAAAATTTTACATTTATTTAACATGAGTAAAGCCTGTATGTACATGGTACAGGCCATATATAGTAATTTAATAACTCAACATACAATTCTAAAAAATAAAATAAAACAATTCTATCACAATATGGTAAAAATGTCCTGGTCAGGTATGTCACAGCCGGGTTTATGATGGTTCATCCATGGAGGTACGTACATGAAATGATTAAAAAACCAGCAGCAAATATTCGAAAATGATTTACCTGGTGGCATTCAACTTTTTCATTTTCCTTGAATGACCATCAGATGTTTCAAGAGGTCTTTTCAAAGAATTTTTATGTTTAATATACTAGAAGATTGTCAGTCTGATGCATTTGTTAATGATATTTTTGAGGTCATCATGAAAATTGCAAGGCTGAAAATTTTCAAGCAGTTGTGTCAGACCTGTTTTGAAGGAGGCTTGATCATTAGGCAAATGGGCAAACTTATCCAAACAACTATACAGTTTTACATGGAAAACATCTAGTAGATGACTTAGTTTGTCATTTGCGTATGTCAGCCTCTGCTTGTTGTCCTGTTCCTTGAAATGAGCATACAACTGTAAGGGGGTCAACTCATCAGAGAACAGTGCTTCCCCACATGTAGGGCATTGGGGGATGTTAACATCACTTTATGTTGCGGCGAATTTGAACATTTTAGATTCCCTTTCTGTTAATTGACTTTTACTTACTTCTAATTGTGTAAGCCATGAACTCGAAGTGTCTGACAGAAATGTATATTTATCTTGATAATAAGTCTGTACCACAAAAATCTGGCTTAGAATAGCAGTGATCGTGTTCAATTGTACTTACATCTGTCAGGTCTTTGGTACTTCTTTTGGCAGGCAATTTACATGGCTTGCTGCCGAAGCAGAGCATTCCTTCAATGAAACTGCAATGTCAGAATGACTAATGGGTTAACTTAGAATTTGACCATCAACATCTTTTGGAACTACAAGACAGTTCAAACGTGAATAGGGATCCTGAAGGGAAACATGATCAGATAGTACAAACTGGTCTTCGCAAACATAGTTATCAGATTTTGTACTGGAAGCTAATCCACAGGCATTGTATCATAATTGCCTGTGACTGGGATTTTTTGCGAATCGATGAAATTTCGTGGATGGGGGATATGAATGACTTACATTCAATATGTATTAATTTTGGCAATAAGGATATAGGCACTTTCGTGTCTATTTCTTACTTGTTTTTGCCATAGTAGTATCAAAAAGATTTAAGTGAAACATAATCAATGCCCTGAGCAACTTCACAATATTATCAGAATCAATGACATGTAGGTACTCACCTGTATTTTTTTAACCCACTTCAATCTTGAAACATGGGTGCCAGAAACTGGAACTGAAAATATTGAAAATCATTTCTTGAAACACACAATTTATAAAAAAATAATGTAGGCACAGAGGAACCGAGTGGAGTGGGAAAATTTTACTGTTTTTTTTTTCAAGGTGGACATAAACGAATGCTTAATTAAGGGTTTAATGACATACTCCAAATTCCAATAAATATCAAAAGTAAATCTGCTCTATTTCATTATCACCTCTTCTACCTATATTAATTGTTCCAAGCCACTCCAGACTCCATACGTCGGCACATTTTTAGCGGTAAAGGGTAAAGGAAAAATGTCAGCGTCAGCTTGACAGCGGTGACGTTAAAGAAAGACGTATGAAAGACAAGTGACACTATCAAGACAAGTGACACTATCAATATTGACAGTGTTGCCGGCCGTTTTTTCACCACGAAAGACGTTGCCAGATTTCCTATGTTGCGCCTTGTCAGGTCTCAGTTGACCCCACGTGAAACAAATTAGAATTTTGACATTGGCCGAAAGGGGGATGAGGACTCGTTGATCACTCAATACCTACATTGTTGCCAAATTATAAAAACTCATCTATGATGAATGACGGGGATTCAAAAGAATTATTAAAGCATAGAAATACTCTTCACTACACCTTCATCCGAACGCTGCGCTGATGAAAAGTAATATACGTACACGTAAAAAATATTCCTGTAGAATATGGTGACTCATACTCATATTGGCAGTTTTTAGGAAGTGTGTTTGTCAACCGTTAAAACCGCTCCCACACGATGTATTCGCCATATCGTGTGGGAGCCTTACAACGTTGGACACATGGCCATTCGCCACATCGTCGAACTGGGACCACTGTGGTTTTTATTATACATTAATGATATCCCCAATAGCCTGTCCGATACGCACAATGCTGCTTTGTTTTTATATGATGATGACACTACTTTGGTAAAATGTATATAATAAATATGTAAACTCCCTTGTCGAAACTAGCTCATTGTGTAAGTCGGACCTTGAGGATTGGTTTGCTGCCAATATGTTATTGCTCAGCACTGGTAAAACTCAGTCTATAATACTAAGCTTACGCAGTCATGAGTTGGAATCTGCTCAATCAGTGAAATTGCTAGGAGTACATATTGACTGTACTCTGACATGGGAGGTGCATACTCGCTGTGTGGTGGATCGTTTGTCTTGAGCTATATATACGTAGTCTAAAGGATAGAGTATCTGATAAAGTCTTGTTAACTGCTTATCATGCATATTTCTACTCTAAAATGATATATGCAATTTTGGTCTGGGGACACTCTCCACATATGCAAAAAGTGTTCGGCATGCAAAGGCTACGATACATGTCTGGTTTGAAATACAGAGTCCCCGCAAGGCTGAATTCATTAAATTGGCGATACTAACCCTTCCATGCGCGTATATTTTGAGTTGTCTCCTATATATCAAAAGTAACAATAGTACCTTACCCACTCATAGTGATAACCACAATAATTATGAAACACGAAATAGAAACAACATTTGTCATAATAACTAACGTCTAGAAAATACAAGAGTTGCAACAAACTTTTATGGCATTAAATTTTTTAATCTGCTGCTCAACAATATAAAAACATTGGATATTGATGTTTTTTATAGGAAACTCAAGTATTATTTAATAAAAGACGCATACTTTAGCACGGACAAATATTTGGCAAATGACTTTACTGATTTACCTTAAATGTTTATTTATTTATTTCTCTCTCAAACTTGTGTACAGTTGTTATTGTTTTTGTTTGTCTGTATGTGTATAGTTAATTGTATTTATAAATATATTCTAAGCGATCTTCTTTTATCTCATGACGACATTTTTGTATTGTTTTTTTTCAATTTGCTTTTAGTAATTATGTGTTACGCAGCATTTCATTGTTGTTCACTTGTTTTATTCATGTCTGATGTACTTTTTTCTAAGCGTTCTATTAGTATATATTGACTTGTGTAAACACTTTCTGTGTGTTGACATCAATAAATTATTATTATTATTATTATTATTATTATTATTATTATTATTATTATTATTATTATTATTATTTTAAACTATGTTACTCCTCTGTCGAAGGTATTAATATTTCCCTCAGGCTAACCGCCATAGTAAGGAAATAGATCTGCAGCGGTTTTTCCACCGCATCCGCTTCTCATCTCCTAAAACCCTACGTACTGTCCTACATGTTCCCAGCAGCTCAGCTTTTTGCAACTGCAAGTATATTTTCGGATGGAGCTGTAGCTTTTCCAGACTCTTGTGTAGTTTCCTTGGTATCTCTCCAGTAGCTCCTATGATAACTGGTACTACAGACCATTTCCCACACGCGTTTTATTTCGTCGGAGAGTGGTACTTATTGATCTTTTCCGCATGGGTGCTTTGGATATTAGTAGGAAGTGGCACAGCTATGTCTATTATAAACGTCGTTCTTTCTTCTTTTAGTGTGAGCACTATGTCAGGAATATTGTTGGGGATGGGCATATGATTTTACGGTTCCAGTACAGCCTAGAGGTCTCCGTTTCTATCAGAGGTGGCGGCGTGTAGTTATAGTAGGGCTGTGTACCAATTTCTCATAGATGCTTTTTAGCCAGAGCTTGATAAAGTATTTTGGCCACATCATTGTGTCTTTCAAGATATTGTTTAGGAGCTAAGGGAGAGCAGCCTGCTACAATATGATCTATGTGCTCATCTTTTTCCCCACATATGCGGCATCTGATATCTTCAACGTTCTCATGCATTATACGCTTTCGGTACAACTTTGTTGGGACTACCTGGTCCTGGATGGAGGCTATGAAGCCCTCCGTCTCCAGAAATAGATTATCTGACTGCAACCATCCTTGGGAAGCCTTCGTGTCAATGGCGTTGTCTTCTATGCGGCTCCTATACCGACCATGTAGTGGTTTGGCTTTCCATTGGCGAACCAGATCCTGCATTGGGGTTATCTTTGCCTCAGGGTTGAAAGATTTTTCTGAAAGGTTTAGTGGTGTCAACTTTTTATCCGTCTGTGTTATTGCTTGATGCATTCTGCTGGATGTGGCTTTTTGGAGAAAGTACTGGCGTAGATTGTCCACTTGGCGGTGATGTAGTGTAGGTATGCAAGGTATTCTTCTGCCACCCTCATTTCGTGGTAGATGGAACCGCTCTATGGAACTATTTGGGTGGTGTCCCCGGTGTTTACGGAATTCTTTTCTGGTTTCCACATTAAGTGCGTTGAGTTCTGTATCCGTCCAGTTCAGTATGCCAAACGTGTAGGTAAGGACCGAAGTTGCGTAGGTGCTGACAGCAAGTGCTGTATTACGAGCTGACAAACTTGTTTTCAGCACTGCCCTCAAACGTGTTCTATAATTCTCCATTGCCTTTTCTTTTGCAGCTTTCTGGTGTATGCCCGGCACCTGTAGATAGCCTAAGTATTTATACTGTTCATCTTGCTGCATTCCTTCAATTTTCCCTTGCACTTGGTGCGGCTCATATCCTGAATGCTTACTCCATTGGCCTTTTACCATGCAACTGATCCTGCACTTGTCTAAGCCAAACAGCATCTTGATGTCAGTGCTGAATTTACTTACACAGTTTGAGGTCATCCATGTACCAAAGATGTGAAATACGTGTTTCATTGCCACCTAACAGTATTCCTTTCTTTTGGCTATTTAGCATTGTTGTTAACGGTCTAAGCGCTAAGCAGAACCATAGCGGACTTTAAGAGTCTCCTTGAAATATTCCTCTCTTTATGGATACCTCTCCGGCACTAAATTGCGTATCTTGGGTGTTGAGATAGAGCCGTGTCTTCCAATTTGTCATAGCATGTGCCAGAAATTGTTTGATGTGGCACTCGATCCCATAAAGGTCAAGCACCTCTAACAGCCAAGAGTGAGGTATACTGTCAAACGCTTTCTGATAATCGATGTATGCAATGTACAGGGATATTTTTTTCTTCTTGGCATAATTAGTTATGACAGAGTCTATAACAGGTTGCTCTTTACAGCCTCGGGACCCTTTTCGACCGCCGCACTTTGGGATTAAATATGTTATTCCCGTTGTTAAGAACTCTGGCAACATATCTGGCTGCTCTAAGATTGTGGTGTAACACTTTGAGAGTCGATCGTGAGCCGAAGTGAACGTTTTTAGCCAATAATTCTGAAGCTTCTCTGATCCTGGGGCTTTCCAGTTTGGTAATCTTCGTAAAGTATTTACCACGTCATCTAAGCTAACTTTCCAGTCGAGCATGGTTCTAACAGTTGAATTATTTGCTTTCTCTTGGCGGTACCATTTAAATGTGGAATGATTGATTGGATTGCTCCAAATTCCTGACCAGAAGCTGTTGATGGCATCTGAGGTAGGAATCTGAACGTTGTTCTGTTCTGTATCCCTGCGCCGCGCCTGCAAGTTCCTGTAGAAGCCTCGCTGATTGGTCTCGAATGCTCGATTTTGTTTCCGGCGTTCGTTGCTTTTCTTGTACCTTCGAAGTCGCAGTGCTGTAGCTGCTAGTTTTTGCTTCAGGTAGTCCAAGACTTCTACAACTGTTGGGTTCTAATCCGAGCAGTGACGGTTTATCACGGTCTCTGCGGATCTCTTTACTCTAAGACTACATTCAGACCTGCGGTACTGGGTGAGTATTGCTATGTCCTTTCTAATCTCCTCTATATTACGCGATATCCTCATCTCCCAGGCTGGCAGTTTTCTGTTTTCTGTTCGCCAACTCTCTGTTCATTCAATTTTAGGACTGTAAGTGCTCCAGTGTACAACATGCTATGGAGCTCAGCCAAGGTTGTATCTTCTGTAATCTCGTTATCGATTACTTTGTTAACCTCAGCAATATACTCAGATGTATGGGGTTTTATTATTGGCTTTGGTAGGCTTGGTTTAAGAGTTGGCTCCACACCATAATACCTCATGAACAAGCCCCTGAACTCATCTGCGTATTTAGAGGGTTGGCAATCGTTTGCCTCAATTTGTTCTTGGTTTTCTGTGTGCTCTTGCGGAGCTTGTTCCTGCATTCCTAATTCTATGGATATCTCTTCTCTTATTTTGTTTATCTCCTCTGCTGGCAATCTGTTGTTTATGAATACGGATCGGCGCTGGTCTAGTACGTTTTGCACAGTTTTGCCTTGCACGTGAGGGAAGTTCATGATAACTTGTTTGTGTAGTTCAGTACCATAGGGCTCTGTGGATGTTTCCAGTTTAGTGAATCTGTAGTAGGAGCGAACCACGAATCTGTTCATTTCGGTAGTCCACGTGGTCCTTTTTCTCCTCCTATTGTCTGGCATTATGGGCTGGGCCTCTTGGCTTCCAGCAACATGATTGCCATCTTCGAGCCCAGGAGGCTGTTGGATGGGGTCATTTGAGTTACTTCTCACACTATCTGTGGGGGGCTTTGGCTGGATGACGACCGGGTGCGACCTTCCCCTACGCTCCCTGCCGGACGCGGACCTCGTCGCATAGCGTCGAGTCCCGATTACGTCGTTACATTCCGAGGCTTCATTTTGTTTTTTCTCCATTTCTGGGTAATTGTGTTCTCTTTTGTAGGTGTAATCGTTTACCTAAAAATGTTAAAACTCAGGCGTGGAAGAGAGACAAAAAACCACGCCTGGATGAACGGGAGGTGTGCTGGCCGTACTGACTTTCCTTTGGTGTTAATATCAGTAGCTCAACCGCTTGGTCGAGGCCAGACGTTGCGTTGCTGGCTGTACCGTCTACGTCGTTACGGTAGCGGTTTATTATTATTATCATTATCGTTATCGTTATCGTTATCGTTATCGTTAAAGTTATCGTTATCGCTATCGTTATCGTTATCGCTAACGTTATCGTTATCGTTATCGTTGTCGTTGTCGTTATCGTTATCGTTATCATTATCATTATCATTATCATTATCATTGTCATTATCATTATCATTATCATTATCATTATCATTATCATTATCATTATCATTATCATTATCATTATCATTAATCATTATCATTATCATTATCATTATCATTATCATTATCATTATCATTATCATTATCATTATCATTATCATTATCATTATCATTATCATTATCATTATCATTATTATTATCATTATCAGTATCATTATTAATTATTATTATTACTATTATTATTATTATTGTGTGGGAGAGCGCTGACGAATTGCATGTGTCCAACGTTTGCCACATGGCACGTTCGGGCTCTTGTCGGTAAATTTGACCCGCGTCAAAGGACGTTACAACGTTGGAAGCACTGTTCGTTACGCTCCCACACGAGATGTCGTGTGTGATGGTTTTAGGTTACAACCAGTAGCGGCGACAAACATTATTTATTTGTTTGCTGTGATTGTGGTGAAGTAGTGGTATGTGGGAAATATTTTGATTTGAATACCCAGCTATTCATAATAGTGTATGTTCCGTAACTAACTTTTGAGGAGAATGGCTTACATAGTATACATACAAAGCATGAGCTGCCATAACAACACTTTTTCATATATATAATATTTTGTACGTTTCGCAGGTGAGTGATGGCTGTTCTAAGGATATGATGTATTTTAGTAAATTATAAATTATGAAGTGCTTAAAGTTGTTTCATTATAATGTCCTGTTGCAATGCAAGACTAGTTGACAAATATATTGACTTCCATTTCATAACTAACGTAAAAGATTAAATAAATGAAAACTCTGAAAGTACTATCACCATTTTGATGAAATTTTGATCCTAGTGCTACTACTCTGAAAATGACGAAAAAGCTCTGCAGCTTTTGAAAATCGGTACAGTGATGGTGGAGCTATCGTCGAAAAACAAACAAAAAACGGTCAAACTTCGTTTTTCGACATTTTTGAGGCTTCTGACAGACTTAAGTGTCATCGTTTATTTTGTATAATTTTTCCCTCACTTTTAAAGGTTCAAGCGCGACACTAATCAAATTCAAGCGGATAACTAAATGGAAATGGTATTTACCATTTTGGGTTGGTATTTACCAATCCATTCAAGCGAGTGTAGTTATCAGTTTGGTTATAAGATCCGTGACGTCACGAATCAGCTGTTATAATATGTCATAGTTATCACCGCAAAATTGTGGTATTTACCCAACTCAAGTGTAGTTTTATATTTCTGGTTATTATTTGAAATGTGACAAGTTAGAATTTTGCCGGGTATTGGATATTGTTATTGTACTTCAGCTTCATTTTTGAGAAAATTGATACAGGCTGACTTCAGTTTTACCATAAAGTGGAGCACCTTATTAGTAATACTCATTACGGTTGTTGGGGACACTTTAAATGTAGTTCCTATGCTTAACAAAGTATCCTGTGTAGCCATATACAAGAATATTAAAATATGGCCATATAAACTCACTAGATGATATCCACCTGTATACGGTTTTGCTAATTTCTTTTTTCAAAATGTCTGCTGAATCAATAAATGTTTTCTTTGACATGCGGAAAAATTTAGAGAATTGAAAGTTATCATAGCTACAAAGCCATGGTTCCATCATTAAAAAAAAATCTGAAAAAAACATTTCTCCCATGAATATTATGAAAGGTTTCTTATTTAAACTTTCCATATATGCAGTTGTAGACGAAAAAGCACCGACTATTAAGTGATAATAAAAATAATCAGAGATTATATACGCGCTTTTCTAAAATAAACAACCTGCAACAAAACCGCGGTTAAAACCAACGCGTTCAAGCGATTCGTGTAACTGACGTCATCAACCCGTGTGTCATCTTGAACCATATTATAACCGCGGCACATAACACACAAATTTTGGTTATTCGCTTGGATTTGATTACTGACACCGATAATAGACGTTGGCACCACCATGCGTCAAACGTCCGAAACTAAAAAGTTCATCCCATCGTGTAGGAGACACACTCGCCAATTGTGGGGTGTCGAGCGTTGTAAACAACGTTGTATACAACGCTGGAAACGTCGTGTGGGACCCGCATAACTTGTTAACCTCTGGGGGGTTAGACATTTGTCAGAACTGTCAGGCATCTTCCTTACTTAATACCTTAATAATCCAGAAACGCCGAAAATAAACTTTCCTTGTAATTTCTGATGTATGAAAAGTATCTTTCTCATACAAGCTGTTCTCATTTTCGATTTCCGACAATATCTTATCGCCTAGTACCTAACAGACATGGATACAATAGGGGCAGAAGTTGGGCAAAAAATGAGGGTGAGCTAAATTTTTTGTCTTGCACCTCCTACAATTTAAAAATTCCATTCATTTTCAGTCAGCAATCAAGGCAAAACTACTGGAACTTAGTTGTTACGTAGGTAAGTACAGTAGCATGTATTAAACTCACTAATATTTGTACACTATCTTATTTATTACAGATGATGAGCTACCAGACTATATCATGGTGATGGTAGCAAACAAGAGGACAAAATCTCAGATGAATGAAGACTTGCACTTGTTTTTGAATGATAAAACCGAGACCTTTGTAGAATGGCTACACATAGTCCTGAAAAAACTGAAGGAGGTGACAGTAACTAACCCTGGTAATACCTTGGAAATGCTTGGATTATTTTGCTGGTTATAACATTGATCATTTTCTTACAGAGGTATACAAGAGGGTAGCTAAAAGGAAGTCTGATAATTCAGATGCAAAAGTTAAGAAAGAAAAGAAAACTAAAAAATCTTCATATATTGCTCTTAAACCTGAAGACAAACCAGTAAAGGATAAAGAGGATCTGAACAAAATAGCAGAGAATAGAAAAATAACTGTTTTAGATGGAAGTGAAGATATGCAAGATAAGTTTGATATCCCATTACTATCGGAAGTCAATGCCTCTAATAAAGAATCACTGGAAGAGATTGAACAGAGGATAAGGAATGTTAAGAGTAGATTGGGACTACTTGTAGATAGTGATATTGAGATAGAGCTTGATGACAAAGAGCCTGGAGAGGGTAATTTCAATTTGTATATGTTGTCATAAATTTGTTGCTTCTATTCGCCATTAATAAAAATTATCCCAAGTCACCAATGCTCTGCCAGGATCCTATGCATATCGAAGCCATTATTAACCGTTCAGTTACAGAATATTTTTTATATGAATCAATTCTTTTTATTATTTTATGAATAGAGACTGACAGTACACTTAACAGATTTAGATAATACTTCAAAACTAACTTGTAAGAGATTATTTTAGGAAATAACAAGCCATATCACAAGGTGGCAAAAAAATCAACTAGTACAAGCTGCAGTGTAGTCTACCTTATTACTACTGCTTAGCTACCACTCAACAGTCATCTGCTGCTAGCTCTGAATGCTTTTGTTAATTATAGATATATTTGGAAGCCGAAATTTTTTTGTAGCTAAAACAACTTGATATATAATTGCTAAATAGATCTTCAAAAGCTTATGATATAAACATCATGAAGCTTAAATTACAAGGATGATGAAGTAATTAACTTTTTACATATTTTTTTGTCAAATAAATTATTGTCATTCAGATTGTCACACCCTTGAAAATGCTTAAACATTATGTGGACTGAAGGGGAAACCAACAACACCTGTATCTTTCTTTGAAGCATGGAATATAAAAATTGACGTTTTTGTTGACATTTTGAATGCAATAAGAAGTTTGAGTGACAAAAGCGCAAAGGAAAACAAATTCAATCATTTTTGTAAATACCTCTATTTGAAGGATGTGGATGAGTAAGGTGCCAATAAATTAATGGAGGGGTTTCAGTTATCAATTATTAGTTGTAAAAGAGCTTTGAGATATAAAGTTAAAAAAAATAAAAAGGAAAGGAAACGTTTTTCTATGTAAATAGATACAAATGTAAACTACAAAATGAATATTTTCATTGTCATAACCTATACACTGACTGAAAAAAGAACAGAGTCTACAGTCTTAGGGTTCAGCATTATTTTCAAAAATGTTGCTAAAACGAATAATAAAGTGGCTATCACAATTATTAGCAATGGAGATTGCTCTAATACATATTTTCAACAAGCAAATGTCATACAAAATAAACTACATGGTACATGCTAGGCAGTAAAATTGAATGTATATTCAAGAAAAAAAAAATACAGTTATACATATACATTCAGTTTTACAGTATACTATTTTATAGAAAATAGTTTTGAAAATTTGACATTGCCACCCTGCTATTTGCTGAACATCAAAACTTCATCAGATTACCTATCCATTTGAACTAGCTCAATTTTTTATATATTGTGTCATTTGGCCACCATGCTAAATGAAGATGTACATCAGGAAATGGTTTTCATCTGTAATATCTCATCTCCATAATCCTAATTTCAATCTGCCATTCAGTTTTCGGTCTGCACCATTTTGTTGCATGCAAAAGAGGCTACTGTACTAACTGTACCAGATTATTGCATCCCCAAGTAGTGATAGCCTCGAGATCTCTCAGAGTCCTCTCTCTATAGCTCACCAGCAGAGATTGGTCTGGCACTAATAAATTCCTGCTTGTAGAGTGCTGTCATTAGTAAAGCTGTGAATCAGAGTAATCATACATAGGATGAAGTTGTTGATATGTACAATGTTTGATTCAAGACCAATCCATGGGGAACACCACCATTAACATTATGTCATGTAAACATATTTGGTTTCATTTATTCTATATATACAAGAGGGTACCAAAAAAAAACCGGAATTATTTTTTAAAAGCTATTTATTTTCAACTTTTTCACAAAGTAACCTTATCTCGTTCAAAATACTGTCCACTACAACTAATACACTTGTCCCACCAGTGCTTCTACTGCTCAAAACATTTTTTGAAGTCTTCCTTACTGACAGCTCTTCCCTCGTTTTTTTCTTGACCTCATCGATGTCGTCAAAGCAGCGTCGTTTCATGCCCCTTTTCATCCGTGGAAATAAGAAAAAGTCGCACGGAGCCAGGTCAGGCGAATAAGGTGCGTGAAGCAGCGGAACCATGCCATTTTTAGCCAGAAACTGTCAAACAGATATGGCTGTGTGCATTATCGTGATGGAAAGGACCAGTCTGCTGACTGCCACAAATTTTCAACATTGAAACAGTTTCAGCAACATTTTTACCAATTAGAAAGCAACATTTCACAGCTGCAGGTTGCTCACTGAAGCTTGCCATCGTAAAAAAGGAAACAAGCACGAAACAAAATAACTACAGAGGAACGAAACAAGCCAGATAGACAACACAGGTGGCACTGAACTGGTAATGAGTTGCGCTGTACGTCTCTAGGGCAGAAATGTGTACTACACAAGCTCCGCCCACTGCAATGCTATTCCGGTTATTTTTGGGTACCTCCTCGTATATATATATATATATATAATATTCCCCTACTCCTACTAGTTCAGAACAGCGGCGGCTCGTGGTCTATGATACAGGGGGTTCACAAGTGGTATAAAATAATTTTTTTTACCACCACCAAAATTTTTATGTAATGCGTGACGTAGAAGGCAATAAGAGTACTAAAACAATCATCAAGGACACATTTTTTGTTATTTTTTTTATTATACACAAGAAAATACATTTATAAAAAATACAATTTTTTTAATGAGTACAGTGTTTAAACGTAAAGTCCATTCTCCTGATTTTATTTGCAGAAAATTTATCAATAACTAACTCGTTAAAGTTTGGAATACCCGCTATACATTTTTTCTCGATAGATAGCATTGCTAGCGCTGACAGTCTTTCTTCATTCATAGAACTTCGCAAAAATGTTTTTATTCTCTTCAATGTCGAAAAGCATCTTTCACTTTCGGCCGTAGTCATTGGTATGGTAACAATTATTTGTAAAAGTGTAAAGGTGGCAGAAAATATGCTCTGAAGATTATTTTCTATAAAAAACTGTAACAAACTAATGGCACCAGTCATATTCCTGAAGTCAGGTCGCCGGTAAATTAATTCCAATTCAGTCTGGAGACGAACTTTATCTAAAAACGAATATGCTTCTACTACAGTTTCCAAATATTGCAATGGAAAATGCTTTTCAAATTGTGGAAATTTGTAAGAAGAAAGAAGAATAGCTGCATTTAAATGTTTTGTAAAAGAAAATCTATCTGTTACATGTGTAATTATGGTATCACAAACTTCCTTGGCTGCAACAGCTCTGCAAATATGCTGGTCTTCATTTGCACGACGCTTTTTAGTTTGAGTAGTAGTGGTATCTTCAGAAATTTCAGTTTCAATTGTTTCCAAGCAGTCTCTCTCTTTTTGGATGCAGTTTTCAAAACACTTTATGGCAGTCTGAATTTGCACTGGGTCAGTCACTGTTTTTTGTAACTGATTATATAAAATATCAGCATGTGGCAATATTCGATGAAATACAGTTAGCCAGAACACAAACTTAGAATCTTGTAGCATACGGCCAATACCAGTGGCTTGATTGATGGTAACAGTTTGTTTTGAAGTAGCTTCTATTTTTTCCATGCATTCTATTAACAATTCGCGATATTCATATACTGTATTTATAGATCTGCTTTTAAAATTCCATCTTGTAACAGAAGACCTAGGAACTCTTGCACCAACAATGTCATCCAAAACTGCAACTCGTTGTGGAGAATGAGAAAAAAAAGTTGAAATATCGCTTAAATTTGAAAAAAATACCCGTACTTCTTGATTTTGGCTTGTAGCTTGCAATAAAATCAAATTTAGCTGGTGGGCATAACAATGAATGAAATAAGCATAAATATAATCGCGTTGGATAAGAGCTTGAACACCTCCACGACGTCCACTCATTACACTAGCGCCGTCATAACTTTGAGCTATCAGTTTCTCTGGTTTATCTAGCACTTGTATTAAATTAGTTCTCACACATTCTGAGAGACTAACTGCATCGTGGTCAGGGGGGGTAACAAAATTCCAAAAACGTTCAACTGGCCTTCCATCTGGTAGAATGTACCTAAATACTGTAGTCATTTGATAACAATTAGCTACATCCGTTGTTTCGTCAGCCATAACAGCAACAAATTCAGCTTCCAAAATTTCTTTCCTTATATTTTCCTGAGCCACTTGTAACATGCAATCTAACAATTCGTTTTGAATGATTTTTGATACCCCTTTGAATACTGTCGATTTTTCAAAATGATCTTTAAGTGCTATATCTAATTCGGCAGTGAAATTTATTAAACCCCTAAAAATACCAGGATTTGATGAACCATCTTTTTCGTCGTGACCGCGGAGGGCTAATTCAAAAGCTCCGCAAAATTTTATGCAATCAATAATTTTTGAAAGCACATACCTATTCTTTCTAACTTGTTCATTTTGCTGTTGAATACTGCGCCTATATGCACTGTCCAACTGCTGCCGTATATCTACTTTTCCCAAAAGCTGCATTTCCAGTTGCGCATTGATATGGACTTGAGTGTTTTCATGTTTCTTAATTTTTTGTGCTAAATGTCCTAAGTCGGCTATTCCATTTTTTGTCCAGGCAGGCTCTGCAACCCCGTGACCAAACAACAAACAGGAAAAACAAAACAAACGGTTTGTTGTGCTGCATCCACAAATCCAGTTATTCTTTTCATATATTTCCATTTTAAACTTTCTAATAAAGTCTCTAGATTTACCCTTTGTGGTCTGAGTTAAGTTAATTTCTGGTGTAGGTCTTCCCGCATTTTTTATTTCAATTTTTTGCTCCAAACTCAATGAACTGAAGTTATGTTTCAAATATTCCACAGTGAAACCATTCATTTTAACTCAATATTTTAGTAAAACACTGCTACGAATATAAAAATTCGAACACACCTCCGATTACTGCATAAAATGCACGCGCAACGGACAATGGCGCACTCCAGAAGTGTGCGCCTTCTCCAACTAAAATTGCCATAACCCCGCTATACCCCGCAACCAGATCAGCTTGGTGAGAAACACACTAATCCCGCGTACATGATCGCATATGCGACTATTCGTCGTCATCCGCCGTCACCCGTCGGCGGCAGTCGGATCGGGCCAGACCAAATCACAAGTCGGAATCGCCCGAATCAGGCAGCGCAGCGGGAAGAGTGGTGACTCACCAGTGGAGAGCTACTAGATCTTTGATTTTATAGGATTAAATATCAGGGAGGCTCAGACTTTATTTGAGAAATTATTAAATGGATGTTATACATATTTATTATTATTTATTTTGGGGGTGCACGTGCTCATGTGCTCCTACAGTGGAACCGCCGCTGGTTCAGAAGCATCAATGCTCAAAATGATATGTTTTTGAATTTTGATTAATGTAGATATGCCATTGAGGAGTTTTCAACCAATAGCTGAAATGAAACAAGAATTGAAAAAAGAAAAATTGAAAGAATCAAATGTAGAAGAAGCTCTAAGTTCAAGCATTGAGTATAATCTGGATACAACAAATAATGTGGAGGAGTCAGAACCTATTCAAAGTTCTGTTGAGAACAAGAGGAGTAAACATAAACCCATCAGTTTTGAAGATGATAGTCCACCACCTAAAAAGCTATCTGTGAGAGAAAGATTAGGTATAATAGTGCTTTAGTTTTATGCATATGAACTTTAAATCTTTAGTCCTTTATTCATTGATTGCATATCTTGCAAGTTTTTTCTAAAATGAAAATAATGAACTAAAATTCTGGCAAATTTTAAACCTTTTTGGACATCTTTTAAAGATTCCTTTTCTTATGAATTATTTAACTCATTTTACATACTCGTTAAAATATCTAGTTGTCTGGTGTCAAAATGACAAACTCAAAAGCTGCTTTCCAACATTATGTCGATTATTGGGGTATTCACGAAAAACAATTCTATGAGGAGGTATATTGCTTATTTCTCAATAGTTTTAAAATATTTTGAAATGTGAAGTGACTTGTCAAACTGACAATGAAATAGACAGCATATATTTCTAAATACTATTATTTTAACTGTGTTTGCTTTGAATTTACCTAGAAAGAGAAATGCTACTTCTTAATGAGAAGTTATAGTCAATAATGATTTCTCAGAATAGTAGAAGCAGTTAGTAGTAAAAAAATTGAACTAGTAACTAATAATTATAGGAAGAGAAGAAAATGTTGCATAATTTCACAGATTTTAATATATTGATTTTATGATGAAATTTATATTTTCCGTAGGCAAAAAAAACATAGAAATACGTACGTCTGACTTCAGGAAAACAAGGTTAAATTTGGAATCTAGGCATAATCAAGAAAGGGATAAGAGTGACGAGAGAAGGGATAGGAGTAGAGAAAGAAGAGACAGAAGTCGAGAAACGAGGGATCGAAGCCGAGATAAAAGAGACAGAAGTTGGGATGCGGGAAACAGGAGGTCTGAGCATCAGAGAGATGACAGGAGAAGGAGAGATAGAATAGGAGACTCTAGAGAAATAAAGAGTAGGGACACTACAAGAAAAGATCCTAGAACAGAAACTGAGAAGGATGGCTCTAGGGTAAGTATTCAGTTTAATAAAACAGTATTAAAAACAAAGAGGACTATACTATTGAGTTTCACCAAGAAAGGATGGGTTTCGATCAGAGTGTAAAAATTGTGTATATTGAGTTAAGTTGAAAAACGCTTTTTAGCGACACTTCTCCTTTTTATAAATAAAGCCGGATTATTATTATCATTATAATCATTATTATTCTCCACTATATACAAAGCCATACTTTGTCGTGGACATGCATGTTTCAACCATAGAATAGGTTCCATCAGCACAACTGAGCATGCCTTGATGAACGTGAGCTTGTTGTATGCTATACGTTTGAGGGACGTCGCCGAATTTGGTTATATCCAAAGGTTAGAGCTATTGTATCTCAATGGGCAGAGTTACTTTTTTTCCGGGAGCATTCACGCCCTGGTGTCTTGTTTTTTTATAGCCAGTCTCTGGCAGAAATTCTCAACAGTATTGTCCTGTCAGCCTTTTTCTGACCCAAGTGTCGGATTCTCCAGAAACGGCATACTCACCAAAACCCTTCAGTCGTTCACTACAAATCCCACTGCGGTACATATTATTATCATCCTACATATACATAAGCACATATGTACATGTACAACCCAGCAAGTCGAATCCTATTATTAATCATCCAGTACCTTCATCGGGATCATTCGCGTAACTATTGGTTGAATGTCAACCCATTTGCCCTTACATGCTTCTGGGAGTCAACCCATCTACCACATTTGAGTAGATGATTAGGAGTATGGTCCTCTTCGTTGCAATATCGCAGTTTGCATATTCTCTCTTGCCTGCTCTTTTCAGGTAGCTATCAAAACAACCTTGCCCTGTGAGGAACTGTGCGGTATCCGCACCGCGCCCTTGTCAATCCAAGTTTTAATATCTGCTACCAGCCTTCTAGTCCATGCATCATGACCATTTTGCATGGTGCGACAACTTTATTTACATTGTCATCGGTGCGCCTTACATATACATATGTTCAATCATTTTCAGATCTTTGTCGAGTCATACAGCCAGATACTTTGACTATACATGGCACTTCGGTTTCGACTCGACATTATCAACCTTAACAGCTAATGAAGTTAGCTTCTGTCTGCCAGAAAGTATAACTACAGTATATTCAGATAAGAGATAGACCGGACATAAACAAGACCACGTGATCATCGAACGCTGTAACATTCGGCAGGGACGTATTAAGAGTCACGCAGTACATATTTTAGATAGTAGATGCTGCTTTGCGTAACTTTGTAGTAAATTAGCACAATTCGATGTGTATACGATTGGTGATGGATATAGGATCATGTGGGGGTGGGGTAAGAAATATATAATGATGTAAATATACATAAGGGTTTCAAAATTTTCTCTTCGATTTCCAGCTTCGGATGCCGCCTGATGTTTGGTGAAATACAGTCGAATATAATCTCAAAATGGCGTTTAAATTAGCCTAAATTAAAAATAATCGTATATCTCTTAAAATTGCTTTTAGAATATTGATTAGTATATTTTTTGATTTCTAGGTAAATATGTAACCAAATTAAAACGTTCAAAACGTAAAAAAATGTGCATGGTTGAACATTGTCAGAAAGTAGATTCTTGAATAGGTTTTGCCAAAATGGGTTCAAAAATGTCAATAATTAATTAAAAAATACAGTAGCTTTATAATTACTTATAACTTACCGAATTTGATGAACGACATCTTTTATTGGAAAGATGAGCTTGATGAGCTTTCATCATCGCTACTGCCTGAAGCACCAACGTCAATAATGAATGGCTCGACTTGTTCCTCTAAAATATTGTCCAGTTCCCACATTCTCTTTTCAACTTTGTCTTTCACGTGCTTAATACAGTTTTCCCATTTTTGCGCTGTTATTAATTCTAGTGCTTCTTTGAAAAGTCCTTTGAGGTCACAAAATTTAAAAGTTGTATTGTGCTTAGCTATATAATTTTTAACCTCTGCCCATATGAGCTCAATGGGATTGAGCTCGCAATGGTATGGAGGTAAACGGAGCACAGTTTTATTTTGACTTGCTGCCTTGTCGTCTATGGCGTATTTTTGATATTCCGCCTTGTGATCCTTGACAATTCTTAATAATTGTACTTTCAGCATTGCTTCTTCAAAGTTGATATTTTTCGAGCGGAGCCAATTTTGAACATCAACTTTCCTTGAAGCCGTTGTTGGGACCTTCTCCATTCTTCGAGAATGATAAGGCGCATTATCCAACACAATTACTGCGTTTTCCTCTAAGTTCGGTAAAATTTTTGAAAACCACTGTTCAAACGATTCGCCATTCATTTCCTCGTGGTAATCTCCAGTTTTCTTAGACTCAAAGCACCTCAGACCGTCAACAACAAATCCATCCTCACTGCCAATATGGCAGATAATGAGCCTTTTCCCTTTACCTGGAAATCGAAGTACTAACTGGTGTAGATTTATTTCAATAAGCGAACCTTTTTCAAATGTTTTCATCACATTCAGCGAAAAAACATTGAGACATGAGTGTCAGATTGCTATAATTGGGATTATTTAGTCATATTGAAAGAAAGAGTATTGAACGTCGTATGATTACTCAGCGCTTCACAATTTAATTTAAAGTTATACACCTTCAAAAAATGAATGATCAGGAACCTGAAATACGCGCAAATATTAATATTAACAAATTATAACTTTATAAAGCTTAAAGTATGAATTAAAATGAATAGAAATATTAGGAACGGTACACAATATAAAACTTAGTAACTTTTTTTAAGTTTATAATATTCGACATATTTTAAGATTATATTAAAAAATTATTGAAATATCGAAAACACATAAAAACATGGCTTAAAAAAGTTCTAACAAATGAAAATGACAATAAAACATCCACGCATTTTATCGAAAGTTATAAAAGTTTTGTTACTTGTAATATGTTTTATCTGCCCCCTGGAATTAATGTTTAGAACCTTGTTCCCAAGGTTTGAAAAACATCCGATTGTTGTCTATTACTCGTATTTACCTGCTGGATTTTTTAATCCGGTGGACAGTCCATCGAGAAAGGCCCTCCTGGATGAAGTTACAGAATCATCAACCCATACTTTACTTGTAGTGTGTCCTGCGTTTACCCACGTTTCATCAAGGTAATAAATCTTCCTGTTTTGATTTCTATATTTCCCAATTTTTGTTAAATAATCCCTCCTCCATAGCACAATTTCTTCTCTATCCAGTAGTAAACTATTACGACCCCGTTTTTTCCATTTGAAATTTAAATGCTTCAGTAACGCATGGAAAGTTGATCGTTTGAAATTTGGCAACGTTGTATCTCCATTTACCTCCTGCAGTACTTTATCTATAGTAGGTATTTCATTCCTAAAGAAGAATTCATACACTTTCCTCCTAATCGCATGCTTATCAGCTTCATCCAATGATTTAACAATACTTTTGCGATGTTTACTGGTCATTGGCTCAGAAAAGGTGTGATTTTTTTTGTATTGTCTTAACACATTAAACACTGATGCGCGACACACCCCAACTTTGTGAGAAACCTTCACAACAATTTCTTTGATGGTTGATGCCTCGTTCTCCTCGCGCTCGATCTTATATATATTCAAAATGACCTCTTTAATTTCTGCACTCAGGTGTCTTTTTTTAGAGCGTTTCCTAGGTGGACTACAGGAGTTTACAACTTCATCCGCAGTATCTGTACTACTGGGCATTTTGCGCAAGCAGTTGATAACAATAACAATCAATAACAAGGTATAACAATAACAACGACAAACTCAACAACTTAATAAGATAACAAACGAAAACGTCCAAAGAAATATCAAATTGCAATGATGCACACGACATACGTAACACGTCTGAACCTGAATGTGACTCTGCCTTGATACGACTGCTCTGCCGCTCGGCATAGGCATTTAATTGCGAATTGACCAATGAGGGCTCCTGTTTTACGTCGAGACGGCGGCGTTAGCGTGAAAATCACTCGAACCTTTTGTTTACATCCGGTCTATCTCTTATCTGAATATACTGTACTTCCGTCTTGTGGGGGGCTAGTTTCAAGCCATTTTCTTCCATGCCTATGGTAAATTTAATAAAGAACTCCATCGAAGAACACGTACCACAGCACGGCCCTAGAACGGAACCCTGCACTCCCATGGTTACCTTCACTACAACTAAGTACCAGTGACCTTGTGCTGGTTTCTTACCTGCTTTTTGACATGGTTCCATATTGTGCTTTTCGGTACCCCCAAAGTGGGTTCTGGCCTATAAAGGGTGTGGATGATCCTTTCCTTGGGCTCATCTGCCCTTCCAATGCCTACGTTACCTGAATGTCCTGGGACCCACACTAAAGTTGAATTGTTTTGTTCCGCCAGTGTGTTTAATTCTCGTTGGCATTTTCAAATCAGTGCAGATGTCACCCTAGGGCTTCTTACGCGTTCAGGCAGCGCCACTTGCGTGACCTTTGGATGTTGCTATCAAAAGGTGAAAATTGTGCTACATGTAAAAGGTATGTTATTAAGTTCACCTAAATAATTGTTGACCCTCATGGATTACCAAGAAAATAGTTTTCCCTCTGGCAGAGACTCTTTCAAAGTGGCATACCGCTAATTTTGGGCAGGTCAAATTTCGTATAAACAAACTCGCATGTTTAGCACTTATTCCACGTGTATATTTAAGTCTTGCCAAATTAATTATGCCTTGTTGCATTTGTTGAAAAGAATGTGAGATCGTTTATAAAGATTTATCTTTGCCAGCAATAATATCGAGACATTTGATTATGAATTTGAATAGGCATCTGATGATAAAATTGTCTGAATTGGTTCTGCAGAGTATCCTCAGTAGATTGGGTGTACAGTCCAAGGTATCTATTCCTCAAAAGGATCCTGAACCTGAACTTGTCGATGAATTGAAGACTAGAGAGGTGCGAAGTGTTGTTCAGGTTAAGCCAAGAGTGATACCAAGTGATGTTACACAACCCAATAAAAACCTTTTGTTAAAAGCTGTAGCAGAAGCACATAGAAGTGTAGCTCTAAGCATGACGTCTGGAAGCAGTAAGGTTAGCTAATCATGATTTTTTGTATATCAAATGTTATTATAACTAAACTAAAGATGCCACATTCATTTTTAACTATATTGCATTGAAAATGTTTTCTGGCTGAATATTTAAAGTTCTCAAGCATCTTGAGGTGGGGTGTCCTAAACTGCTGAATTCAGTTGCGATTTCTGGCACTGCCCCATCCTATTCTTTGTATTTTAAGTGTTTCTTAAACACTGTAACAAATTTACTCAATAAACTAATGTATTACTGACTGAAGTGAATGTATTTGCTTTGCTTGAAAGATATTTGAGATGCTCCACATGTGCCTTCCATGTCATATGACTATCAATATAAACGCCTAGGAATCCTGTGCTTGCAGTATATCCATGTCATGTTTACGTAAGCTGATAGCAAGTGTCTGCATTTTTGAATCATTCAACTTTTTAGCAGTAAACCAATTTCCTAGGGTTTGCTGGTAAGATAGATTTTCTGTTAAAAGTGAACTGATATATATATTGTAGATGATTGGTGGTTTCTAAAGCAGGTCTTACGTATAGTCTTGGAGACAGACGAAACAGGAAGCAAACAAGTGAATATGGCCTTTTGAAAAACTCAAAACATTGTGCGCAAGTAAGCCAAAATCTGACGATCGCTACCTACCAATCGTTTGCCAAGCTCAATTTTATACTTATCCCATATGATGAAGACGACAAAGGGACCTATTAATTTATAACAAATTTTTAATTGGTTCACTCCCGACTCATGATACTGTAATTCGAGAAAATATGCTCACTCGCGGTCGAATTTGTGCCCCGTTGCGCATGACGTCACACGGTGACAAATGTTCCGCTAGTCGGTATGAAATGCACTATATTAAAACGTTTTCTTTTGAATATTTGGAATATTTGTCTAAATTTTTTTGTGATATCGATTTTACATGATAATTTAAGTATTATATAGAATGTCTTATTTATATTTTGATGTTTTGCCAGCACAATTTAAAGAGGTATATCCTTAAAGATAGAATACATTGCCGTTATAAAGTTATCACTTGAAAAACTAACAATAGACAAGTTGAAAGGTTCTCAATAACTTGAGACTTCATTAAGCTTATAGTTTTTCAAACTAAAATTCCTTTAGAGCTCTAAATAAAGGGACTTTGAAGCAAATTGGTTTCAAATCATATCTTTGTTTATCAGTGGCATATATTAATTTGTTATACAGAAAAACAATGGAGGCCAACATATAACATCTTAATAATTTTGAATAAATGTTGTGTAAATGATTTTTTAATCTTCTTATGGGTAGGTGTTAATACAAGTATTTTATATTGTAGACAGTTTTATTGAGTTTATTTTACCATTTTCTTCTTCCCAATTCTGGATTTTTCTTTTATATCTCCTATTTAACAACCGGCACGGGTATTACGTATCTTGAAAAGTGAAATTATGTCGATTTTTTTATTGTATTGGTTTTTGTGACATTATGAAGATGTTAACTTAGCACTAGCTGATGGACACGTGAACTCGTTTTGTAGTTGTCAATGTTTGGTTCTGATGTAATGTAAAATCTGCTTCAGAGATGGCATTACTGGAGGTCTAAGCTGTAAGTTGTATACTATAGCTAGAAGGAAACGGCAACGCATATGTGCATAGTGAGGATTTGTATGCTAATAATATGTTGATGATAGTTCCATTAAATTCTTGTCTCAAATACACTTACTTGAGATTCAAAGCTAGAAATTATTTGCGCATCCACTTTTTCTTATCCATTCTGGAAATTACATATACAAATTTGCTGAATTTCAAAAATGAGAGAGATAAAGAAATAATTATATTCACTGTACACTGTCGAATTACAAGTCATATACATGTTAACAGTAATTACACACAACGTGGGCACAGCTAATAGATATACTTCATTGACATATTCAGTAATGATTTTCTCACACAGCAAATATCACTGATTTTCTACACATGCAGACCAATACACATAATCATCCAGATGCGATCTTGCTATTCAACCAACTTTCTTCTCAGAGATGAAAACTACGGACTACTCGGCTTCATAAAACATATGCAACCAACAATGCGTGTAGTTGAGTCATTCCTACATAGTTGGACGCTCACAACGATCCTAGTGAGCAAACATAGATTGACTGTTTGCATCCTAAAAAATACCTAGTCTGCAAGATGACATTTTATAGTTTTTTCTTCACGTTTTATAGGTTTTTTACATAATACTCGTGCGGATTTTAAAATACATTTTGCATCTGAAAAAGATGCTTGGCATCTGCATTATTTACACAAACTGGCATTTCTAAATCCATTAACGATTTTAAATAACTTTTGGTCAATTTCAATGGCCCTGCGTTGAAATTGTCGAAAATATGATCAGGTTCATTACATTTAATTATAAGTTATTAAATTTGTGTTGCTGATGACACATCAGAACAAATTGTTCGCAAACTTGTTTGTTCTTTGGAAAACTGAAGAAACGCCAATTCGAAACGGCCTTGCTTTGCTTGTCGTTGACGCTTGAACAACTCACCAGTGCACCATAGTTATATATTTATTTCACTGTTTTTCAACTATATTTCACACAGTGTTATATGAAACAGATAACAAACTAACGCGACGCGTGCGAAAGAGATAGACTGATCGCATGCGGATGTTTATGTTCTCGAGTAATAGTATCATGCTCCCGACTGGACTGTCATCACTCCGCCTCCGACTCTACCTTTTATGCAAGTGCCGCCCTCTTCTCGAACTATTCTAAAAGTTTTGTAGCCGTTCCTGATGTTGCAGACCCGGTAGTCGTCGATGGACAGCGGGACGATCTAACTAGTCGTATGACGACATTGAAAATCCGCAGCAATTCAACAGCTAGGAAATTCCACCTGTAGAATAAATTCAGTAGGACTGGCTTGTTATCTTTATTATTCATTTGTTCTTCCTCTCATAATAAAATCACTTATTCTGAGTTATTTATAATAGTATTTCATTATAGACTGAATCCTTGCTGAAGAAAATTTCAAATTCAAAAAATGAAGAAATTGTAACGTACAACACAAGAAAACTACCACAGTCTGAGAAAACTAAACTGAGAAATCTAATTCTGTCTGAATTTGCTCGTGAAAATAGGAATAATTCTGATGGTGATGATGATGACAATGATGATAAGGGTCAAGTGTATGTACCAAAACCTATAAGGCATACTAAAAGTGGCGATATTCCAAAATATGTGCCATCATCTCAAAGATCCAGCACAGGTAAATAAACTGCTCGTTATTTTATTTTCAGGTTAGTAGTAAAAAAGTGTTTATTTGTATTGTTCCATTTTCATATGAGGATTTTTAATGTAAACATGGATTAATTTGAGCGAAAGGTGTCGAACCCAGCTGTCCACTATCGCTCAAGTCCTTTGCACGTAAAAAAGATGCTCCACAGCATCGCGAACGGACTCTGTGTTCTCGAAATGATTTGTTCAATGAATTGGGCGATATTGAGTTAAAAATGGTTCAAGATGAGCACAATCCTGTAGTTAGCTACCTGCGGTGTAAACATGGCCAGTGTGGCAGGTTGAGTTTGGCGAATAAGGCACTTTATCCTAAACAGGGTGCCCCAGAAGTCGACGTCAAGTCGGAAATGGGTGGATCGGCTAGGTCATAATAGTTATAAGAATAATATAAAAAAATCTAATTCGTGTGCTTTTCATATCGAACTATAGGTGATTTAAATATCATGAAAAATATGTTTTAAAATGAAAACCTTGACGCCCTCTAACGGACAAACGAAGCACTTTTGCTTAGAAGTAAATCTTGTCCAATCGACTGATTTTGAGTCTAAAAATACGTGGTATTTCTATCCACGGAGTATTGGGACATAGAAGTACCAAGGACATATGCTTTGAATATTCTGAACAAATGTAGGTCGATCTAATTGAGCTTGTATATTACGTAGGTTGCTAAAATACTTGATTGAATATTTTTTGCAGGTGAGTCTGGGGATGGAGAAGAGGAAGAAACATTGACGGAGAGGATAAAACGAAAATTTGCTGACCGCCTCGAAGGCATTGGTAGTTCTGCTTCAAGGTCAAAGAAATCAATAAGTGAAGAACGAAAAACTAAGCCATCTATAAAATCTCGATTGGATGGAAAGAAATCTCCGAGTCCTATAATATTTGATAAGGATAAAGAAAGAAAAATTAAAATTTCACAGGTGATCATTTGCAACCCAATAAGATATTTCGGCCGATTAGGAGTAAACATAAATATTTGACCTGTTTGGATGGTCGGTAATATAAGCTAATAGAAAAAGGATAACCAATAATCACTTTAAATTTAAATAACAATAATGAGGGAATAGAATAGCTGAGAGAAAGAGGGCGTGGTTCGTTTAACTTCCGGGAAACTGTATTGTTGAACGCTAATAGGATAGCCGCTTCCTAATCATTCTCGGGAAAAAAGGGCAGAAGTGATGCCGTCGTCCCTGAGTCTCGTTTATAAAGACGATTCTTTATAATTTTACTCATAAATCAGAAATGTTTCATTGTGGATCATTTCTTAACTGCTGCTTCATTTTGTGCCTTACAGTTTCGATAATATTTAAATCTGGACTACTGGATGGCCAGTCAAGGACGGAAATATTATCCTGCAACCATTTTTTTCGTTATTTTTTTGCCGTATGACATGGCGACGCCTCATCTTGTTGAAAAATAAAGTTTCTATCAGGTGATAAAATTGGAATTGACACTAGCAAATTGGTTTCAAGGATATTTTGATATTTAGCTGCGTTTACAGTTTCGTCTATGAAGTGAAGTTTTCCAACGCCAAAAGCAGATATGCTTCCCCATGCTATTAAACCTGATGGTCTTTATGAAACACTTCATTTTTGTTCCTTATAACCCAGCATCGGTGGTCACTCACACAAACATCAGATTCCGATTCATCGCTAAAAATGATCTTTTTTCAATCTCGTTCCTTAGCCCACGCTAATCGCCTTTATTTTGTTTATTCGTAAGCAGAGATTTTACTGAATAAATATGCCATATGTCCCTTAAATGCAACCTACGTAACTTATAAAAATGTAAACCAGACTTATAAATCCACCGTCGCGACGGCACGTTCCTCATGGTTCTTCATTCCATTTTGCTGTTATGTCCCTTACAGTACCTCGACGACCAGTTTTGCAAATACGAACAAGAGATCTTTGCATTCTAGGACTTATCTTTCGCGGCTTCCAACACCATGTCTTAAAACTTCAATTGAACTGTGTCTCCATACTTTTCCACAATATCTGCCACTGTAGACTTTGCGACGTTTATTTGTTTAGCAATATCCCGAAAAATCTTTCCTTGATGAAACAATGCTATGATTAAAACTCTGATTGCGCAGTTTTTTGCTTTACCACGCGACATTTTAGAGCAAACTGATTCACAGAATTGATTTTTAAATCAAAACGTCAAATTGTAAACACTTTTTTGTTTCCATGGCTTGCTACTATTTTATTTTTAATATCGTGTCCGAACATTTATATGTCAGTAAAATGTTGGGTTCTTATCAATATTAGTTTGATTTTATATTTCAGTATCATATTACTTGAAAACAGTTTTGTTAATATGTTGTGCAAACAATATATTTCATTGTCTTATAAAAGAAAAAAATAATTTTTAACCTTACAAAAATAAACTTTTAGATAAAATTAGATAATGGCCGAACATTTTCATGTTAGGGTTCGTACTTCACAGAAACTGTTGCTCACATAGCAGATGTAAGTATGAGATATACAAATTTCATAGCAATTTAAAATAATGTACACTTTTTTTTGATTTCGCCAGTTCAGAAGGTTTTCAAATAAATAATACAAAGCTAGGCATCCCTAGGTATGTAGATGTCTTCCTTTGCCGAGAATGTTTTTTTAGTATCGCAGACAAAAGCCTAGTTGAAAATGAACTGAAGAAGAAAACAGTATCAGATCATTTGGGCGATTCAGACTTTGAATTAAAACGTCTTTGCGCAGTTTAAAATACTGTCGCAGCAGGCATTATCGAGCGAAACAAATATTTCCATGAATCGCTTTTACCCCTGAAGTAGTGACAGGAACGAGCAAAATCAATCCCAGATTAGTTAAGATGGGTAAAAAACATTTGTATCTGAGATCTGTGCCATGCGGGCGGCTTTTGAGGTTGAGCAAGCAGAAGTAGTCTAGAAGCCCATACAGTTAAAATAATGTTTTTAACTGGAAATTCGTAGTTAATCTAAATTTTCATTTTAGTATTTTAATTTCTTCACGAGCCGCAATGGGTGATCTTTTTTATAAAAGTTAGCTAATTTTTATATAACTAACAGCATGTATTATCTTTTTCATAACTTCCAGGCAAACCGTTGTACAACCTTCTGCTTTCGAATGTGTTCCGTCTCCTTTCTCGTATCTGGTTCGTTCACTAACAACTAGTTCCATTGGATCATCAGGATCCTCTAATATCAGTCGTTCATAGTGAACGAGTTTGATGAACTAATTAACTTAGTTCAATCATACGAATAGAGTCACCACGAGTCGAAGAATCATAATCGTATCTCAGATATCTACCGTCCTGTTCTGTATTTTGCGAACCTCACAACTCACACTAGATTTGTTACAATTGGAGTTTGCCTGAACACACTTTTTCCTTGGTTACAAAGTATTTTAATCTGTTTTTTCCAAAACCCGTCTCAAAGCTAGAATTACCTGACATGACTGATGGCACAGTGATAAATGATGACCAGAATCGCAGTCGACAATATCTCTCATGCGGCACCGGTTCGAAAGCAGTTCAAAAACAACCCGTTGCTAAACCGCTCTACATTTTCATGCGACACATCCTCCCAGGTCGCAAATTGTATATTCTTATATTTTCAGGTTGCTACTAAAATCGATGTTCCTGACAGACTGCCAGTGGTTCATCCACCCCTGACCCTGAAGAATAAGGAGAGATGCAAATATTGGCCAGGCTGCAGACAAGGTGATAAATGTGAATTTGTCCACCCAACTACAAGCTGTGAAGCTTTCCCCAACTGCAAGTTTGGGGAGAGCTGCCTCTATATTCATCCACCGTGCAAGTTTGGATCATCGTGTACCAAAAGAGATTGCGTCTATGATCACATATTGCCCGTGAAGACTGGTTAGTTCCAAAAGATCAACTAATGATTTCGAAAAGTAAAGAAACTTTTTATTTTCTCTTAAAATTGCAAAGATTGGGTGCTCATAAGAATATTATTATTCGATGCATATTCACAGCACATTTCATACTACCCAGCAATGCTATATCCGATGCTATGAGGTATATCAGTGACATCAACTTCAATGTCACTGGTAGTTTTAGCAACACATTAGTTTGAAATCTGTATTTGGTGGCAGTTACCGGTTTCAATTCAATTATGTATTATACAGCGAGGTTCAAATTTGGCTGACGTCGTAATGTGTACGAGAGAGAAGCGTCTAGTCTCTATGTTGGAAAAATTGCACTGATGGCGTCCGTGGCGTCGTCACCCGGGTTGCTAGGCCACGAGGTGCTTCTATCTCTTTCCAACACACGTATTGCATGCTTCTCGCGCTTCTCTCTTGTACACATTACGACGACAGTGGTATTTGATTTTCAGTGTATTACAGAGATGTAGATGTGGAGCTAAAATATACTAGATTGAAGGTTTTATTTATTTATATTTTATTTAATAATTTGGAACACAAATCAACTCAGTATGGAAAACAAAATCTATTTCTATTAACCTAGTTGGTAAGGAACTCTAAAGAAATTAAAACTAAAAACTTTACTGCACATAATTATTTTTAGTATACGTTATTCTCTTCGGATATAAATAATTGGATTATATAAAAACCAAATAGAATCTTATTCCATCCTTCAGAAAAAGTAAAAAAGAGGATAAGGTTACCCAGTTCTAAAACAACAAATATATTGAAATGTAAAAAAGTGTATGTGACTGCAAACCTACCCTCTTGGGAATAAATCGTGTTGTTTTTTTGTTGATATGTAACACTTTTTGTGCAGGTTTGCAAATATGTCTGGTTGAAGGCATTAATCATAGTCATGTTCGGTTTTATTACACAGCTACACAAAAAAAAATGAAGGTCGAAATTCGTGAGACATACTATTATATTCGTCGTATTTTTCGATGCTGAATCCAAATCCGGGATCCGAAAAGTCTCTAGACGTCAATAATTCACCACTCTACCCAAAAGCCACCCCTAGGAGTCGTGAAAATTTGACCACTAGAGTTCACCCCCGGGTCCTAAAATTATTGCTAGAAGGGGTGAAAATTGAGTTTCGGATGCCAGATCCTAGAGCATGGTATTCCCATATGTTGTTCGCCGTTTAATCCGAATTTAAGGTCAACGAAATTTTTACACCTGGAATTCGCCCCGGGCCTAAAAATACCACTGTAAGGGGGTGTAAAATTAAATTTCGGAAGCCACGGTATTCCTATGTAATCTTCAACGTTGAATCTGAATTTGATGTAAAAAATCCATCTCCCTTAAATTCATCCCCGACGTCAAAGCTACTGTAATGAGGGTGAAAATTGAGTTTCGAGTGATAGATGCTAAACTAAAAACTCTCTCTTCCTTTCGAGTGCCGATGACAAGAAACTGTTTAAAAAAGTTACACCACGGACGAGTAGTAATCTTAAAATATACTGTGTCATATTATTCAGATGTATGGCTAAACCCCCTTTCCTTTTTCTGTGGAAATCCATGAATATAGTAACACCAAACGAAAACTTATAACTTCACTGCTGGAATTGTAAAATTTGTATTTTCAGCACCACGAGCATTGGGGACACTACAACAGTGTAAATTCTTCCCAACCTGTACGAACATCAATTGCCAGTTCTACCATCCCAAAATGTGCAAATTCGGAAAGTTTTGCAAGAACCAAGCAGATTGTTCATTTTCTCATCTTTCAATTGCGAAACCAAAGCCTGCAGGATTATCATGGAGGTCCAGTTTCACATAAAGTGTCGTAGTAGAAGTTTATTTTAGGAAGAAAAACCAAAACAGTGATGATTCATATTTATTATACAGAAGTGTATATATTTGCAGTAGGTATATTTGCTGGAATTTTTATAATAAAAATTAAGCACAGCAAAAAAACCTTTGTAACATTCAAGTTTTGTTCCACTATAGTGACTAATCCCATTCTGATAGAGAACGTGACGTGTATATTAACTACAACAATAAGAAAATTCAAACTTCCAGTCGTATCAGTAATTATTCAAAATTCAAGTCTGCCTAGAGAAAATCCGTCCCAAAAAGATCCAAAGCGTATTTTCCGCCGTTTCGAAGTACAAAATAAATTTCACAATCCATACAAGTTGTGGTTGCGGTTACACCTGCGTTATCATTCTCTCAGTTCCAGATCTTCTTCAATATCCGCAGTGTAATTACATAAAAAACCTATACAGGGTGTTTCAAATTCGACCCTCACTATTGGAATATCGGAAACTGTAAGAGATCCGAACTCGCTTAAATGGGGGGCAAAGTTGCGTATTTAGGTAATCAACAAAATGCCGCTTAGAAAGCTTCGAAACAAAAAAATTGAATTTTCCCAAGATCGTTTTAATTTGTTCTGACTCTATTTGTAGTGTGATTTTAAAATAAATTGCACATGAATATTGCCAATTTTTCTGAACCAGAATTCCAATATGACGTTTCGTTTCTTGTCCTCCAGCATCAACTTTATTTCAATTTTCTTCAAGGTTTGGCAGTGCCAATGTATGACATTTTTGAAATCAGAATTAAAAACTCTAATATGGCGTCGATAAGAAAAAATAATGTATTCTCTGAACCTCAATTTGCTATCCACTTCAACAACTAGAATCTTAGCTGAATTTGTGACTCTCTAATAAGTTCTAGGCCCACCTACACCAAAAGTACGAAATTCCTGGCAGTGACTCATTGCTGTTACCTATGGCAGCTGCGGTGAGCAGAGGGGTGGAGAGGGATTGTTCCATGTGCGTACGAACTAATTTTTATTAAAGGTGTTAATATACAGGGTGTCCCGAAAAAAGTGTGCAATATTCTACCAGGTTTCTAGAGCTTAACATAGGAAGAAAAGTTTATATAAACATAGGTCGACAAACGTCCCCTAAGGGCGCTACGGTCTTTTAAAGAGGCTCCCCTGAAGATGGTTTTTCCTTAATATTTCCGAAACGTGTTGAGATTAAGACATAAAATTCCTTGAAACTGCTGGCGCACATCCAATGGTATTATATCCATGAGCTCATTCTGAAGAAAGTTCAGATACACCTCTGAATTAAGACGATGGGGAAGTACAATAGGCCCAATTACTCCTGCCCATAAGTTCAATGAAAATCTATGTTGGAAATTTGTACGGTGAACAACTTTTGGATTTTCATCTGACCAGTGATGCATGTTATGGAGATTAAAAGCACCATTCCTAGTAAATATTGAATCATCCGACCATAATATTCTAGGAATAGTGTTTTCATTTGCTAATATCCACTGGCAAAACTCGATTCGTGGTAAAAAATCTGCCTCTGTTAAATGCTGCACCCGTTTAAAATGATAAGGATGTAATCCTTTCATTCTTGTCATTCTTCCTATCTAAAATTATTATTTTTAGGATTACTATCAAATAGGTATTCATAAATTTTTCTTACTATTGATCGAGGTATATCCATAATTTCTGAAACATGTCGAATGCTGATTTGCGGATTATTTCCAAACATTTGAAGCAATATGAATACGATGATTTCCCAGTGGCCTTCCTGAGCCCTGCATGCGCTGAAAACTTCCATGGTTTGACAAATTCCGGTGAATATCAGTAAACATTCGACGTCCAGGTACTATGCGATTGGGGAATCTTCTTTGATATTCTCTTACGGATGCCAATGAACTGCCTTTGTAAATCCCGTACACAAAATGCATGTTAGTTAGTTCTCTGTCTGTAAATCTTGGCATTTTAAATCAATTTAATAAAAATTTTGATTTTAATCTAGTAATTGTACACTGCTAACAATATCAGCTTAACGTCATAACAAATCAAAACAACTTTTGTTTGCAGTCATGGCTAACTATGTATAATCAACAACTCATTTAAATTCGCAGTACATTTCCTATCATGTGATAAATTTTTTAGTTTGATTTTATTAAAAAATGGCACAATTTATCGATATTCAATAAGAGTACCTTTTTTATGTAGAAAACCCTAAATTTTAAAATTCTAAAATTGAATTTCAAAAATAGAATCACACAAAAATTTTGGGGCTAAAATAACCTGAGTCCGTCCCTGTTACATCAGCTTCCAAACAAAACTGTCTAAAATTATTAATATTTTTAAATGCAGCATACAAAACTAGGCTAGAATACCAAATTTTATGTCTTTATCTCAATACGTTTCGGAAATATTAAGGAAAAAACATCTTCAGAGGAGCCCCTTTAAAAGACCGTAGCGTCCTTAGGGGTCGTTAGTCGACCTATGTTTATATAAACTTTTCTTCCTATTTTAAGCTCTAGAAACCGCTGGTAGAATATTGCACACTTTTTTCGGGACACCCTGTATATTAACACCTTTAATAAAAATTAGTTCGTAGGCAAATGGAATAATCCCTCTCCACCCCTCTGCTCACCGCAGCTGCCCTAGGTAACAGCAATGAGTCACTGCCAGGAATTTCGTACTTTTGGTGTAGGTGGGCCTAGAACTTATTAGAGAGTCACAAATTCAGCTAAGATTCTAGGTGTTGAAGAGGATAGCAAATTGAGGTTCAGAGAACACATTATTTTTTCTTATCGACGCCATATTAGAGTTTTTAATTCTGATTTCAAAAATGTCATACATTTGCACTGCCAAACCTTGAAGAAAATTGAAATAAAGTTGATGCTGGAGGACAAGAAACGAAACGTCATATCGGAATTCTGGATCAGAAAAATTGGCAATATTCATGTGCAATTTATTTTAAAATCACACTACAAATAGAGTCGGAACAAATTAAAATGATCTTGGGAAAATTATTTTTTTTTTGTTTCGACGCTTTCTAAGCGGCATTTTGTTGATTACCTAAATACGCAACTTTGCCCCCCATTTAAGCGAGTTCGGATCTCTTACAGTTTCCGATATTCCAATAGTGAGGGTCGAATTTGAAACACCCTGTATAGGTTTTTTATGTAATTACACTGCGGATATTGAAGAAGGTCTGGAAGTGAGAGAACGATAACGCAGGTGTAACCGCAACCACAACTTGTATGGATTGTAAAATTTATTTTGTTCTTCGAAACATAGCGCCCTTAGCGGACGTTTGTCGACCTATGTTTATATAAACTTTTCTTCCTATTTTAAGCTCTAGAAACCGCTGGTAGAATATTGAATACTTTTTTCGGGACACCCTGTATAATAGCGAAGTAGTTCATTTATATTTATTTATTTAACCAGATATTTAACAATGTGATTGATAAAACAGACAAATTATCATGACGAATAACTGACAATATTTGGTATATATAAATATATATATATACAATTAACAATTAATTGTATATATATATAAAGGGTGTCCCAAAATTAACGCAAGATTTGAATTAAATAGAAAATGCCATTTTTAGTCTTTTAAAGTTATATTTTTATTGACTCATAAAGTACATAGGATAGGGTTATGTATGGAATAACACATCGGACAAATGGCCTCCACGGCTTTGCATGCACATGCGCACTCTTTTGTCGAAATTTTCCATGACCCTTCTGCATAAATGTGGCTGAATTTCGTTGATGCAGCGTTGAATCTCCTCCTTTAATGCACGGGTGGTTGTGGGCTTGTTGACATAGACTTGTGATTTCAAATAACCCCATAAAAAGAAGTCTAATGGTGTTAAATCACACGATCTAGGAGGCCAATTTTGATCACCGAAACGAGAGAGTACACGACCGGGAAATGTCTCATGCAGTAATTGAATTGTTTCACGGGCTGTATGACATGTGGCACCGTCTTGTAGAAACCACATATTGGGTACATCAATATCATTCAATTTTGGCAGAAAGAACTGTGTAATCATGTCGCGATATCGAGCACCAGTAACAGTCACTGCTTGACCAGCATCATTTTCAAAAAAATATGGCCCAATTATGCCTCCAGCCCAAAATCCACACCAGACAGTCACGCGTTGTGGGTGCATTTCTTTTTCGACAATCACACGTGGGTTCTCCGAACCCCAAATGCGGCAATTTTGGCGATTGACAAAGCCATCAAGATGAAAATGTGCTTCATCGCTTAGGATGATTTTGCTTGAAAAATCAGGGTCCATTTGTTGATGTTCAATAATCCATTCAACAAACTCTCTTCTCTCTGCATGGTCATTAAGCTTCAATTGTTGTGTTAATTGAAGTTTGTAAGCATGAAGACACAGATCTTTGGTGAGTATACGCTGTAGAGAGGTTCTTGACATTTGCAATTCTTGTCCACGACGTCGAATTGAGGTTCCTGGATTGTCCGCAACACTCTCACGCACTGCTTCGATATTCACATTTGAACGGCTTGTTTTTGGACGACCAGTGTGTTTGGCGTCTCCAACGGATCCAGTCTCCATGAATTTTTCAATTAATCTCTTCACAGTTGACGAAGTTCAAACACTATTCCGGCCATATTTTGTATGAAATTTTCGAACTGCAGCCGCCAAGCTTTCACTATTTTTGAAATATTCTTTAATAATGAAGACACGTTGTTCTATCGTGTAACGCTCCATTTTTCATAACCCTATACTGTTAGCTGTCAAATTGCTTTTTTTCAGGGTTGCCAACACTTCACTGCACAAATGGCGGCAAATTCAAATCTTGCGTTAATTTTGGGACACCCTTTATATATATATATACATATGAGCAGTTGTCATTGCGAAAGCCAACGACCAGTTGGGCACAAAATACAATTAATTGTTAATTGGGAAATTGGCAAATTTTTAGGCTTAAGTTGACTCTTTTGACGATAAAATCAAGCTTTCGGCATTCTCTATGGAGCCTTGTGGCTGCAACCTCAACGACGAGTAAGTTGTTTGACAATTTAAATCTGTCCTGTATTCTTTGCTAGCATCACAATTGTGTTTTCAGAATCCGGATGAAGGCTCCAACGAGAATGCCGAAAGCTTGATTTTATCGTCAAAAGAGTCAACTTAAGCCTAAAAATTTGCCAATTTCCCAATTAACAATTAATTGTATTTTGTATATATATACAGGGTGACTTCGAAGTTGAGTCATTTCTTTTAACAGTGAGTAGATCTGATCAAAAGAAATGTTTTTTTCCTTTAACATTTTTCTGGTAAAATTAAATTAACAAAGTTATAGCCCTTTAGAAATTTGAGTACCGCCCTGTCTCAATAATAATATTATGTGCTCTTGTTTGGCAACATCGGATATAATCCGTCTTATCGGTTCATCGCATCGGAAACAAAAAAGCGAAAGAATTTGAAACGTTTATCACGATGTCAGTCAATGAGTCAGTCGGTAACGCGTGAGTGAATAGTGGTGTTTGTTGCGTGGCTCAAACGAAATAAAAAATGTGACATGTTTACGAAAATGCTGAACTTGTGGACATGATTCTTATTTACAAAATGCTGCCGCGGCATCACGAATCTATGCGGATCGGTTTCCCAATCGAGTGCAACCAACCCCTCGTGCCTTTGTTAATGTAGTACAAAGGGCTCGTGAATCAGGTGACTTAAGACCTCACAGGGGAGGGCATGCCGGTGCTCCAAGACCGCACGATCAAATACAGGTCCGCACTGAAATACTTGTCGGGACGATACTTTATAAAACAAGGTAACATTTTTTTTAATTTTTTTTTATTTTTACACACATATTTTGGTTTATCTTCCTTCTACAATCATTATCTGAAAATTAATGACTCAACTTCAAAGTCACCCTGTATGGACAGGGTGTCCCAGAAGTCGACTTCAAGCCGAAACCGGGTGATAGGCAAAGTCATAACAGCTATCAGAAAAATATTTAAAAAGATTTTATGTATGTGTTTTGAAAATTATAGATCTTTGAAAAAAATATAGAAATTTCACACCCTACTGCAGTCTGTCAACTCCTGTTAGTACAAATATTAACTTTTTTTAGATTTTATTTTTACAATGTAATGATGAATAATGCATCTTCAAACTGGTGTCTCAACCTTACTGCCAACTTTTCTCGTTCAGGAAAAATTGCCACTTATTTCCCAACCAAGTATTCCAAAGTAAAACTTTGCTCAACTTTAACTAGCTGTACTGGAAAAAAATGTACTACGAGAGTTTTGCAAGTAACCTTAAAAGTTGGCGCATTTAATAAAGATTCCAAAATAGTATAACACTTAGAAGATTCCTCGTTAACTTATGCACAATTTTTATTTGAAGAAAAACTGATGAATATTTTTCAAAATTTCCTAATTAAACAGCGAGTATGAAAACGCACAAGGACCCTTAAGGATAACTGTTTGCACAACAGTGGGCGTCAAAATGCTGCTGATGTTGATTTACCTTTACAGCAAATGCTCAAACTGTTTTCCTTCAGCCGCAATACACGCTCGACATCTTCTTAAAAGAGATCGGGTTATTAAACGAGCGAATCCACGGTTATTAACAAACTCAGTTGCTTCCAATAGTCTTTGCCGTAGCTCAGCTACATTTTGAATCGGCTTGAAATACACTTTTTCTTTTACAGTTCCCCAGTAAAAAAAATCTAACGGATTCAAATCTGGTGACCGGGCTGGCCACGGTATTGTACCAGACCGCCCTAACCATCTGCCTGGAAAGTTTTGATCGAGATACTCAGTGAGAGTGCATAGTGCGCTGGGCAGCCATCATGCTGAAACTACATGTCCCTGTAAATACTCAGTGGCACGTCCTCCAATAAATTTTCTAAATGATTTTGCAAAAACCCTAAATAAACCTCAGCAGTCAAAGTCTCTGGGAACTCAAACGGACCGATTA